CTACATTATGACCAATAAACCAAAAGTTTTTAAAGATCTGTCATTTTTACATAATTTAAATTTTAATTCGGACCATAAAATGATAGGTGCAACGTTACGAGCGTCACATACAGAGAAAAGTCGAAGGCTGCAAACTGGATTGACTCCCTATGTGGACAATAAAAATAACTTAAGAGATAATGAACAATTTAAAAGAATTTCTAGAGAGAAGAGAACAAAAGGAATACAATAAAGCAATTGAGACGACATACTGCTATTTTGTAAATACTCTCAAAACTGTTGCTCGAAAAGTATCTACAAATAATAAATCCACACTATCTACCGAAACAATTATATTACTTAAAGAAAGAAACTTGCTTTTACAAAGCAATAAAGACAAATAATCACGAAAAGAGATCGCAGAAATAAGTAAAAATATCAACAAAAATATCAGGAAGACAGAAAATAAAAAAGGGCAAATACTTTCCAATATCATATTAAGAAAACAGGCGGAGTGAAGAAAACGTTTCAAGAACTAGAATCGAAAAAGAATTGGATGCCAAATATTAAGAACAGACAAGGAAGAAGTACTACAAAAAGATCAGAAATATTATAAGGAGTTGTATACAAGCAAAAATGATAAACCTGCCACGACTACGACAGAAGACATACAAGATACTGAACCTATACCACCTATTCTAAAAGAAGAAACAGAAAGAGCTATCACTACGCAGAAGTTAGGAAAAGCGCCCGATCTTGATCAAATTACCAATGAACTTCTCAAAACATTCATGCCGGTAATAGTCCCTAAACTAACCAATTTGTTTAACGAAATAATAACAGCAGAAGTCATCCCAGAAGACTGGGTGAGATCAGTGATAGTTTTGTTGCACAAAAAAGGAGACAAAAGAGACATTAACAATTATAGGCCAATAAGCTTAATGTCTAATATATACAAGATCTNATTTGTTTAACGAAATAATAACAGCAGAAGTCATCCCAGAAGACTGGGTGAGATCAGTGATAGTTTTGTTGCACAAAAAAGGAGACAAAAGAGACATTAACAATTATAGGCCAATAAGCTTAATGTCTAATATATACAAGATCTTTTCTAAAATACTATTGTTTAGACTAACTATTACCCTTGACGAAAACCAGCCAAAGGAGCAAGCTGGATTTAGGAGCAATTTCTCGACCATTGACCTCATACACGTCCTACACCAGATATTTCAGAAATATAGAGAATACAACAAAACATATTATTTGGGTTTTATAGATTTCAACAAGGCTTTTGATTCCCTGGTACACCACTACATATGGGAATCATTAGAACAAAGGGTCCATAAAAAGTCCATACGCATCCTAAAAAATATTTATGGGAAAAGCACAGCACAAATAAAACTTGAAAAATTAGGTGAAGAGTTCCCAATAGAAAGAGGCGTCAAGGTGATCTTATTTCGCCGAAGATATTCTCAGCAGTGTTGGAGTTGATCTTTAGGAAACTGGATTGGGATAATTTCGGACTTAACGTGAACGGAGACAAACTGAGTCATTTGAGATTCGCTGATGATTTAATACTTTTCTCCGAATGCCCGATGATTTTGGAAAGAATGCTACAGCAATTAGCAGATGAAAGTGAAAATGCAGGGCTTACTATGAATATTATAAAGACAAAAGTAATGAGCAATTCCTCACAAAAAAACGCTATTGCAGTTAACAATCAAGAGTTAGAATACGTAAGTGAATACGTTTATCTGGGCCAACTAGTATCACCGACAGAGAGCATGCAGAAAGAAATAGAAAGAAGAATAGCAAACACTTGGAAGAAATTTTGGTCATTGAGTGAAGTGAATGAAAAATAAGGAAATGCCTATGGCAGAGAAACGAAAAGTCTCCAATGTTTGCATACTGCCATGTCTTACATACGGATGCCAGACATGGGCCTTAACTGAAAAACAACAAAATAAATTGAATATATGTCAAAATGGGAAAGAGAGAAGCGTATTGGGAGTAAGAAGAAGGGATAAAATGGAACTAAAAAAGATCAAAGCAGAGACTAAATTTGGAAAAGTTCAATCAATATGCAGAAAATTAAAATGGCGCTGGACGGGACATATGATGAGAGAAAAGAAAGAGAAGTGGACCAGAATAATAACGGAATGGTACCCTAGAGAAAACAAAAGAATCAGAGGAAGACAACCGAAGCGATGGGAAGACGACTTGAAGCAAGTAGCTGGGCCAGGATGGTTACCTACAGCAAAGGACAGAAGCAAATGGAAATCCTTAGAGGAGGCCTTTGTCGAAAGACAAGCTGTTAAGAGGAGAGATAAGCCGAATGCCGGGATATGTTTTAGTATAAGTTAATTTTATAGTTTTCTGACCTCTATTGTTATCATTTTATGTTTAGTTAAATAAGTTAAACTCTAACATCAATAAAGGCTTATTTATTTATTTATTTATTATATGACGTGTATATAATCAAAGGACAGAATATTTGAGAAGCGTTTTTATACAAGTGAGATATTCAAACAACGAATACAAATATGAACTATAGCTTTTGCCCGCGACTTCGTCCGCGTGGAATAGTTCACAAATAATGCTTCATTTTAGAACAAAATTGGTTAGCATAAAGAACGTTATAGTGAGCCAACCTTAACGCACGTGGCAGAAGCTCTCAAAAGGGAAAAAAAAACCCGATTTTGAAACATTCTTTATTGGTGCTCCGCTTGTATTGGTCTTAGCGTGATGTTATATATATAGCCCTATATATAGCCTAGAGCCTTCCTCAATAAATCGGCTATCTAACACTAAAATAATTTTTCAATTCGGACCAGTTGTTTCTGAGATTAGCGCGTTCAAACAAACAAACTCTTCAGCTTTATAATATTAGTATAGAAGTATAGATTTATGTGCTACGAAATAGAAATGTAAATAAGGAAGATGCGTTTACAATTAATGTCCGAAAAAATACGGCGCGATGAGGTCATGACAGGAAAAACTAAATCGAAATTAAAAGTTAATGTTAAGAGTGACACAAATTTAAGGAAGAAAATATTATTTAATAGAAATATTATTATAGTAACTTAATTAAATATATTGAGATAGATGAGACCATCTAATAGTCTACAATCACGGATGTATTCTGTATACTTAACCACATGAGTTCGCTATGCAAATTGTTGGTTGTTGAGCAACAGGAGGTTTTAGTCAGTTCGACTCTGACATGCCCCGCCCTTCATCTCCAGTGGAGGGCGGAAGTCCGGCGATTTCCTCCTTACCAAAAAAAAGGTCATTGTCAACTTCATTCATGTCATCGAATTTGCTTTTTCGGGTAATTCGTTCGCAAGCGTTCCAATTATAACCACGTGCTGATTAAATAGATGAACATCACCAGTCGGCTGTACACTCATTGAATTACACATGGCTTGTTTTAAAATCGTGGAATAGACGGTCATTATACGCAGTTTGTTTTAAAATCATACAATAGCCAGCCCAGCACCAAACGAAAACCTCTCCGCCAAAATATTATAATTTAGGTTTAGTAATTATAGTCTATTTGGAAGCGCGATTTCAAACAGAATTCAGGGTTTTTTTTTATTGCTTACATGGGTAGACGAGCTCACAGCCCACCTGGTGTTAAGTTTTTACCGGAGCCCATAGACATCTAGATACAACGTAAATGCGCCACCCACCTTGAGATAAAGTTCTAAGGTCTCAGTATAGTTACAAAGGCTGCCCAACCCTTCAAGCCGAAACGCATTACTGCTTCACGGCAGAAATAGGCAGGGCGGTGGTACCTACCCGTGCGGACTCACAAGAGGACCTACCACCACTAAACAAACACACAAGAAAATTCTCGAAGTACGTATTAAATCGTAGAAGCGGCATGTCAGCTTAAAAAGTGCTTGCTAACTCGAATTGAGCCGCGCATCGACGGTTCTATTTCTCGATGATGTAGGCCAGGTTTGGCCAACCAGATCGCGATCGACCATTAAAGTCTACCAGTGAATAGGTAGGGGGGAAAAGTTCATGGTTCTACGTGTAAATTCATTAAGGAACAATAGTACTAACGTTATCGCTCGTAATTACCATTACAACAGCCTAGTATAATACATATATTATACACATATATTATATTTATTCGTTTTAAGTTCTTCTACACGCTGTAGAAATACTACATTACTGTTGGTAGGACTTCCTGTGAGTCCACGCGGTGGGTACCACCACTCTGCAAATTTCTGCCGTGAAGGCAGGGGTTGTACTGTAAAAAGTGAGCGTTGACCTACACGACGACCTGGGCCTCGAATCAATTCGGAAATACATGAAGTCAGCGTCGGAACGATACTTCGATAAGGCTATGCGTCATGATAATCGCCTTATCGTTGCCGCCGCTGACTACTCCCCGAATCCTGATCATGCAGGAGCCAGTCACCGTCGACGCCCTAGACACGTCCTTACGGATCCATCAGATCCAATAACCTTTGCATTAGATGCCTTCAGCTCTAATACTAGGGGCAGGCTTAGGGACCCCGGTAACCGTACTCGTCGAACTCGACAAAGAGGTCGACGTGCAACCTAACCCATGCATCAGCCCGCTGAGTTTCTCGCCGGATCTTCTCAGCGGGTCGCGATTCCGATCCGGTAGTAGATTCATTCGCGAAACAATTGCTCTTGAGTTGTTAGGTCTCCTTCGGAGGCGCTCGGGCAGTTGTTAGCAAATCCCACCCCTCTTGGCTGAGCTTTTGCTCGCCCACCTGTCCTGGTGAAACTGGAAAGGCCTTCGGGCCACCAGTAAACTTTCAAAAGTGAGACCTCTGAGAACTCATGTCTCTAGGGTGGTGGCGGCATTTACGTTGTAGATGTCTACGGGCTCCGTTTACCACCTAACATGAGATGGGCCGTGAGCTCGTCCACCCACCTAAGCAATAAAACAAACTACAAGAATGCTTTCAAATATTACTTTACAATTTCTGCTGTTTCTTGATAATTTGTACAGTGGTTTTGCGTGACATTCCATTCAGATGGGCTATGCTCAACTCGAGCAGATCGGGCATGGAATTCACCTGCGTCAGTTCTCAAGGGCCTTCGTGATAGAAGATAACAGTGGGGACACTGTTAAACGACTGGTCTTCGTGTCGGTTGATGCTGCGATGATGGGACATGGAGTTAGGAAAGAGGTATTACCGCTTATCTTTTAATTAGCGTATGAAACGGACTCACTCTTCCATTTACTTTCAGCGTAAGAGAAGCTTTCTTAAAAAAAAATTTTCTTTTTTTTCCCTACCTTTGCTGATAGCCTTAAGAGGCTATTTCAGCTTCACCCTAATGTGTGTAGGTGAGCTCACGGGGCTCAAACCGGAGTGTTGCTAACACTGACCCTAGCAAGAGCAGTGCTTCGCAGAATCTACCACCGGATCGGAAACGCGACCCACTGAGAAGATCCGGCGAGAAACTCAGTGGGCTACTTTATATTCTAAGATTGCGAGCAAAACCATTGGAAGAGATCGTTTTAAGCGATAAGACCGCTAAATCTACTTGCCGTTTTTCAATGCTAAATGTGTTTTGGTGTGCAACAAATATTAAATGTGTTTTGGTAGGCAGCAGCTTGGCTTTACGCCTGGCATTGCTGTTGTCCATAAGCGACGGTAACCATTCACCGTCCAGTGAGCCGTATGCTTATAAGGGCAATAAAAAAAAAAATATATCTCTCTCTCTCTTTCTTTCTCTATATATATATTTAAAAAAGGCAATATAAGCAATGAATTTCCATTAGGTAATAAGACGGCTGCAGAAGCGCTTTGGCGTAATTTACAACGAGGATAATGTGATCATCAGCGGCACCCACACTCACTCCACTCCTGGAGGATTCCTGATGGATTTCCTCTTCGATCTGCCCATCCTTGGATTCGTGAAGGAGACGTACATAGCTTATGTCCTTGGAATTTATAAGGTGAGGCGAAAATTATAATTTTAGCTTTATATTTTAACAGACTACTGGTGATAGAATGTCTTCTGAGTCTGCACGGGTAGGTACTACCATCCTGCCTATTTCTGCCGTGAAGCTATAATGTTTCGGTTTGAAGGGCTACACCGTTGTACTGTAAAAACTGAGACCTTAGAACTCATATCTCAAGCTGGGTGGCGGCATTAACGTTGTTGATGTCTATGGGTTCTACTTAACAGCAAGTGGGTCGTGAGCTTGTCCATCTATCGGAGCAACAATATAAAATACAATAAAAATTTGGAGCCTCATGTAACATTTACATTGTCAATACATTCTTAACAGTTGCCAATACCTTTAATAAAGTGCGTTAATAGACAAGCTTATATTCTACTTAGTATTCAATGAACCGTTGGGTATTGAATGAATGAATGAATTAATGAATGAATGATTTATTTTATTTCAGACAACAATAAGTCCATATGTGTCTTCGATCAATAATACTACTAAGTAGTGAGAGAGATCAATAATACTACTAAGTAGTATTATTGATCGAAGATATGTGTACATAGTATCATTGAAACTTGATACTTGAAATTAACAAAGCCAATCAAATAAAAAAGATACATTTATTAAAAGTAGTTATCAGTGGAATATATTTCAAATATTCCATTCCACTGATACCTACTTCGAACCAACCATTATTATTATTATTATTGTTTAGTCCGCAAGTGAACCATGGTACAATGGTTCAAGTACCGCCAGTCATAACGGTCTGTTAATGCCTTTTTTAATACCACCTCCCAGAGATCCGAAGCCTAAATCAGGTAGAGTAACTACCGTGCCTTTCTTTTAAACCGATAAGAAGACAGCTTTGCGACAAAAATAGGCAGAATAGTAATGTCTATGCACTATACAGGTCACTGGTCCAATACTCATTAAGTTACGTATAAAATAAAACTAGTTTCGAATCTGCGATATGTGGTAACGCATTAATTAACTAGAGAAACGAACAAATCGATGTTTCTCGGTAATTTGAAAAATAATTATGGCCGAATAACTGGGCTTTGATTAAAAGAAAAATACGTTGCGCTTTACAAATTTTCTTTTGAACACGTAATCTGATTTAAGAAACGAATTTAAATATTCAGTGTAGTTATTTTTTAACAATTAATTGAAAACGTCATCGCTTTTCAAGGTGACGACATCATCAGTGGCATAAAAAGAGTGGACCCGTTGCGTCAAAACTTTTTATTCTGTGACATGGTACTCCTTTCGCCAATGTCAATGTTTTCATTTAAAAAAAAAAAAAACTACAAATTAACTACAATATCTCTAAAAATACATTCCGACTGTTACAGACCGTATCGATAAACAAGAATATAAACTTTAACAGTGATCAAGTCATGGCTACCTTCATGTTTTGAGTTCAAATTGGAAAAATGTTTCAAGGTTAATTGACATTGAATGGTTGGTACACAGAGTAAATAAAAATATAGGCTAAAGCATCTGTTTCAATAGAGCCAAACACAAGGACATTTTAGGACAAAAAACCTTTAAACATAACAGTAATGAGCTAGTCTATTCCTTGATATGGCTTTAAATCAAGGAAATAAAAAAAAGGTCAATGGCTATTGTTTTAGTGAGAAAACAAACGTTGAAGGTTATATGATCACGTGAATCGGTCGCAATGCTTAAATGACTTATGAAATCGATTTCGATCGATGCCGAGATAAAAATATTACGCCATACAGTATCGTTTCTATTAATCACGGTTGCCAGGTTTCGGTGTCACGATCGTCACATATGAATAGATGAAATACTCTTTAATCTGCCATAAAATTCCTCTGAAGTGCGCCCTCATGAACACGCAACATGCCTTTTTATACGTAGAGTCATTAGGTCGGATGTCAATTATATTCGTCTTTCAATTTTAAATCTTATTATCGTTTATTGCCTCAAGAAAAGAACAGAAAATCACAACCGAATTCCTCTAAAGCCGTTGCATGTAATAGTTTGATTCGGCCTTGTGATTCTGATGTGGAGATATTTTTTTTTTATTGTTAGTTAAGTCTACGTTAATCCTTTCCAGTTTGGCGGCAGGCTTGCCCGCTTTTTTCAATTCTCTTTTAAAAATGGCAATAGTGGCAAATTTTTATTATGTGAGGCCAAATTTGGTGTTTTTATGTGGGTATGTTCATTTTCCAGAGTATAGTAATAGCTCACAGCAGGCTGACGTCGGCTCGGATAAAATACGGCGAGGCTGAACTTCTAGATGCGAATATCAACAGATCTCCGAAATCATACTTGAACAATCCGGCAGAAGAAAGATCAAAGTTAGTTTTTTTATTTTTTTTAATCCCTTAGATTGGTGGCAGAGCTCACAGCCCACCTGGTGTTAAGTGGTTACTGGAGCCCATAGATACCTACAACGTAAATGCGCCACCCACCTTGAGATATAAGTTCTAAGGTCTCAGTATAGTTACAACGGCTGCCCCACCCTTCAAACCGAAACGCATTACTGCTTAGAAAGGTAGAAATAGGCGGGGTATTGGTACCTAGCCGTGCGGACTTACAATGGGTCCTACCTCAGTTTCCTTCTCCCTCTTCTTTTCTGGAGACGTTGGAGTCCGACATAGCCCGGTCTGTTGCCCGCCTCGACTGAGTATGCGCAAACATATTTCCCAGCGTTAAAAAGCTTCACGGAACAAATAGTCAGGGTGGTGGTTGGTACCTACCCGCGCGGGCTCTCAAGAGGTCCTACCACCAGTAACGAACGAACCAGCCTGGAAAACAACTGACTGGACAACCTTACGAAGCATCATTGAAGTGAACTTTTGTTGTGAATTTTCAGATACAAATACGACGTGGATAAGACGTTGTCTCAAGTGAGATTTCTTGCAACGACGGGTGAGGTCATCGGCGTGATCAACTGGTTCGCCGTCCACCCGACCAGCATGAACAACACCAATAGGCTGGTGTCCTCGGACAACGTCGGATACGCTTCGATACTCATGGAGAAGGCTCTGAATGGGAACAATACGTTACCGGGGAAAGTGAGTTGATAGTTCTCTATGTTGTTTGGTTAACATCAGGATCAAGTACTTTAAATTATAATACTTAGGGCTGTTGCGCTGGAGACTCTTCTAAAGGGTCTGTCGGTAAAAGGTACTCATATATTATATTAACTAGCTTTTGCCCGCGACTTTGTCCGCGTGGAATAGTTACCTTGGCATAACGCTAAATATTACCCGCCTCTTCATTTACGTAGAAAGTGAAAATATTTTTGAATAACAGAATGTTAAGGAGCTATTTAATGTGCCAAAATCACGCTTTTTAACCGACTTCAAAAGAGGAAGCTATCAATTATATTAATAAAACATATAAAACGTTATAGTGAACCAACATTAACATATAGACATATGCTGTTGCGGACTTTTTTTTAGATCTTTTAAAGGGAAACAATTCTGTCGTACATTATTTTAGCGAATCTTTAATCGCTTTCGCAACGCACGCAGCGGAAGCTCTCAAAAGGGGAAAAAAACCCGATTTTGAAACATTCTTTGTTGGTACTCTTATCATAGCGTGATGTTATATCGATAAATGGGCTATCTAACACTGAAAGACTTTTTCAAATCGGTCCAGTAGTTCCTGAGATTAGCGCGTTCAAACAAACTTTTCAGCTTTATAATATCAAAAGTATAGATTAGCAAAGATAAAATATTCAATAACATTTCTTCATTTGTTTTTCTTCAAGTTCCCCTTCGATCAATAATAGTACTATTGATCGAAGAAGTTCCCTTTCTTTTGTTTCGTTTAGTAGTCAGCCACTCATGAGCTTTACTTGACGTATTATTATATGATATGACCGAATGTCATCTACGTATAATTGATTTTGTAACTATTATTTTTTGTAAATGTCGATAACAAAACAATAGAGAAAAACTTGAATAAAATAAATAAAAAAGAATACTTGAGCTATCAGTGATTAAGGTCGTAATTCGATGGATGAGCATTGATTCCTGTTAGATTGACACAAAACCGTGCAATACCTTATTGAATAGTAATACATTCAATCATAGATTTGAATTATAGTTGTGAATCGAAATTAGTCGCGTTTGTTTCTAAGACAATTTGGACGAGCTCAGAGTGCTTAGTGCGAGTTTTTTAACGTTCTCGATACCGTAAAAGTTAACTCTATGCAGTTGGAACAGCGCCCCTAGCGGCAAACGTGGGCAAACGTTCCTCCTCCCTCCTCCCTGAGTCGTATTTCTCACGTCTGAGGGCTGTGACCATCTCGTTCTATTATCCTGCTCTGGATGATGTTTCGCCATCTTCCTATGACATCGTAGACTATGATATCCAAACGTTCCAACTCTATACAAATCAGAGTTAACTTTTACGCTATCGAGAAAGTTAAAAAACTTGCACTAAGCACACTGGCCACTATCGTGTCATCCACATAAACGTTCGCCGACACTCAGGGCGCAATAGTCTGCGCGTTCGGGTCAACGAATCTCGGCGACGTGTCCCCCAACACGCGCGGGCCGCACTGCGAGCGGAGCGGCCGGCCGTGCGACCAGCAGGAGCAGCTCTGCGGAAATAAGGAGCGCTGCTTCGCGTCCGGCCCCGGCAGGGATATGTTCGACAGCACTAGGATCATCGCTACCAAACTATTCGAAACAGCCATGGTGAGAATTACGTTTTATTAGTGGAGATTACTGGTGGTAGGTGCTCCTGTGAGTCCGCGCGGATAGGTTAGGTACCGCCACTCTGCCTATTTCTGCCGTAAAGCAGTAATGCGTTTCGGTTTGAAGGGTGGGGCAGCCGTTGTAGCTATACTGAGATCTTAGAACTTATATCTCAAGGTGGGTGGTGCATTTACGTTGTAGATGTCCATGGGCTCCAGTAACCACTTAACACCAGATGGGCTGTGAGCTCGTCCACCCATCTAAGCAATAAATAAAAAAGATGGGCAAACGAACACTTCTTTTTTTTATTGCTCTTGTAGACGAGCATACGGCCTACCTCATGGCGAGTGGTTACCGTCGCCCATGGACTTCAGTAATACCAGGGGTAGAGCCAGGCCGCTGCTTTCCGCTTAATACTCTTCACAAGCCTCGTTTGAAGAAGGACATGTCAGCAGGGGTTCCTGGTAGTATGGGTGAACTCTACTTCGATGCAGGCAGTGCGGTGGTAAAAACGAGATGATGGTATCATCTCAAACAATTCCTTAGAGCACTCCGGCCGTTGGTAGCCACAGATCGTTCCCAATAACCACTGGACAATGATACGATGACGCGTCTCTTTATAAAGTATCAAGATCAAATCTTATTGCCATTGGAGCGTATGTATTAGCGTTCGACATGGAACACTTCACTTGATCAGGACAGAAGATAACCAAATAACCTAAGAAAACACTACATGAAGTCGTATTTTATGTTAGTGACCATAATACCATTTAGTAGCAGTTAGTAAGCAGTACCATTTAGTAGCAGTTGTTCATTTATTTGCGATGGCAAACAAATATGAAATCCTTCATAAGCATTCCTTAACAAGCCTGCGTTGTTTCTAGAAAGTTCTCAGACAGCCCGGGGAAGATTTAACTGGCACAGTGGCCGTGGCCCACCAGTACGTCAAGATGCCAGATGAAGAAGTCCACCCATTCGATCCTGTGACAGAAACATTTAACATTGTAAGTAGTTTGTTTATTATATAGGACAATCAAATACTTTTTGTAAATGGGTACCATAGGAGAGAGATCGCGCAAATTCAAGAGGTTGAAGGACTCTCATTAGTGCAGACAGTTCAGCTACTAATCAAATGCACATGCAACCTAGCGTCTTCAAGCTATTACTGCTGTTTCCTCCTCATTAATCGATTATTGAATATGCACACATATGGAAACAGCATATTCTTACCTCATTTTCAGTCAATTTAGAAGATTTCGTGAATTTTAATTGGCGGTTTCCCACACTTAGGATTGAGGCCCAGCTTGCAGCCGTTCGTGTGTGTTGTTATGCTTTAGTGATTCTTCTCAGTCGTATGCACTCTTGGCAGAGTGGTCGTGGTCATCATTTCGGGTGGTGGCGCGTTTTTTTTATATATTTTTTATTGCTAAGTTGGGTGGACGAGCTCACAGCCCACCTGGTGTTAAGTGGTTACTGGAGCCCATAGACATCTACAACGTAAATGCGCCACCCACTTTGAGATATAAGTTCTAAGGGTCTCAGTATAGTAACAAGACGTCGCTATTCCTCGCCTACCGCGGCCCTTCTTGTACACTCGTTGACGGCACCGCTTAGCGCTGCACTACGCGGTTTTGTACCCTCTATCATAACACCACAAGGTGCAACCGAGTCGTCACACCGTCGCGAAACATGTCCGAAGAAAGTGAGAATGCGACCCTGAACGATGGAGGATAGTCACTGCTTGATGCCGAGTTCCTGTAAAATTGACTGACTCGTTCTGAACTCAGTCTACGATATTTGCAGCATTCTTCTCCAGCACCACATTTCGAGAGCATCATTACATATATTATTCTCTAAATTCCAGAGTGTAAAAGTGAAGGGCTGTCTCCCGGCCATGGGGTATAGTTTCGCAGCAGGAACCACTGACGGGCCAGGGGCGTTTGACTTCAAACAGGGAACTAAAACATCTAACCCTCTCTGGAACGCCGTGAGGGACTTCATAGCCGAGCCGACGGAGGACGATGTACAGTGCCAAGCTCCGAAGCCCATCCTGCTGGCCACCGGAAGGGTACGTGCCCTTGAGGCGTAGAGTGCCGTGAATGACCTTTTTGTTCGTTATATCGTAAACACCTAACTTTTCAACGTACAACATTTTGACATTGAATTAATTATTCATAAATCCTATCTATAAATGAACAAAGACATATTATTATAACCAATTAAATCTATTTAGATAAGGTTATGCGTCATGATAATCGCCTTATCGTTGCAACCGCTGACTACGCCTCGAATCCTGATCGCGTAGGAGCCAGTCACCGTCGACGTCCTAGACATGTCCTTACGGATCCATCAGATCCAATAATCCTTGCATTAGACGAGTTTAGCTCTAACACTAGGAGCAGGCTTAAGGGATTCCGAAAACCGTACTCATTGAACTCGGCAAAGAGTTACCTCCTAATATAACCTGAACATCAGCCCGCTGAGTTTCTCGCCGGATCTTCTCAGCGGGTCCCGATTTCGATCCGGTAGTAGATTCATTCGCGAAGCAGCTGCTCTTGAGTTGTTAGGTCTCCTTCGGAGGCGCTCGGGCAGTTGTTAGCAAATCCCACCCCTCCTGGCTGAGTCTTTGCTCGCCCACCTGTCCTGGTGAAACTAGAAAGGCCTCCGGGCCAGCAGTACTCCTTAAATCATAAAAAACATTTAGGTATCATTTTCTCGTCTGTTTGACAAGTGATTTTCATTTTTCCTTTTTTTTAATGTCAATAAGCAAACAAAAGAGATAATTCTTTGTATACAATATCTAATTTCATTGCTTGGGATGAACGAACCAATAAAGAACTCATTAAGCGCGGAATATCGGTTGAGGTCGAATTTTGAAATCAAAAAAGTGACCCTTTCTATTTCCAGGCTAAGTTCCCTTACGAGTGGCAGCCCCGGGTGGTGTCGTGCGCGGTCGCCAGGATCGGCTCGTTGTACTTGGCGGCCGTCCCCGGGGAGTTCACCACCATGTCCGGGAGGAGATTGCGGAACATCATCTCCAAGACCGCCCCACGACCTAACCGGGTCGTCATAGCCGGCCTCTCCAACATATACTCGGACTACGTGGCTACCCCTGAGGAGTACCAGGTCGGTCGTAGTGTTTTGCTTGAGATCAATTTTAGTGCTTAGACTGACGCTCCAACTGTTGCGTCAAGGCTCGTGGGTTCGATTCCCACATCGGGCAAAACGTTGTGTGGTAAACAGGTTTGTTTTGCTCTTTGCCTGGGTGTTTATTATCTATATATATAAGTATGTATCTATGTCAGTCTCTGGCACATATAAAACAGGAAATCCTAAATTAGGGCCGGAGGACCCTGCGTGATTGGTTCCCAGTAGTTATAAAAGAAAAGGTTTACATCTTCGATCAACAATAGTAACTATTGATGATCGAAGGTTTACATCGAGTACATTTCAATCTCAGGTCCCTCTGTGATTTTTTCGTGCAACTGTTCAACACAATATCCGTTATTGTATATTAATTATTGTGTCCTGAAATTATAGGTGCAAAGATACGAAGCGGCTTCAACCATCTACGGGCCCCACACATTGGACATCTACCTGAACAAATACCTTGAACTCACCGAGGCTCTACTCGAGGTAAAGGATCAACGAAGACCAGAATTTCATTAATACAAAGGGCTTTTTCCTACCTTTTTTTTATAGCTTAGGTGGGTGGACGAGCTCACAGCCCACCTGGTGTTAAGTGGTTACTGGAGCCTATAGACATTTACAACGTAAATGCGCCACCCACCTTGATGGTGGTACCCACCCGTGCGGACTCACAAGAGCTCCTACCACCAGTAATTACGCAAATTATAATTTTTCGGGAAAAGCTAAGAGAGCTACTTAAGCTGAGAGCTTTGAGAGACTATGTCAGCGTAACCGGGCGAATAAGGGCTTTGTAATTTTTGAATACGTGTGTGTTGGATGAGACGCTAACGAATGAGTTGCGACATTAATATTGGGAATCTTACGTTTCATTAACAGTCTTGATGTATTTCAGAATATAACCCCCGAGTCTGGTCCGGACCCTCCTGACTTGAGCGGCCAGCTGATCACTCTGGTGCCCCCCGTGCTGTGGGACTCCGCCCCCTGGAGGAAGGAGTTTGGAGACTGCGTGCAGCAGCCGCAGTCCAGCTACAGCTACGGGGACGTGGTGGTAGCCTCTTTTGTAAGTGTAGTCCACATTAAATAATATAACTTCGACAGTTGTGTTAAATATAACCACTCTGAGGAATTGTTTGAGATGATTCTATCACATCTCGTTTTTACCATCGCCCGCCCGCCACCGGAGTAGAGTTCATCCATACTACCTGGAGCCACTGCATTCATCCATAGTGCGTTTCCAGAGATCTTTTTTTTATTGCTTAGATGGGTGGACGATTTCACAGCTCACCTGGTGCTAAGTGGTTACTGGAGCCCATAGACATCTACAACGTAAATGCGCCACCCACCTTGAGATATAAGTTGTAAGGTCTCAAGTATAGTTACAACGGCTGCCCCACCCTTCAAACCGAAACCCATTACTGCTTCACGGCAGAAATAGGCAGGGTGGTGGTATCTACCCGCGCGATCTCACAAGGGGTCCTACCACCAGTAAGTTTTTGCCACGTACCATCCGCCTTTGGGATGAGCTCCCCTCCACATTGTTTCCCGAGCGCTATGATATGTTCTTCTTCAAACGAGGCTTGTGGAGAGTATTAAGCGGCGGGCAGCGGCTTGGCTCTGCCCCTGGCATTGCTGAAGTCCATGGGCGACGGTAACTACTCATGATGAGGTGGATCGTATAAAAAATAAAGTAAGGAATCAACAAACTAGTCCAAGTTCGCTGACCAGGTGTCGGGACACCCACGGAACAGCGTCCGCCACGGCCGCTGGTACATGGCCGTAGAGAAACTCGAATCGGAGATCGATGACGCCTGGACTGTCGTCGCGACTGATGCGGATTGGGAGACCAAGTAGGTTCCACTCAATTATCTTTATTGCCCCTAATGTAACAGACGAACCGCGTAGCTTCGAGTCAAGGACACAAGTCAAACACACACACACACACACACACACACTCACACACACACACACACATGCATAATTATCTTAAATGATAACACCTAATGATCTCTCAACACTAGTTCGCAGCATCTGTTCACGACTTAATCTAACCTACTCTATCTTAAGGAGGGCAGCCTGGAGATCAGTAATATAGGTCTTTGAACGTAGTATAGACTTCAGCTCTTTCAAAGGCTTACAAAATAAATTATAAGGTTAAATTCCATTTGTATTTGTACTATACCTTTGTTGTGTAAATAAGGTTTGTTGAATTATGTTTGAATTCCCAGAAAACTAAACCGACTAAAAAGGGGGTAGGTACTCACAAATGCTTGCTGGATATTGTTTGTGGTCTTCTGTCCCCGGGGCACTGTTCTGGATGTTGGAGTTTAAGACACACGGACAGACGCAAAAGTTGAATAGCAAAGTTTGCGAAAAACAGTATTCTTGAATTAAATCGCCTTTTTTTAATGTTGCGCGCGCGGTGCGAAAACTCTTCCCCCGCTAGGAGGCGCGTTACAATTCTTCATTAAGCCGATTGATGGCGTGGATTAGGAAAAAGTGAATTTTAGTCGGTTCCCCAACAACCTTTAAGAGAGAAATAAATATGAGGAACCGTCGGAGCCCATAGACATATAGTTACAACGACTGCCCCACCCTTAAAATCAAAAGGCATAACTGTCTCAAGACAGAAATAGGTGGGGTGGTGGTAACTACCCGTGCAGACTCACAAAAGCTACCAGTACTGAGACCTTAGGACTTATATCTCAAGGTGGGTGACGCATTTACGTTGTAGATGCTTATGGGCTCCAGTAACCACTCAAAACCAGGTGGGCTGTGAGCTCTTTCACCCATTTAAACAATAAAAAAAATGAAAACAATCTGTACCACGTTTCTATCTACCTACCTATTTCTGCCGCTAAGTCCTCATGCACTCCAGTTGGAAGGGAGGGAGTACCATCGTATTCTTAAGACTTAGAATATCAAACCACGATCGTATCGCTGACACGCTTACACCAGCCGCCTTCTCCTTGAGGAGTCAAGGTCACGACGTTCTTTTGAAATGACCTTCTCCACGTGGAAACTACCACCATAACCCGGCGCATGATGTAAGCTTAAAGTTAAATTGCACCATGTGATAACCAGATTCACCTGGCACCGTGACTCCAAAGTCTTGGGAACGAGTCACGTGGAACTCGAATGGGAGATACCCCCCGGGACTCCCCCCGGTACGTATCGGCTCCACCACTACGGGAACTACAAGTACGTTTTGGGTGGGATATACCCATACCACGGCTTCACTGATAGCTTCAAGGTCTCATAAATGTGTTTTTTTTTTTATTAAGAGGTCACATATAATATTTAATGTTTTTTTTTGTCAAATTTAAAATGAAAATGTAAATAATCTTCTTTTGTAAACATATTTGTCATTCGATTTCGAGGTCAATTGAAATGTAATCGTGTCCAACAATATTTTTGTTGTTGAATGAGATTACGTTGCACTGAACTTTTAATTTTAATGTAATTTAAGGAACATTTTATGTTTTCTTTGTCAAACTTCAAATGAAAATGTAAATATTCTTCTTTTGTAAGCATTTTTGTCATCCGATTTCGAGGTCAATTGAAATCTACTCGGGTCCAACAATATTTGTTGTTGTTGAATGTTGCACTGAACGTTTATTTTTCATTTAATTTAAGGTCATTTTGATATTTTGATTTAGTTGTATATTTTTTATTTTTTGTTCAAATAAAACAAACATTACTATAAGGGTTAAATTAAGGGTTAATGATATAGATTTAGTTTCAATTATTTCATAGGCCAATTTTGATACTAGTCTTACCCGTAATACGTATATAATTACGCCTATAATTAATTAACTATATACAAAATAAAATTCTTTGCAAAAAATTACCAAAGACTAAAAATAGTTGTCCTTTGTAAAAATGTATTATTCTTGTAAATGTTAATAGGGCCCCCAATTTGCTAATGATAAACTTTAAGTTAAAATTTCATAATGAGTACATTAAAAAGGATATTACAATTGAAAATATTTTATTATTATTAATAGATTTATATACAACACGCTCTTGAATCATGTTGTTTTTTTTGTATTATAATAATTTAGAGTATTTTTATACCGAACGCCTGTTTCTTGTGCCAACGCAAACTTGTATTTGTGAATTAAATAAATATATCTCACTTTTGTTTTAATTTCTTTGTGACCTGAAAGTTATTCGGAATAAAAATTTGTATTATCAAATACTTTATACCACACCGAAGTGCTGGTGAATGTGTGATTACTAAGAACTTGTTTACTGGTGGTAGGACCTCTTGTGAGTCCGCGCGGGTAGGTACCACCGCCCTGCCTATTTCTGCCGTGAAGCAGTAATGCGTTTCGGTTTGAAGGCTGGGGCAGCCGTTGTAACGCAGGTGGGTACCTAAACGAAAAAAAAAACATATTCTGGTGTTCGTTGATCCCTTACCTCGAGTAGAGCCTCGGTGAGTTCAAGGTATTTGTTCCTGAGATTAGCGCGTTCAAACAAACAAACTCTTCAGCTTTATAATATTATAAGTAATAAGTATAGATTCAATGATTCCTTTGGATCCCAACGGACCGCTTCCTTTTTTCCCCCACCTTTTTTTTTTTTTATTGCCCTTGTAGGCAGACGTCCATACGGCCCACCTGATGGTCAGTGGTTTCCATCGCCCATGGACTTCAGCAATGTCAGGGGCAGAGCAAAGCCGCTGCCTACCTATTTGCTGGTACCCGAATGGGCGATTTCAGCTACGTCTGGACGGGTAGGTGAGCTCTCGGACTCAACCTAAGAGCATTTGTTAACACTAGCCTCAGCAAGAGCAGTGCTTCGCTGAATCTACCACCAGGTCGGAGTTGGATTGTAATTATAGCCTTTCGTATAATTTCGGGAACCCGTATTATTATGAAGTTGGCATTCGTTGACCCCACTTCTCGAAGCGTCACTCGCCACTAAATTTTTATATTTGATCCATTGCGTATGCAACAATGGCGTTCATCTACAGTTCGTTTTTTTTTTATTGCTTAGATGGGTGGACTAGCTGCACAGCCCATCTGGTGTTAAGTGCTTACTGGAGCCCATAGACTTCTACGACGTAAATGCGTCACCCTCCTTGAGATATAAGTTCTAAGGTCTCAAATTTAGTTACAATGGCTGCCCCACCCTTAAAACCGGAACGCATTACTGCTTCACGGCAGAAATATGCAGGGTGGTGGTACCTACCCGTGCGGACTCACAAGAGGTCCTACCACCAGTAATTACGCAACTTATTTTGCGGGTTTGATTTTTATTACACGATGCTATTCCTTCACCTTGGAAGTCAATAGTGAACATTTGTTGAGTACGTATTTCATTAGAAAAATTGGTACCCGCCTGCGGGATTCGAACACCGGTGTATCGCTCAACAAACACCGCTGTGTCGTTCAACAGGACAGTTTCCAGAGGTTTTTTTAATATGAGCCATTTGATTGTGAAATGAACTTCGTGTTCCACCGCGTTTCCTGAGGATATGTCTTCCAAATGAAGTTTGCGGAGACCACTAAAAGGTAAGCAGCGGCTTGGTTGTGCCTCTGACAGTGATCTTGTCCGTGAGCGATGGTAGCCGCAAGCAATAAATAAAAAAGAAAATATATTATAGTTTAATATAAAATTTCGGATGTGATTTTTAAGTAGGCACTTTACATATCAATTGCCTTAACAATTACGATATGACCCCTTTGTTAGGATTTCGTTGTATAATCAGGTGATATAGCGATTAAATGATAACTCAATATTACGCTTAGGCATTTAATTATCGTAATTAAATGATCGAATCGGTTAAATTATCTGATGTTTTTCTTTATTAAATTTATTCTTACGTAAAGTCCGGTTGTAGCAACTAGGCTTTTTAAAAGGAAAATCAATCGGATATAAAAATCTTTAGGGCGAAAGTATGTAAGTACTAACGTGAATATTTTTTTATTGAATCAATTGGGAGGAATTAATGAACATAATTAATTTAGGAATAATTAATACTAGTTTAATGGTATAATCATCAGTTTTTTATCGGCCTAATGTTATTGCCCACGTTTTGAATACTGTACAGTTTTCCCCACTTAGATAAAGCGGCACGACACGAGAACCCTCTCATCGTGGCCGCCGGTAACTACATTCCCGATCCTGCGGACAGAATGGAAAGCAGTCGACGTCGCCCAAAACACGTCATCTCGGATCCTCCCAATCCACTAACGGTGCTTTTAGGTACCTCAAGCACCGGTCACCGTTCTCGTCGAACCCGTCGCTTGCGACGAAGGGCTCGACGAGTAAATTAACTCTCAGACACAGCCCACTGAGTTTCTCGCCGGATCTTCTCAATGGGTCGCGATTCCGATCCGGTGGTAGATTCTGCGAAGCACGACTCCTGCTAGGGTTCGTGTTAGCATCGTCGTCAGGCTTGAGCTCCGTGAGCTCACCTACTAGTCACGGTTACGCTGGAATAGCCACTAGGCTACCAGCTTAGGTAGGAAAAAAAAAAAAACCGTTTTCGTTGCCTAGCGGGTACGTCACCACAAAATGTAAATGACAAGTTAATGACAATGACGAGATTTATAATATGTTTTATTTGTATTGCATAGATGGTTGGACGAGCTCACAATCCAACTGATGCTAAGTGGTTACCTGAGCCCATAGACATCTACACCGTAAATGCTCCCATCCACCTTGAGATATGAGTTCTAAAGTCTCAGTATAGTTACAACGGCTGCCCCACCCTTCAAACCGAAACGCATTGCTGCTTCGCGGCAGATATAGGTTGGGTGGTGGTACCTACCCGTGCGGACAGTGATTACGCAAATTATAATTTTGCGAGTTTGATTTTTATGGCACGATGTTATTCCTTCACCTGAACATTTGTTGAGTACGTATTTTATTAGAAAAATTGTTATTTGTCAGCCGGTCCGGACACCGTTGCATCGCAAGATAGTAATGCACCAGACGTCTTATCCTTTAGGCCACGATGACTTGAGTTTAAATACGATTACAGGACAGAGCGTACCTACTTAAGCTTGTGATCGCAGTGAAATCATGTTTCTGTCTTAATTAGCAAATAATTGCGCACGTATGCGTTTAGTTCAGGAGGAGGCTTATTATAACTAATATGGATTTTTCTGGAAGTCGCTACATTACGGATCTATTCAGATTGCTTGTAAACTAATCTATTATCATTAATTCCAGCATGGCATTATCTTTTGTGGGAAATGTCGTGATTACCGTGATCGTATTGGGCGTAATCAGTGGCACGAGTGCTACTTTCAGTTTAAAAAACAAAGACAATACTGATGATCATGAAGATGAACAGGCTAAACAGTTTCCGAGGTCAGAGCCAGAGGCGGATTCGTCTTACGAAGTCGGCGTTGGCATTGCAGATATGACCGGACCCTGTGTTGAAATAACATTTGTAAGTAGAATAGGTTTTTTTTTTCGGACAGGGGGTCAAACCTCTCACGAGATATCCGCATCTAGAGGGCACGCGGAGAATGTAGGACCTGTGAGTCTGTAGATGTTGAGAGCAGATTGCGCGCCCAAGGATCATATTTTTTGGGCTCTACCGTACCAAATTAGTCCGCCATGCACTCTCTCACCCGACACCTGATCTCCGCCCGAGGTCAGAACCCGGTCAGAGTTGGGAGGTTCCCGCGATCAACAGAGTAGAATAATGAGTTGTGGTAACTTCATAAGGATGAACGCGACTAGGCCGTGCTAATGTACCTATATGGGTGACGGTAAGTACTCCCCATTAGATGGCTCATATGCCTACAAAGGCAAATAATCGCTTCATTACATGTGACGTCATTCTGCATTACGATAATAATTGTGTTACATTTTATATACGCTAAAACACGACCACTCGCAAACACATCAGTTGCTAGTGGTCGTAATATATTGTGATCATATAAAAAAATTTTTTTATTGCTTCGATGGGTGGACGAGCTCACAGCCCACCTGATGTTAAATGGTTACTGGAGCCCATAGACATCCACAACGTAAATGCGCCACCCACCTTGAGATACAAGTTCTAAGGTCTCAAGTATAGTAACGACGGCTGCCCCACCCTTCAAACCGCAATGCATTACTGCTTCACGGCAGAAATAGGCAGGGTGGTGGTACCCACCCGCGCGGACTCACAAGAGGTCCTACCACCAGTAAAGAGGTCCTACCACCAGTACCACCAGTATCATAATAATGATATCGTAAGCTATGATTGGATCTTCCATGAAAATATATTGAACTATTAAATTATCTATATTGATTACAATATTTATGATTATTAATTTATTTATATGTTCGTATTTACGATTATCGATTCATAAAAAAACAGGGCTTCAAGGAGCGCTTTGATTTATATTGGAGCCATTATAATTACTAAGATGTTCTAATTTACGAGTATGTTGTGTAGTTGCCTATATTCTCCTGTATGGTACTGAAAATAAATAAATAAATAAATAAATATTTACTAACAATCACGCCACGTTAACTGGTCCCGTGATAAGTTCGTAAAGAACTCGTGTTACAGGTACCAGATAACGGAAATAAATGTAAGATTTTTATTATACACATACATATATTTAATATACATCCATAACCCTGGAAAAGACATTTATATTTATCATACAAATATCTCACCTTGCCGGGATTCGAACCCGCGACCCCCTTGTGTAGTGACCATGTCACTTACCACTACACCAGACGGGCGTTGATTTATATTCGAGCCATTATAATTACTAAGGTATTCTAATTTACGAGTATGTTGTGTAGTTGCCTATATTATCCTGTATGGTACTGAAAAAAGTAATTGTTATGAAAGAAGGCAATTAGAAATGTAAATGTTTAACTCAATTTATTATCTTTGGATTGTTTTTATGAGAAAATTGTAAATGAATAGTATAAAAACATTTTTTACACTCAGTATTGGAAGAAATTTAGTAATTAATCAGAGGTGTCTACAATAGATTTTTTTAATATATACCTAATTTTCAACATTGTAAGTTTGATGTAGCTAGAATTAACTTGCTCGTGGATCGAGTGGTACAACGATGTCTGCCTGGACTTTATGTAAAGTCTACAATTTGTAACATAATACTTTCGAAGGCGATTTAGGCTGAGCATGCAAGCCATTGATTTTAGTACGTAACGAGATGGAGTTCAACTTTGATGTTAGGTAATTAACAGGTCCTGGACCTCGGCAGTGAGTAAGGCACACTGCTCGAAGTACATATGGCCACAGGGGCTGAAAAGCTTTCGAGTGGCGACCGTGTTTGAAAAGGTAGCGTGGGTAGGCTTCCCAAGAGATGGACTGCCGACCTGGTCACGGGAAACCGTAAGTTGCAGAACCGGTCATTGTGGCGTATGTTGGGGGATGCCTATGTCCAGCAATGGATGTCTGAGGGCTGATGATAATGACGATCCTGTCGATTCTAGCACAATGTTAATGCTTTCCGTGGACGTGTCCGCCTTTATTTGAGATCGATCTTTGGACTATATTACAGCGAAATTTTAGTGCGCGGCTGCTATTCAAACCAAAAGGCATTTTGTTTCGCAGCCGAAATAATCACATTGACCTTTGCAGATGGGTTACGCTGAGCTCGGACAGTCTGGCGAAGGCATACATTTGAGGCAGTTCTCGAGAGCCTTTATATTTTCGAAGGGGAATACCAGAGTGGTACTAGTCACAGCTGAAGTGCAGGCAGTAGGCATTGCCGTCAGGAGACAGGTGCGTCTTATCTATAACAGATTATTATTGTATATCGCACATTACCTAAATTTCCACCTCTTAAGTGATTAACACATTGACTGCCGCCTAGGTCACCGGTGCCCTACGCGGCGCACTGAATGAATTTGTCGATTTCTGTTACTAAGCGCCTGGATTACCTAACTTCGCTTTCTTTTGTATGTTAATGTGTGTTATATTCTGTTAGGTCACTTAGAAAAAGATTCAGCCTCAGTATCTTCAGATTCATCTTTCCCAGAATCTACTAGAAATTCTGGCACCTTAGCAAGAAGGATCGAAGAGAGAAATCGATATAATTACTTCAGTTCGCCGCGTAGGGCACCGGTGACCTACATGGCAGTCAGCGTGTTAACAAAGTCGGTACGAATTATAAAGTGAACTCCGCCAAGCCTGAGACTGTATTTTTTTTTTATTGCTTACATGGTTGGACGAGCTAACAGCCCACCTGTTGTTAAGTGGTTACTGGAGCCCATATACATCTACAACGTAAATGCGCCACCCACTTCGAGATATAAGTTCTAAGTTCTCAGTATAGTTACAACGGCTACCCCGCCCTTCAAACTAAAACGCATTACTGGTTCACGGCAGATGGTTCTGAAGTGGGCTCACAAGAAGTCTAACCACGATCTTGCCTCTTTCTTGCAACATGCACGCCGCGTATTGTTTTAGGTGGTGAAGAATCTGCAAGAGCGTTACGGTGACATGTACAGCCTCCGCAACGTGATAATCACTGGAACGCATACGCACAGCACCCCTGGTGGATATCTGGTGGATTTCATTCTGGACGTTAGCATATTAGGATTCTCTAAGGAGACTTTTAATGCCTACGTTGACGGAATTACTAGGGTGAGTTAGTGGAATAATATTTCAAAATTAACTAAAACATTAATGTTATAATATTTCAAAAGGAGGAGGAGGAATTTTAGTTAATTTTGAAATATTATTTCCTCCTTATTTTTGTGATTTAGTCTATACTAATATTATAAAGAGGAAAGATTTGTTTGTTTGTTTGTTTGTTTGTATTGAATAGGCTCCGAAACTACTGAACCCATTTAAAAAATTCTTTCACTGTTTGGAAGCTACACTATTCCTGAGTGACTTGGGCTATAATCTTTTTTGAAAAAAAAATAGGGTTCCTTACTAAAACTCCAATAATGTAACCCAACGTGAAAAAAATTACCTAAAATATTCTTTACATCGCGTGCCCTGCGAAAGCTATTGATGGTAGAATAAAACAATGTACTACGACTTGGTAGAACACATTATTACTTACAAAAAGTTTCGCGACAGCATATTATGTCTAACTATTATAGCTATGTCGCAATTAGGGTTCTTTTATTTTAAAAAATAAAACAACGTCAAATATCGTTGAAATTTTTGTTAAAGACCCGAGCGGAGTCGGAGCGGGCTGCTAGTTTATTATAAATTGTGGAAGTTACTTATTTTTTCAGAGCATAGTCCGCGCCCACGAAAACATGGTACCAGCGCGTTTGGTGTTCGCTCAGACGAAAGTAAAAAACGCCCACAAGAACCGATCTCGATACTCATATAACAACAACCCTGCTGAGGAACGCGCTAGGTTTGTTCGAAATCAAACTTAATCTAGACTTAGACTTTTTAAATCTCAAGGAAGTAATGTTTAGAAATAGAAAATAGTACCCGCACAATTATAATTTGTGTGATTACTGGTGGTAGGGCCTCTTGTCAGTCCGCACGGGTAGGTACCACCCTGCCTATTTCTGCCGTGAAGCAGTAATGCGTTTCAGTTTGAAGGGTACGGCAGCCGTTGTAACTATACTGAGACCTTAAAACTTATATCTCAAGGTGGGTGGCGCATTTACGCTGTAGATGTCTATGGGCTCCAGTAACCACTTAACACCAGGTGGTTTGTGAGCTCGTCCACCCCTATTAGCAATAAAAAAAGAAAAATAGTACGTAGATAGATTAAAAACTCGACATTAAATAAAATGCGCAAATTATCGAAATGGTTTTTATTTATTTATAACAAAACATATCACACAATCTCCATTATAAATTTTGTACATATTATAACTATATATTAAATCGCCGCGTGCATCTTTGTCGTACACTAAAAATACACTATAATATTATTATATTTTCTCAAATGTACAATAGGAATTTTAAAAAACATGTGCTTAAATATCAAATCTGCTTATTGTTGTTTGCACATGCTTTGCCATTTCCACAATGTTGATTTATTACGCGTCTGTATGTAATTATATTGGTGTGATTTCATATTAAATGTAAAATGTAGATATATCTTTATTGTATTTACATATGTATCTATCTTCCTTAATAATGTGTGTAATGGCTTAGTCCATTTTGATAGACCACTAGTTAATAGTACACTTCAACAGATCTGCTGTATCTTTTTCAGAATTTCTGTAGATAAAATGGTCGTCCGAAAGAGATGTTATCCCTAAAAGCGTTTTAGGGATAACACTGTCTATTTCACAATTAAACCTACCTGTTTTTGAATGTTAATTGTGTTTTGATGTGCAATAATGTATGTTCTCTCTCTGTCTCTGACACTCAAATTATGGTGGGTTAAGTTGAGGGTCACCTTTGTATTCAATGAAATGAGTCCCACGAAACTCCAAATGATTTTATCGAGGAATCTTATGCCCTCAAAACATTTATGAAATTACCCCCAAAGACCAAAAAAGTAATTATGAATTGTGAACTACCTATCTATAAAGTCAGTGGCGTAGATTTAGAAAAGCCTATCTCCAGAATTGACCGTAATCGATTCTGAACTGAAAACAACAAAGAATAAAGTTCATAATAATATTAAGTGTACCTAAACTTATCTCCATCTGTATCCTAGATATGAAACCAACACAGATGATTTGCTGACCCAAGTGCGGATAGAAAAAGCTGATGGAAGCCTCCATGGAGTGATGAACTGGTTCTCAGTGCACACGACTAGTATGAACATGACAAATAAGCTGGTCTCCTCAGATAACCTGGGGTATGCCGCTCTAAGGATGGAGAAGGAATTGAATCCAAGTAATTTGCCTGGAAAGGTGGGACATGTTTGAATTGTAACAAAGTGATTTAATTTTTCATTTGATAACAATGTAATGTATTAAATTAATACTGTATAAACTATTATATGTATGTATGTGTGTATATATGTATGTATGTATATGTATATGTGATTTTGTATATATGTAGATATACTTTTTTTTGTATGTATTCGTAACCTAATATAAATTTCATTGCACCTACCACTATTTACTCTGCACTACCTTTGGTTGACTGGTAGAGAATGCATTAGGCATTAAGTCCGCCAATGTAAATTTTACATGAAGTGTAATAAATAAATAAATAAATAATGTAGATACGGGACTAGACATGAATGTGATTAAAAACATTCACTACATATTTATTCGGGCATCGTTATTGCGTCGAGTCCGTGACAGTGGCAACAGTCTTTTGAAAATCATATCGAGCAAGATCGAGGGACTGCTGATTAATAAATAGCCTTTGCAGCAGGCACTTGGAAGGAGATTAAAAAAAAAGTAATGATATAAAATGTATATAATGATAGTTAGGTGTTAGATTTTTAAAGTTACTAACATAGATTATAAGTAATTCTTACTAAAAAAATGTTATGGTTTAAAAAAAAAAAAACTTAAATAAAGTATTAATAATAAATAATAATACTCAAAATCTGCTGCGAAGTATCTTTTCGAAGCGACATTTCGCTTAATACGCGACATTTATCCTTGTAATTAAAGCCTTCGTCAAACAGAACGCGTAATTAGCGCGCGTCAGAACGCTAAACTGACGCCGAGATGTGTGGTACTAATATTGTAACATACCGTCAAACAGAGCCCCAGCGCTATAAGTACGCAGCGCTCTGTCGCGGCGTTAGAACGCTTTGACGTCAGGCGTTGTAATTTTTTACAAATTTTATTTTAGCGTCCGAGTGAATGTGTATTAAAATACTAGATAATGCCCGTAAAAATGATATAAATAGTTAGAAGATACCCATGCTTATACAATGCCACATCTGAATCACTCGATTTCTTAATACTTTTAAATGTTCACACTGATATCGAAAGGCACTATGATTCGGCGAATGCGTTGCGTCAAGGAGCGTTAGACTCATCTAATCAATTGGTGTGACATGAAAAGAGCGCGACGTTAAGTACGCGGCGCTAAGTACGCGTTCTGTTTGACGAAGGCTTAAAGGTGCGTTTTATTTGGTACTAGCATCAACATGCTTTCATTTAAACTTCAGTTATGTTTACTCCATTCAAATACCCTCAATCATATACCATTTCTTCGCTCACTCCCCTCTTACGCATATCGTCTTTCACGCAATCTATCCATTTTTTTCTTAGGTCTACCTCTTCCTCTAAAGCAGCGGTCGGGGAACCGGGGTAAATTACCCCAAATGGGGTAAAATGTAATTTTGGGGGGTAAAACCGAAAAAATCATTTAAATTAAAAAACCTTTTTAATGTGGGCTATATTATAAAATTTAAAGTAGTTTTTTCGTCTAATAATACAAGAAAAATATCATATGAATTATAAAATAACAAGAAATTATCATTTACTTATATTATCTGTGGGGGTGATTTTTTTCCTCAACTGTATTATTATTACCGTTATGTATTACTAGGTATTACATTGATAAATTGAATAAATTATGTATAAATTATATTGTTAGTTATTGTTTTCTTTTCAAGATTATCAGGCGGGGCTATAATATGAAAGATGCTAAAAAGAAGCGATTTCGTTTTTTTTTTGTTCTTCGCCATGGAGTAATATCAACTTACATAACAATATATTGGGGTAATAATTAAAAAAGTTCCCCGACCGCTGCTCTAAAGCCTTCCACATTCATAGTTAAAACTCTCTTACCAACCTCATTGTCATTTCGTCTCATCACATGTCCGTACCATCCCATGGATTAACTTAATATATTCGATTTGTTTGACGCCGCGAGTTGGAATGAGGTTTGAGAGCCACTGTATTTCTATCAGCCGGATATCGTGGCGGGTTTCTTCTCGTCGAGTCTGGGTGATGTGTCGCCAAACACGCGCGGAGCTCGTTGTGAGTTCAGCAATGAGGAATGCGATCATCAGTTCCTGCTGTGCGCTGCTCAGGAGAGATGTTTCTCGAAAGGACCCGGGGAGGATATGTTCGAGAGTACCAGGATCATTGGCACCAAAGTATTTGAGGGAGCTATGGTAGGTAGTTTTTTTTATGATGTGTTATGATGTGATATTATAAGTAGTTGTGCTTAAGCCACACATTCCGTTTCAAAAGAGGCTAAAATATGATGATACACGCCCATGCCATGATGATTGAGTATGTTATGTTAATAATTCCCACGTTCGTACACACACACACACACACACACACACACGGTTTGAAGGGTGAGGCAACCGTTGTAACTATACTTGAGACCTTAGAACTTATATCTCAAGTTGGGTGGCGCATTTACGTTGTAGATGTTTATAAGCTCCAGTAACCACTTTACACCAGGTGGGCTGTGAGTTCGTCCACCCATCTATGCAATTAAAAAAAACTTTCACAGTCAGAAATCCAACTCTCAAAATCTCAACTATACGTATTTCTTAGTTACACTGTCGTTTAATATTGTTACGTTATTGTTATTGGTTCAGGATAAATAAATTTTCTAAAACAACTTAAAAACTGTATTCAACACTTAAAACACTTAAAAATTTCACAAACATTCAACAAACACTTTAAAATTCTCAATTCGCTTGTTCCGTTTCGCTTCAGGTGATCCGTTCGCTGTTTCGCTTCGAGGAGTTCCGATTACTGACTGACTGCGTGCCATCCTTGCAACGCTTTTATATCCGATACCTCATCCCTAGAATTATCGAGAATATTCCACACATCTCTAGTAGTCGTTCCCGCTATCTGACAATAGATGGCGTTGTACTTCTCGAGCGTTCTAGGTCCTTCGATATTCGTTCGACGATCCGGCGATAGATGGCGTTACTCTTACTGGCGTAACAATATGGAATGAGAAACTGTTAATTTAGTACTATCAATTCTTAGTATATTTATTGTTGTGGCGAACCTTAGAGAAGGCCTATGTCTAGTAATGAGGCTGTGGAGGGGTGAAAAACAAAGAAAACCTTATTGTTACGTAGGACTGACCTTGGAAATGTTCACAGGAGGCACTTCGTTCTCCTGGTGAAGAGCTACGGGGCGACCTGGCGGTTGTTCATCAGTTCGTCGAGATGTCGCAAGAAGTGGTTCCCAAATATGATCCGATTAAGAAGACATTTAACACGGTCAGTATTGTTATTGGTCGTTTTTTAGTCTTGTGAAGACATAAAATTTTTGTAAACATTAAAATCGCTGAAAACTTAATGTAAAGGCTTCGTCAAACAGAACGCGTACTTAGCGCTGCGTTTTAACGTCGCGCTTTTTTCGTGTCACACAAATTGACTAGATGAGCCCAACGCTACTGGACGCAACGTAACATTCGCCGAATCATAGTGTCTTTCGATAGCAGTGTGAACATTAAAAAGTATTAAGATGTCGAGTAATTCAGATGTGGCATTGTATTTTATAAACATGGGTATTTTCTAACTAATTCTAACAATTTTTCGGGCATTATCCAATATTTTAATACACATTCACTCGGACGCTAAAATAAAATTTGTAAAAAATTACAACGGCTGACGTCAAAGCGTCCAACGCCGCGACAGAGCGTTGCGTACTTCTAGCGCTGGGGCTCTGTTTGACGGTATGTTACCATAGTAGTACAACACATCTCGGCGTCATAGCGCGCCGTTAGCTTAGCGTTCTTACGCGCGCTAAGTACGCGTTCTGTTTGACGAAGCCTTTAGACGTAAGTAAGAGTGATAATTTATGCCTCAAAGCATCTGTTTATGTTATTAACGTGATTCAACACGGTCAGTAGTATTAGTCCTTTTCTGTTCTTGTGAAGACATTACATTTTTATAAACATTAAAACCGCTGAAAACTTTATCTAAGACTTAAGTAAGAGTGATAATTTTTACCACATCATCATCATCATCATCATCAACAGCCCACAGTCGTCCACTGCTGGACATAGGCCTCTCCCAATCTACACCACTGAGCCCGGTCTGCTTAAATGTAATCATAATTACCACATGGCATTTGTTTATGTTACTACCGTGATAAATTGCAAAATCTTCTATAGTAGGTAATTTAATTCAATACCGCATTTTTATGAGGGATTTCTGAATACTTTGAATATTGGATTGATCAAGTAAAGCCACAATATAAGACCGAATGGGATAGTCAATAACTAGCTATGACGTCGTAGGATCATTTCGTCTCGATGTCTGTGTGGTATTGGAGTATTGGTCGCTTGGGTAAAGATGATGGCGGCTGTGATATGGTTCGCCCTTTTATTTCGCAATTTTATTCTAATACATTGATACCATTAAAACAAACATGTTGTGAATTCCTCCTCAATCATAAAAATCTACGAGTACCAACTAAGTGCTGTTGGTAAATCCACACTAGCCTTCTTCTCAGTCGTATGCACTCTTGGCAGAGTGGTCGTGGTCATCACTTGGGTTGGTGGTGCGCTTCACCAGACGTCGCCATTCCTCGCGTACCGCGGCCCTTCTTGTGCACTCGTTAACGGGATCGTTTAGAGCTGCCTTTATTTGGTCGGTCCATCGTAACGGTGATCTGCCGCGCGGTCTTGTACCCTCTATCATGCCCTGCACCACAAGGCGCTCAACTGAGTCGTCACCCCGCCGCGACACATGCCAGAAGATAGTTAGAATGCGACCCTGAACGATGGAGGATAGTCGCTGCTTGATGCCGAGTTCCTGTAGAATTGACTGATTCGTTTTGAATTCTGTCCACGTTATTTGCAGCATTCTTCTCCAGCACCACATTCCACCACTGGCCTATAGACTCTATATACCAATCAGGATAAAGCAATTTTACTGATGGTAGGACGTTTTGTGAGTCCGCGCGGGTAGGTACCACCACCCTGCCTATTTCTGCCGTGAAGCAGTAATGCGTTTCACTTCGAAGGGCGGGGCAGCCGTTATACTTTGAAAACTGGGAAATTAGAACTCATATCTCAAGGTGGTTGGCGGCATTTACGTTGTAGATGTGTATGGACTCCGGTTACCACTTAACAATAGGTGGGCCGTGAGCTCGTCAACTCATCTAAGCAATAAAAAAATTAAAAATAATATTAATTTTACCATTTCCAGAATGAGCCAGTACGCGGCTGCTTTCCGGCCCTGGGCTATAGTTTCGCTTCAGGCACTATCGATGGAGCTAACACATTAAATATTACACAGGTAAATTTTCGTACCACTTTAGTAAAAAAAAAAAACTTACATTTTTATGTCTAAAATTTGTTTCCTTTTAAAAACCAAATTCAATCAATTACTATGTTTTATTTTATGAACTACTACCTAATTAATTTGATTTCTTTTTGTTGAAAGTTAAATATTTATTCTTATTGTAACTTTGTTTTTTTTTTTAAATGAACTTCTAACATTAATTCTATTGTATATTGTATTAAAGGGTACGCTACAAGGAAATCCCCTGTTGGATATCGTGGGTGGAATCGTGGCCAGACCTACTGCTGACGATGTGGAGTGTCACGCACCTAAACCTATACTTTTGGCTACGGGAAGAGTAAGTGAAATGCAATACAGCGTATTACAGATTACCTCTTGCACGCATCCGTAATCCTTTTTATTTTATTGCTTAGATGGGTGGACACACATACATCCACAACGTAAATGCGCCACCCACCTTGAGATATAAGCTCTAAGGTCTCAAGTATAGTTACAGCGGCTGCCCCACACTTCAAACCGAAACGCATTACTGCTTTACGGCAGATATAAGCAGGGTGGTGGTACCTACCCGTGTGGGCTCACAAGAGTTCCTACCACTAGTAATCCTCTTTGAATAACGTTCCCTCGAACTATAGCGCAAGCTCAATCTGTTTGCAATGGATGGCATCGTGGACCCAAGTTTCTATTTATTCCGTAAATCCAGTTCATGGTTTATCTGGTAATGATGCGTCCGAAATTGGTATGGTTGTCCTACCTTCCCGTACGGGCATACAATACAGGACGTTTGATTTTGATTATCAGTATATGCGGGTTGGTAATGGCAATATTCTGGTAAAATACTCACAGAACGTAACTGCCCATTCCTTGATTAACCCCTTAATCACTTTTTACGATACCTACGGGAAGAAATGGCCTGGACGAGACTTCTAATGGTGTACCCGTCTAAGGCACTTAAAAGTAAAGTCGTTGCTTAATGGAGAATTACACTTAACTGTAGTTCGAAGCACAGCCAAAGGGCATGAAACTGTATCTAGAGAAATTTGTGCGTTCTTCAATTTCACTAAATATAATTTTAACTGTATTTTTTTTTCTAGGCGAACTTCCCTATACCTTGGCACCCTCACATCATCTCTCTGTCGCTGATATGGCTCGGAGACCTCGCTATCGTGGGAGTGCCGGGAGAGCCCACCACCATGTCGGGGAGGAGGATGAAGGCAGTGGTGGGAGACGTGATGCAGCGCCGCGGGTTCAAGCCCCGCGTTGTCATTTCCGGACTCACTAATGAATATATTCACTATGTTACAACCTATGAAGAGTATCAGGTCAGTTTATGTTATTCGAGACATTAAAATCGATACTAACAAAAGGAAGAGAATGAACGGTAAGAGTACATTAGTGAAAAAAGGTTGTAGGATTATACTGATTATAGGGATTTTAATTTCAATACACTTTCCTAGCTAAGAGTCTAATCTAAGTTATACGGTATATATCTATTTATTGTATGTATAATATATATTTTCCTTAATAATATATTGTTAATAGTACACCGCAACATACCTGCTGTATCTTCTTTTCCAGAATTTCGGCAAATCAAACGGTTGGCTGGAAGAGATCGCTTTTAGGGATAAGATCCCTAAAAGCGATACCTATAGTACAAATGTTTTATTTTTATTTTATTGCTTAGGTGGGTGGACGAGCTCACAGCCCACATGGTATTAAGTGGTTACCGAAGCCCATAGACGTCTACAACGTAAATGCATCACCCACCTTGAGATATAAGTTCTAAGGTCTCAGTACAGTTACTGTAGTATCTGCTTGTTGACTATTCTTCTAATGTTAATTGTATTTTGGTGGCTAATAAAGTATATTCCCTATCTCTCTCTCTCTCTCTCTCTCTCTCTCTCTCTCTCTAAGTTGTGACTTTTGAAGGGTAGGAAGGAAATGCGTATAGTTCTTAGCCTAATTCACCGATATCAAGTCAGAGCTGTGACAATTCGTTCATTATGTCCAATGCAGTAAAGGTTAATATGGTAAAATATATCAATTCGTAATCCCACTATTTACAGGTACAAAGATACGAAGCCGCCTCCACAATTTACGGTCCGAACACGCTGGATATAATGCTGAATAAGTTTTCGGAGTTCACTGTTGCGGCTATTGAGGTATTTAACACAATAAAAAGACATTGTTTTAGTAGAGTTAACGTTAACAACAATGATGGGAGGTGTTAGTCTATACAATACTAATATATATTGTTAGTGTTATATAATATATTTGACGGCCGTCTGGTGTAGTGGTAAGCGACATGGTCACTACACAAGGTGGTCGCGAGTTCGAATCCCGCCAAGGGAAGATATTTGTATGATAAATATAAAATGTCTTTTCCAGGGTTATAGATGTATATTAAATACATGGATGTGTCTAATAAAAATCTTAAATTTATTTCCGTTAACTGGTACCTGTAACACAACTGTTCTTTACGAACTTCGCACGGGACCAGTTAACGTGGCGTGATTGTAAGTAAATATTTAATATTAATATTTTTTTATTTTTTTATATATAAATCTACAGTGATTTTTACGGATGTTCCGTTATAACTACTGAATCATGCATCCGACTGACTTGACACTTGGTATCCATGTAGAAAATACATGTACTTAATGGATAGGTTAATATTTATATGAGAGTTGGACTCCCTACACCAGTTGCGGGGGCGTTAATGATGGGAATCTTTGTGGGGGTGAGAAATAATAATGTTAATTTTAAATGTCCAGCGAAGCGGACGGGTAAAACCAGTTATTGATATACTTAGTCATCTACATTTGATCGATTTTCTTAATACTGTTACGCGCTGGGGATAAATAAAAATTCTACCGAAGTATAAATTAAAGACCGTATTAGCACTTAGAACACTCACAGAAAACTTTAAAATTCTTTACTCAAATTTTCCGCTTCGCTTCAGGTTATCCGATCGCTGTTTCGCTTCGATTAGTTCCGATTACTAACCGATTACTAAGATGATTGTAATTATTCGTAGAACAAACAGGCGTTACCGATCGCTGAGCAAGGTTCACTTGAACAATTCACATGCCCTAATTTAAATATTTACGCGAGAGTTATCAATAAACCTGTCCAATCAATAAACCAATTTACATGTCCTTCTTTAGAAGAGACTTGTGGAGAGTATTAAACGGTAGGCAGCGGCTTGTCTCTGCCCTGGCATTCCTGAAGTCCATGGGCGACGGTAACCACTCACCATCAGGTGGGCCATATGCTTGTCTGCCTACAAGGGCAATAAAAAAATAATTAAAAAAACCCCGGCTAAATCATTGAAATTCTGTAATTTTCAACAGAAAGGTGACGTCCCGCCCGGGCGAGAGCCGGCTGACAATCGTGCGCACACGCTCTCTCTGATCCTGCCGGTTATCGCCGACAATCCTCCTGTGAGGAGGAGGTTCGGTGACGTCATTGCACAACCTCCTGCTGTTGTACCAAGGGGGACCACTGTGACCGCTACTTTTGTGAGTTTGGTTTTCTACTATATTTTTACTAATAGTATAGAGCTAGTAGTATAGGTGGTCACACGAGGCCTTGGTTAAATGGTCACCGAAATCTCGACCGTATTATAGCAAAGAATTTATATTCTTTAAATTGGAATACATTGTTGCTTTGCATACAAATAAGTTACGATGCTACCAGCTTGTTTCATTGGTATTTCTTTTATTGCTTAGGTGGGTGGACAAGCTTACGGCCCACCTGGTGTGAAGTGGCTACCGGAGCCCATAGACAACGTTAATGCCGCCACCCATCTTAAGATATGAGTTCTAAGGTCTCAGTATAGTCACAACGACTGCCCCACCCTTCAAACCGAAACGCATTACTGCTTCACGGTAGAAATAGGCAGGGTGGTGGTGGTCCCTACCCGCGCGAACGCACAAGAGGTCCGACCACCAGTCGTGAAGCAGTAATGCGTTTCGGTTTGAAGGGTGGGGCAGCCGTTGTAACTATACTGAGACCTTAGAACTATATGTCAAGGTGTGTGGCGCATTTACGTTGTAGATGTCTATGGGCTCCAGTAACCACTTAACACCAGGTGGGCTGTGAGCTCATCCACGCATCTAAGCAATAAAAAAATAAAAATTGGGAAAGAGCTCTTATAAAGCACTTACTTGTATTTGATTTGACCAAAACAAATTCGCTCAGAATGTGAATAGTTCTGGTGTCAATATAGCTCTTTGAAACCGAATGTTTGAGTCTACCGGGATACTTAATTATCTTCTGTGTTCCACCGGAAATTCATTCGTAATTCATTTAAGGTCGGAGCAAACCCCCGTAACGACTTGAAGCAAGAAGAAAGTCACGCAGTTGTCCAGCGTCTGGAACTCGGCCGGTGGATCGATGTCGCCAATGACGCTGACTGGGACACAAGGTGATTTTTTAGCTTAACTGAACACGTGTCTTATTAATCCTTGCCCGATATAGAGACTCAACAAATCTATCATACGCAAACCGATTTTACAGACAACCAATTAATTTTTTGATGTGTTGTTAATTTTTCCTTTCCTGATTTTGAAAGGCAATTTTAAAACAGTATTAGTAACAGCTGTTGAAAGCGAGTATTTTTGTATCATATTAACGCAAACAGCCTTTCCTTTTTTAACGGTAGGCGGTGGCTGGCTCTGCCCCTAGCACTGCTGCAGTCCATGGGTGACGGTAACCACTCATTTAAAAAAAAATAGCCAACACGTTTCCACTTAGAAATATTGAGTAGTTTTTGTAACATAGTAATCTAAATTACAGATTTTACTGGAAGCGTCTCTCCACAATAGCTGGCACGAGCGAGGTGAGGTTCTCTTGGCGGGTTCCCGAGACTGCGCAGTCAGCCCCGCACCGCGTGGAGTACCGCGGCGCTGCGCGGAGCCTCTTCGGAAGGATCACGCATTTCACGGCCCAAACCGACAGCTTCTCTATACAATAAACAATTGCTTGCATACTATTCTTGAACTACTATTTTTTTTCCTACCTATGCTGATAGCCTTGAGAGGCTATTTCAGCTTCACCCTAACGTGTGTAGGTGAGCTCACGGGGCTCAAACCGGAGTGTTGCTAACACTGACCATAGCAAGAGCAGTACTTCGCAGAATCTACCACCGGATCGGAAACGCGACCCACTGAGAAGATCCGGCGAGAAACTCAGTGGGCTGTGTCTGTGGGTTAGTTTACTCGTCGAGTCCTTCGTCATAAGCGACGGGCTCGGCGAGGACGGTGACCATGAACATAAAATAGGACCTTTTTTTAACGCTGGGAAATCTGTTCGCGTATACCTAGTCGAGTTGGACAGACCGGGCTATGTCGGACGCCAACGTCTTTAGAGAAGAAGAGGGAGAAGAAGAAAACCAAGTTAGGACCTCTTGTGAGTCCGCACGGGTAGGTACCACCACCCCGCCTAATTCTGCCTTGAAGCAGTATTGCTTTTCAGTTTGAAGGGTGGGGCAGCCGTTGTAACTATACTGAGACCTTAGAACTCTTATCTCAAGATGGGTGGCGGCATTTACGCTGTTGAAGTCTATGGGCTCCAATAACCACTTAACACCAGGTGGGTTGTGAGTTCCTCTAGCCATCTAAGCAATAAATAAAAAAAATCCTCCTCCAATTTCTGACACGAGACTACGCCTTGAAAAAGGCGCGTGAAGCACCCACCCCGCAGAACCGACTACCGACTAAATCCCATTGAGCTCCACCCTACTTCCATTGCACCACCAGCTAGATGAAACCTACGGTACCGTATAGTGCGTGCCGAAATGTGGTCACAGTAAATCAGATCAGAATAAATAAGTAAGGAAACGTGGTCATCTTAGCATTGCTTACTTCGCAACGTACTTCATAGGCAGATCATAGAAGAAAACATGTAACACAGTTCGATGATTACTAAAAAAACTCTAAGTTCTTGTATTGAAGGCTCATTTTTGACTGTTGAACAAATCATCAAACGTCCTAGTCGAACAGAGAAGCTAATTTTAGCTGTGGACTGTTCATTTTGTTCATTTTTCAATTGACAATAAAGATTCGGGCAGATTACATCAACTTTTACTTGTATTCATACAAACTATAACATTCGATTTCATGTTTTTTTTTTAATTTCTTTTTATTGCCTAGATATGTGGATGAGCTCACAGCCCACCTGGTGTTAAGTGGTTACTAGAGCCCATAGACATCTACAACGTACATGCGCCACCCACCTTGAGATATAAGTTCTAAGGTCTCAGTATAGTTACAACGGCTGCCCCACCCTTTAAACCGAAACGCATTACTGCTTCACGGCAGAAATAAGCAGGGCGGTAGTACCTACCCGCGCGGACTCACAAGAGGTCCAACCACCAGTAATTACGCAAATTATAATTTTGCGGGTATAATTTTGCATCTCAGTGTCAGTCAGATAAATCGTTTGCTTTTTATTTATTATTTTTATCGCGCAGACGGGCTAACTAGTTAACTTCCCACACGGTGTCAATTGGTAACATGGGTTCATACACATGACACTTAGAACCTAACTATTACGGCTGAGCCACTTTTAAACCGTTTCGCATGACTGCCACGCAACAGAAGGAATGCGCAGAAATACGCAGCAGTATAGAAATACGGTAATGGAGGAGACAAAACATGCCTGTTTGTTTTACCTACCGGCTGTCAAACGTTGACCATTGAAATATATCTCATATTATTTTGTCCTGTAATACTTATTTTTACATTTCCTTATTTCATTTATACAAGCTGTGTTTTGTCTTTGTCTGGGTTCTTATTTATACTAATATATAAATCTACACTGGTTTTACGGATGTTCCGTTATAGCTACTGAACCATGCATCCGATTGACTTGAAACTTTGTATCCATGTAGAAAATACATGTACTTAATGGATAGGCTAATATTTATACGAGTGTTGGACTCTCTACGCCAGTTGCGGGGGCGTTAATGATGAGAATCTTTGTGGGGGTGAGAAATAATAATGTTAATTTTAAATGCCCAGCGAAGCGGACGGGTACACCTAGTTATGTATATATTTAAATGTATGTGAGTATGTGTGTCAATCTCTGGTTCCCATAACACAGAGGAACCTAATCTGGAGCCGGATGATCGTCCGTGATTTGTTCCCGGTTATTTATTAATATTAAGTTCGCGAGACGAAATTAAATTTACAATCTTTAACAAAAATACAAATGTTTACAACATCTGACATTCACAGTGTTGTATAAAGCCAGACAGATAGTTCAGTGTTGTCGAGAGAAGCAATTGAACTAGGAATACACAAATACTAACAAGATATTAAATTCCCTGTTAATACAAGCATACATCAGTCTACATTTAACACAAGTATAACAGATATTTATCATTTCAGGTCATAAACTTTAGATAAAACGTTATGTAATTGATAAAGTTAGTTATTGGCCAGTGTTATTGTACATTGTGTTTTAGTGAAGTGAAGTAATCATTTCAGTGTTTCGTATTAATATCAAGGTGAGTTTTGTGTTTACTTCGTTCATAGAAATATCGCGATATATTGTTAATACATCACATACATATTATTATGTTTAGTACATCCAAGGTTATTTCATTAGAGTTTTAGTTACGGGAAGCATTGTGAAAAAATGTGCAGAATGAGTAAAGGTGATATGAAGTTTAAATATGTTTTTTTAACATTGTCGGAAGCTTAGAAACGAAATGCCTTTTCCTCATTAGTGTTCATTAGTGACTAGTGATATCCGTGAGGGAGTCATAAAGTGTATTTAAAATTACTTTTACGATTATTATTCTTCTTACCTATTCTAGAATAGGTTACTAGGAACCTCGAGGGGTTATTCTAGATTCGCCGAATTAGTAGGTGAGCTCACGGGGCTCAAACCTAATGTCGTTTCCAACACGAACCCTAGGAAGAGCCGTGCTTCACAGAATCTACCACCGGATCGGATACGCGACCCACTGAGAAGATCCGGCGAGAAACTCAGTGGGCTGTGTCTGTGGGTTAATTTACTCGTCGAGCCCTTTGTCCCAAGCGACGGGTTCGACGAGAACGATGACCGGTTACGATTTAATCTCGCGTTTTTCCTTATTATATGAAGGGCAAAGGCTATTATGGTTTAAGCGAAATTTTTGCAATTTTACAAGAAAGCCATATTAGTATTAAAAAAAAGAAAGTATAAATTTTGGAAAAAATATTTTATCATAAAAAACTTCTTCAGGTATTTGAATGGAGCAAACTTAATTGAACTTCAATTAAAACATCGAATTATTTATGCTAATCTATATATATATAAATGAATTGCTGTTCGTTAGTCTCGCTAAAACTCGAGAACGGCTGGACCGATTTGGCTAATTTTGGTCTTGAATTATTTGTGAAAGTCCAGAGAAGGTTTAAAAGGTAAAGATAAATAGCTCGGAATTAAATAAAAATAACAATTTTGTTTTTCCTTTGATTTGTCCCCCGGACGTCGGACGGAATCCTTTTGTTTGTTTTAAGTTTATTTTATACAAAAGTTTAGGTCTTTTGTTTATAGATTGAGGCACTACGAAGTCTGCCGGGTCAGCTAGTGCCAAATAAAACGCATCATTAATTACAAAGATAAATGTCTCGTAATATGGTACTAAGCAAAATGTCGCTTAAACCAAATAGCTTTTCACGCCTCGATATTAATTCCAATATTTCGAATGCTGTACAGTTTATATGGCTACGGAGACGACGGACTGGTTAGCTTAGTTTTGATTACGTTTACGACTCGCAGAAACCGACGAATGTATCATATTATTATTATTATTATTATTTTTTATTGCTTAGATGGGTGGACGAGCTCACAGCCCACCTGATCTTAAGTGGTTACTGGAGCCCATAGACATCCACATCGCAAATGCACCACCCACCCTGAGATACAAGTTCTAAGGTCTCAAGTTTAGTTACAACGGCTGCCCCACCCTTCAAACCGAAACGCATTACTGCTTCACGGCAGAAATAGGCAGGGTGGTGGTAGCTACCCGCGCGGACTCACAAGAGGTCCTACCACCAGTAAAATTTATTATATACACCAGTATAAACACCAGTTATCTTCTTATTTTCCACCTTATCCCACTGGGTGGGGTCGGCACACCTAATTTTTCTCTTCCATTTTCTTCTATAAGCCGTCATCTCAGCACTCACTCCTCTCTCTCTCTCATATCGTCATTCACACACTCCATCCATGTCTTCTTTGGTCGACCTCTTCCCCCTCTACCTTGCACTACCATTTCCATACATCTCCTAGTCACATGCATCTTCTCTTTACGCATCACATGTCCACACCACGCTAGCCGTCTGCTCTTTAATTTGTTGCTTACCGGGGCTACTTTCACACTTCCTCTGATAAATTCATTCTTTATCATGTTCATGCGGGCTAACGAAATATGAAAATATCAAAACAGTGCGCTCAGTGCGAGTTTTTTAACGTTCTCGATAGCGTAAAAGTTAACTCAAACTTGTATGGAATTGGATCGTTCGCCTATGTTTGCCGCTAGGGGCGCTGTTTCAACTGCATAGAAAATTAGGTTAACTTTTACGCTATCGAGAACGTTAAACAACTCGCACTAAGCACACAGTACTTAAATTTGAAATCGAACATTCTTTCAGGTTTAAGTTAGGCGTCGTTAGACGTATCGAAGGAAGGTTGTCGTGTATTTTGTTATCTATAAATTGTCTAAATTTAAACACAGAAGACCCACCAACGTTCAGTGATAATGACATCAATCAAACCAATCACAAAGAAGATAATAAATACTCCAGAAACGTGCGTCGATGATAACTTGCGCGGCGTGGTGGCTGTGTACCCACAGTTGCAATTGCATCCGAAGCACCGGGTCATCACCATCAGGAGACAGGTGAAATCAGTTACAAATGAATTTCTGGATACCTTTCTCGCCGATTTCGACAATTTTAACCTTAAAACCGCTGTATTTAGACTGTTCAAACAACGCTAACTAGACAGGTCGAGATCACCACTAGTTATACTTCTTTAGGCGCGTTATGAAAAATTGATGAGAGTGAAATTTTACGATGCGCGCGCACCGTGACACAAAATTAACAGAATGAAGTTGCCCACTAAATCGCTCATTACAATACGACCGACGTAACTTGGCGAGTCTGAATATAGCCGCGGGTGAACTTTCCGAACCGTACCGAGCATTACCGAATTTATACGATGTTAAGAAAAGGGATGTCCAATATGCGTGTTTGAGGATGTTGTTTAATCGATTTTTTTTCAAATTGATTAAATTTTAAATAAAAAAAAGAAATAAATCTTTAACTTCTTACGCGCGTACATAAGTACACGCACCCTTTTTTTGTCTTCGTCATAGAAAAAAACTCATTGGATATAATAATGGAATTATTAAACATTTTATTCATGCAATTTAGAAAGTTTCTTGGTAAAATCATGACTTTTTGAAAAAACTCGTAAACCCTACAAGGATTTGAATTTAATCACGTGTTCCGGTCAAGTTGGCAACCCTGAATTTTGTAAAAAAATGCTTGGCTTTCAGGATGACAGTATGAGAGTGGCCATCCTTGGTGGTGGAGGATCGGGACACGAACCATTTGCATCAGGTTTGTTCTGGTCTGTCCGTATTCTGTTTATACAATGGGCATTGTCATTTTTTTTTCATTTGTCAGCTGCTCTTGAGTTGTTAGGTCTCCTTCGGAGGCACTCGGGCAGCTGTTAGCAAATACCACCCCTTCTGGTTGAGCCTTTGCACGCCCACCTGTCCTGGTGAAACTGGAAAGGCCTCCGGACCACCCATTAATACTTCAATTATAAAACAAATAAAAAAATAAAAATACAATGATAAAAGGAAGAAGTTTTGAGGCAACGGCTCCGCTTTCTTTATGCCACTCATGTCTACGCCTTATGTAAAGCGATAACATTTGCAATTAATTATTAAAAAATAACTTGCAAATATTTCAATTAGTTTCATAAAATGCTTCATATTTTCTTAAAAAATATTAAAATCGCAACTTACAATAATTTTTTTTAAATAATGTCCATTGTAAACAATAATTGCGAAAAGGGTCATGTGATTCAATTTGTATATTTTCCAGGATTCATAGGTTCGGGAATGCTCGATGGCGCAGTGGCTGGTGGGGTTTTCGCTTCACCACCTACTGGACATGTATTGTACGGGATAGCGCAACTACACAAATATAATTCAGGTGAATGACATTTTTTGTGATGTCGTCGTGGCCTAAAGATAAGCGTCCGGTGCATTCGTATCTAGCGATGCAACAGTGTTCGAATCTTGTAGGCGGGTACCAATTTTTCTAATGAAATACAAACTTGACAAATGTTCACGATTGACTTCCACGGTGAAGGAATAACATCGTGTAATAAAAATCAAACCCGCAAAATTATAATTTGCGTAATCACTGCTGGTAGGACCTTTTGTGAGTCCGCACGGGTAAGTACCCCTCCTATTTCTGCCGAGAAGCAGTAATGCGTTTCGGTTTGAAGGGTGGGGCAGCCGATGTAACTATACTGAGACCTTAGAATTTATATTTCAAGATGGCGCATTTACATTGAAGATGTTTATGGGCTCCAGTAACCACTTAACACCAGGTGGTCTGTGAGCTCGTTCACCCATCTAAGCAATAAAAATAACAAAATAACTTTTTTCTTCTAATTTTCAAAAATATAATGAACTGTGATTTGAGTGAACCTTGTGTCATCAGTACCATTTTCGTTTATCAGTGATTGGCTGGAGCTTTTCTTGTTATAATGGATTTTCCTTCCGTAATTTCAGGGGGAGTTCTTGTTATCATTGGTAATTACACAGGCGATCGGCTAAACTTCGGCAAGGCCATCGAGAAAGCTAAAATAGCAGGAATTAAGGTAATGAATGACTCAGTGGTGTAGTTGTTAGCATTCCTGACAGATATGGCGTAGATCTAGGTTTGCTTTTTATTTTAATGCCCTTGTGTTTTCTTACACCGGACATCAAAATTGATAATAATATTTAATATCATCCTAATATCTGAATATATAATAAATAAGTCTGATATCTAATATTTTTATACTTAATCATATAAAACCGGATCGGAATCGCAACAGTCTGAGAAGTTCCGGCGAGAAACTCAGTAGGCTGTGTCTATTGGTTAGAACCGACCCAGTTTCGGGTCATGGCTATGCGACTACCTTCAGACTTGGGTTACAGTCGTGTAATTTAATGTATAANCATCAAAATTGATAATAATATTTAATATCATCCTAATATCTGAATATATAATAAATAAGTCTGATATCTAATATTTTTATACTTAATCATATAAAACCGGATCGGAATCGCAACAGTCTGAGAAGTTCCGGCGAGAAACTCAGTAGGCTGTGTCTATTGGTTAGAACCGACCCAGTTTCGGGTCATGGCTATGCGACTACCTTCAGACTTGGGTTACAGTCGTGTAATTTAATGTATAATAATTTGGAACAGTGACATTAAAAATTAAATTTCAGGTGGAAGGTCTTATCGTGGGAGAGGATGTGGCTTCAAGCAAGAACAAAACAGGCGGGCGCAGTATGGTCGGAGAAGTACTATTTTATAAGGTTAATATTGAAATTGAAATTATTAATTATTGCAAATACATAGAATTTTCATAATGGTGGATTCCAAATAAAATTGGCAATATAGCGCGAAGATGGGCAGAAAGATTCTTGAGTGGAGAACACGTGTTGGTAAACGCAGGGTGGGACGGCCACCTAACTGATGAACCGACAACCTAGTGAAACACGCTGGATCATGTTGGATGCAGGTGGCAACGGACCAGGCGCACTGGAGTTTGATTCTAGAAGCCTATGTTCAGAGGTGGACAGCTAGAGGCTGGGATGATGATGCCTTCCAAATTACGGTTTCTTGATTGGAGTACTTGGGCTGATCTGTTCACGGCCCATTTGGTGTTATTTCCACGATGGAGCCTAAAGACATTTGGCATTTGGCACTGCAGACGGAGGCTCATCGAAGGATGCATAATTTAGTCACGTATTATAGGTGACGTTATTTGAGGATGATCAGTACAACGAAACTGCCGTCGCTTGTCTTATCAGTCAGGTCACGAAGTCAAGCTTCCTCAATTATCATTGGTTTTTCCAAATTTCAAATCGCAAGCTATTAGTGTTCCCCTTAACCTTATTATAGTTCAAAATGTAAACAACTTGTATGTAAGGTTTAAATTCGCGATGATTATTTTCGGTATTCGGGGTCTTTGAGTGCTATAGTGTTCGTAATGTCGGGCACAACAAAATTAATATTATAAACTTGAGACAGAACGGTAAAACTAGTTTTAATTATGCTCGCGATCCGCCAAAAACCAAAGAAAACCCAAGAAATAAGCAAAAAGGCATCATACGATTTTTAAATAATTTATTTCCGATTAAAAATCTCTATACATAGGCGGCACTGAAAATTTCGGGAATAAACGAAGTGACACAACGTTACTATTTAAAAATGTATTTATTGCTTTTCGAAGTATTCTCCGCGAAATTTGACACATTTTTCCATACGATGGAACCAATCATTGAAGCAACCATTCCGTTCGGAAGTTGGGGTCTCCAAAATGGCCGTTTTGTAGGCGTCCACAGCTTCTTCAGGTGATGAAAATCTCTGTCCACGTAATTTATTCTTTATTTTAGGGAAAGTATAGAAATCATTAGGGCTTAGGTCGGGGCTGTACGGCGGATGGTCTAATAATTCTATGTTTTCTTGCTCTAAAAACTCTTTTGTTCTGTGCGCGGTGTGAGAACTCGCATTGTCGTGATGGAGGATGATGCGGCGGTTGCAGTTCTCTTTACGGAGTTCAGAAACGACCTGTGGCAAACAAATGCTAGCATACCATTCTGCATTAACCGTTCTTTGTCCCTCAAGAGGAATAGTCGTAACATGGCCGGTTTTGGAGACAAACGTGGCCACCATTTTTTTTGCAACACTCCGTGAACGAACAATTTTTGTTGGCTTTAACTCATTTTCGAACACCCAAACTCGTGACTGGTTTTTTGTTTCGGGTTCGTACGCGTATATCCAGGATTCGTCACCTGATACAATGTTGTATACAGCATTTGAGGATCCTGCGTGGAATCTTTCGAGAGTTCTGACGCACCAAGTAACGCGAGCCGCTTTTTGCTCTTCACAGAGCGAAAGCGGTATCCATCGGGAAAACAACTTTTTTACACCTAATTGTTCATGCAAGATTATTTGTATTTGACTTATGCCAATGTCTAAAGTTGCCTGAATCGCGGTATGTCACATGTCGATCTTCGTCAATCAGCTTACGCACAGCATCAACGTTTTCTTGGGTGACTGCAGTTTTTGGACGACCTTGACGGGGATCATTACTGAGCTTGACACGTCCACGTTGAAACTCAGCAAACCAGCGATAAATTGTGGTTTTGGATGGGGCTTCATCACCAAATGCAGAAATCATCCGGTCAACACACTGTTTTTGTGTTAAACCACTTCGAAAGTCATAATAAATCATCGCTCTTGAATTTTCTCGAGTCAATTCCATTTTCTCAATGACTAAACAAGTTTGACAAAACCTCGTGACAAGACCGAGAATCTTTTTTTAAATAAATAAATGGTATTCGATTTTTAAAACCAAAGAGTTTTCAATTAAAAAGATTTTAATATGACAGGAACAGTGGAAATATTCCATTCCCGATAATTTTAGTGCAGCCCTCGTAGGATAAATTCTACCTCACTTAGTCTTGATGGAAATCAAAGTAAACTTCAACAAGCAACGATTTGACGAAACCAACTCAGGGGGCTTTGTTTCTGAAGTGCAACTTCTTCAGCATCGAGCATTTGAAATTCAATGAAACCAAAAGAGCGACATTAAAAAAGGACTTCTAAAGAATTTGACCTGCGAGAGAATCAGATAAAACACTTATGAAGGTTTCACTACTACCGAGCGTAAATCACACCCAAAGGTTTATTGGTTGTATCAAATTTTGTTTGTGTTTCAGCTATGTGGAGCAATGGCCTTAAAAGGTTACGACCTTGAGACGATACGAAAGACTGCAGTTGAAGCTAACAAAAACATGGCCACCCTAGGCGTGTGCCTCAGCGCTTGCTCTCTGCCAGGCAAGTCCTATTATTTATTGCCATAAAGATGGTAGGTGAGCCCACGTCTTTTCTCGTTAAATAATTATCTATATCAGAGGGGTCGAAGTTTCGATTGTGTAAGGACTGGTCCAATTATTCAAACTGAAACAGAGGACTGGGACGATTGGCCCTAACGAGAGCGGGCTTTAATGCTCCCATCACTAATTAAGTACTTAGGTTATTATATGGTATATGTGGTATATATGGCTTGTCATTCATTTAGTAGTGTTAGTCGTAATTACTCCAGAAGGTTGTTACATTTAGAAGCTACACCGTTTGGCTGTTGTATAGTAAACAACTGTTGTAGTCGTCGTGGCCTAACGGATAAGACGTCCGGTGCATTCGTGTTGAGCGATGCACCGATGTTCGAATCCCGCAGGCGGGTACCAATTTTTCAAATGAAATACGTACTCAACAAATGTTCACGATTGACTTCCACGGTGAAGGAATAACATCGTGTAATAAAAATGAAACCCGCAAAATTATAATTTGCGTAATTACTGGTGGTAGGACCTCTTGTGAGTCCGCGCGGGTGGGTACCACCACCCTGCCTATTTCTGCCGAAGCAATAATGCGTTTCGGTTTGAAGGGTGGGGTAGCCGTTGTAACTATACTGAGACCTTAGAACTTATATCTCAAGGTGGGTGGCGTATTTACGTTATAGATGTCTATGGGCTCCAGTAACCACTTAACACCAGGTGGGCTGTGAGCTCGTCCACCCATATAAGCAATAAAAAAAAATAAAAAAATGTAAATTACATGTACATGTATGTATAACTTCCATTAAAAATCAAATGCGTAAAAAATTGCGTAATTATTAGGTAGGGCGTTTTGTGGGTCTGCACGGGTATTACCATCAGCCTATTTCCTGCCGTAAAGATTTGAGAGAGGAGGGTCTTAAGAGACCTCTACCACAACTAAACTATATGATGGCTGTCTTGTAGGTCAGCCGCCGCTGTTCGAGATATCACCTGACGAGATGGAACTCGGCGCTGGTGTACACGGCGAAGCTGGTATAGCGAAAGTCAAAATGGGTACCGCCAAGGAAATCGTCAAGATGCTTCTAGCTATAGTAATGGTTTTACATCTGTCTTTTAGTAACTTCTACTAATCACTCATTGGCCATGCTCTCATTCTTCAAATTCAACTAGAATCCTTGGTAAATATTGGATTTTTTTTTAATGCCCTTGTAGGCAGACGGGCATACGGCCCACCTGATGGTGAGTGGTTACCGTCGCCCATGGATTTCAGCAATGCCAGGGTCAGAGCCAAGCCTCTGCCTACCGCGCTATGACATGTCCTTCTTTAAAATTTAAAGAAGGACATGTCATAGCGCTCGGGAAACACCGTGGAGGGGAGCTCATTCCATAGCCGGATGGTACGTGGCAAAAAAGTCCTCTGGAAACGCACTGTCGATGAACGCAGCGGTTCCAGATAATCTGGATGAACTCTGCTCCGATGGTTGGAGGTGCGATGATAAAAAGGAGATGAGGGGATCATCTCAAACAATATTTCTGTTAAAACAAAAATCAGTTCGCTATTAATGATCATCGACAAAATCTAGCTTAACAGTGTTTTGTCTCTCTCGTTCGTATTGAATTTTAATGAAAAAGACAAAGACAGTATTTCAATTAGACTACACTAAATATTTATTGTTTCCTAATCTATTTTTAGATTGTTGGTCATTTAAAATTATCACGGGGAGATCGGGTAGCGGTCACAGTGGACAACTTAGGTGGTACTTCCTTCTTGGAAATGAATATCATCAGCGCTGAAACTAAGGATTACTTAGGTGAGTTTTTAAGTTATTTAGAAGACGTTTTGAGATGATCCCACCATTTCCATTGTACCCGCCAGCCGCCATCGTAAAGTTTATGCATAATACCTAGAGTCATTGTGCTCTTTCATAAGCAGAATCTTAACTGCCATTTTGGTACCGCAATCATCATTAATCTTAGAAATAATAATAAATAAATATTTACTAACAATCACGCCACGTTAACTGGTCCCGTGCTAAGTTCGTAAAGAGCTTGTGTTACAGGTACCAGTTAACGGCAATAAATGTAAGATTTTTATTAAACACATCCATGTATTTAATATACATCCATAAACCTGGAAAAGACATTTTACATTTATCATACAAATATCTTCCCTTGGCGGAATTCGAACCCGCGACCCCTTTGTGTAGTGTCACTTACCACTACACCAGACGGCCGTTGAAGAGAAATGAACTGCTTTTGTTCTTGCTCCGTCGTCCTTCTTAAAGTGAGATTTGAAAGGATGATGATGAGATATGGACGTGGTTGTAGTCTTACCATTAACAATCTTTTTTTTTTTGCTTAGATGGATGGACGAGCTCACAGCCCACCTGGTGTTAAGTGGTTACTGGAGCACATAGACATCTACAACGTAAATGCGCCACCCACCTCGAGATACAAGTTCTAAGGTCTCAGTATAGTTACAACGGCTACCCCACCCTTAGAACCGAAACGCATTACTGCTTCACGGCGGAAATAGGCGGGGTGGTGGTACCTATCCTTGCGGACTCCCAAGAGGTCCTACCACCAGTGATTACGCAAATTATCATTTTGCGGGTTTGGTTTTTATTACACGATGTTATTCCTTCACCGTGGAAGTCAATCGTGAACACTTGTTGAGTACGTATTTCATTAGAAAAATTGGTACCCGCCTGCGGGATTCGAACACCGGTGCATCGCTACATACGAATGCACTGGACGTCTTATCCTTTAGGCCACGACGACTTCAAGGTTCTAAGGTCTATATAGTTACAACGGCTGCCCCGCCCTTCAAACCGAAATGCACTACTGCTTCACGGTAGAAATAGGCAAGGTGGTGGTACCTACCCGTGCGGACTCACAAGAGGTCCTACCACCAGTAAAAATGTTCATAGGCGTCTGTGATAAGCCTCCATCATATGAGTAACATGCTCGATTGAAATCGAAACCTGATAACGCAGCACAACTTTACAATTGAATTTTGGCTTTACAGAAAACCACGATATCACGGTAGAACGTGTATACGCGGGGCACTTAAAGACCTCACTAGAGATGCACGGATTTCAAATATGTCTTCTGCTTCTAAACAAGGAGCATGGCGATCTCTTCCTGGAGTTATTGGACGCGCCCACTTCGGCTGCAGCTTGGACTGGTGGTGAAATATCCGTGAGGAGTGACGGCGGACATGTCGACGATGAGAGCTTGTTGAAAGGCGACGTTAGGAAGGTTCGTTTGAGTTGGCTTTGATTTTATATTTCAGCACCTCCAGTTCAAGTTACGTTACGGTGTCAGATCAGATACTTGGGAGGTGTAGTGTTGACCGCGGGTACCCCCTACTCTGACCGGGTTTTGAGCCCGGACGGAGATCGGACGTCGGGTGTAAGAGTGCAGGGGAGTCGTTTAGTGGGTGGGCCCTAAAATTCCTTGGGTCCGCGGTTTGCTCCCAACACCTTGTAGATCGTTGAGTCCCACATACCCTGTGCGCCCCTTAGGCGCGGGACCTCGTAGGAGGATAAGCTCCCGGCCCGAAAAAAAAAAGATGCTTGGGAGGAAGAGTAGCAGCGTTATTCGATTGGTTCAACTCCCAATAATACACCATACATCCTCCCATCATCTAGTGTTTGTCTGGTAGAGATATCTTTAAGCGATAGCACCGCCGATTGTACTGTTACATCATATTTCATAATGTTTATGATTCAGCGTGAAATAAATATTCCACTCTACACCTAATAACACCTTACGAGAGCACCTTTATCTACAAATTGGACAGGATATTGCTTTGATTTAAACACCTCATTTGAAAGAACTTAATACATGTTTTTATTTTCTAATTCAATGCAAGCTACACTTTATAGTTACTTCTATTAACAAATGTAAGATGGTATCTAAAATAGGAGGCTTCGGGCCCGTCTTTGTCAGCGAAACAGCAAGATCTTCTCCGCGAGAGTTTGACCTCCGCTGCAGAAGTACTGATTAAGAGCGAGGCTTTACTGAACAAGCTAGACTCAGGGTGCGGAGATGGCGACTGCGGGAATACGCTTAAAAAGTTTGGACACGGTAAGTAAGATGAGGACTTAGCGACAAGGCTATGATAGTGACTGATAGTGATAGTGATAATGAAGCGTAAGATGTGAGGTCGATCTCTCAATCGTACTCTACAAAGACTGCCCCATCCTTAAAATCGGAACACGTGGTAGTAGGTAGTAGGTCATAACAAAGGCAGTTTGGCTGGCGGTATATACCCGTGCGATTAAATAAACAAGTCATACTTGAATAGCGGTGATGAGGCGTGTTGAATACGCACAGATTGCTGGCACCACACATACGTTCTAACCCTAAGGGCGGGACAGCCCTTAGGGTTAGAACAACGCTTTGTAGATAAATCTCTCTAGCCATGATCTGAATTTCTAGGGCGTATAATTCAGATCCAGTCTGAAGGAAGAATGCCCGATGGTGAAAAGCCAACGTTCCTTATGAGGGGCAATCAGGCATTCCATTAGCACAAAGAAGCCGCTATCGACCGTAAATTACTGGTCCTTATTTTGATACCAGATTCTCTTTTTCAATTTATTAAATCAATACTGATGATAAGTGGTATCGTGACCCTGCACAGATTGGTACCAACAGCGGTCCTACCTCGTAGCAAGGTTATATCCCGACAACATGTTATCTGTCAGTGATGTCCATGAGATTGGTAAGCTGTTAGATGCCAAAATGTAACTTGCGTTTGATTATCAAAGTCATGTTAATCTTATTTTCAACAGCCATCTTAGCATATCTGAAGACAGCTTCGTTAGAATATGTCTCCAACGTACTCTGGGACTTGTCAGAAATCGCCGAGACCGACATGGGTGGGACCTCGGGTGGAATCTACAGCTTGGGGCTTTCGGCTGCATCACAGGCATTTTCAATGTAAAATGTTTTATTTTTATTTTTTTATTGCTTAGATGGACGGACGAGTTCACAGCCCACCAGGTGTTAAGTGTTTACTGGAGCCCATAGACATCTACAACGTAAATGCGCCACCCACCTTGAGATATAAGTTCTAAGGTCTCAAGTATAGTTATAACGGCTGTCCCACTCTTCAAGCCGAAACGCATTACTGCTTCTCGGCAGAAATAGGCAGGGCAGTGGTACCTTCCCGCACGGTCTCACAAGAGGTCCTACCACCAGCATTATTTTTAATATTTCTTATTCGTCAGCCCTGTATAGCAGAGTAATTCAACATAATTATCACAAACCGCAATGCGATTAACTTGAAAATTCGCACACGCATCAAGGGCCAAGCGTGGATAAGCAGTCACGAGGCTAGAGTACGTCTGGTACTAAGTGAACATCGTTTCATATTTACATAGATTGCGACGTGAAATTCTGGTGCTACTGAAACGTGAGATTGAAGTCTTATTTGCATTGGTATAAGGATGTTAATCAACTGAAAATGCTCGCAGCAGAAATAGATGGATCCGGTGATAGGCAAAATCATTCGCTGAAGTCGTATCTGCAGTCTCAGGTTTAGACAGACGGATGGAGCTCACGGTCTACCTGTTCTCAAGTGGTTACCGTCCATAAGCCTCGTCCCATATAACGCTAATTGTATTAATAATTATTTTGTGAATGTCATAAGCGCGATTAGGTTTTCTGCGAGGTTTCTTCCTGGACATAAAAAGTAATAATGTCACATGCCTTAAGAGCTATTAATGTCACAATTTTAATCCTGTTATTTGAAATAGTCACGATGTAGTCAGCTATTAACGGTATAATAAGACTTGCGCTGTATTGGTTCCACAGAGCTGCGTCCAATTCTGTCCCAACATGGCTGTCGGCATTGGAAAGCGCAATACAAGCTATTTCAAAATACGGTGGAGCTGAGCCCGGCGATAGGACAATGGTTGGTCCTTAAAGTGACTCTGACTAGCTCACACTGCCGAACCAGCGGTTTACCACAACTGAACAGATTGTACTGTTATTATATGATGTTTCCAGTAAAAGTGGACACATCTTGGTGAGCAGTGTTGAACGTTTGCAAGGTCCTATAATTCTGGTTTGAAGAGACGGGCAGTTATAGATGTAGATCTTGTGGAGGCAGTGACTTCTTAGTAGAGTATCTTTGGGTATAACTCGTTCTTGTCTCGAGTGTATTCATTACTTCTTCTTCTTCTCACTGCTGAGGATGGCGACCACATGTGACTTTCCTCCATAGTGTTCGGTCATGGGTGGCATGGACCGCATGGTTAATTAATATGTTATATGTCATGGCATAACATAGGAAGGCAATCCCAGCCTGGGGTTGTATAGCTTAATGATTAACGGTTATTGAAGTGAAAACTTCTTTTGCACCGTTGTGATTTTAAATTCGATGAAACGAAAAAGCGACGTTAAAAAGAGACAAACGTATACACAAGAATGAGATGCAATACTTCTGAGAACTATATTCCGAATTCAGCAATTCGGCAATTCAGAAATTTGCTTATAAAATTGCGTACATAAATTTTGATTGTATAATAAACTGTCTGTACCCGCCCGCTTCGCTGGGCATTTAAAATTAACATCATTATTCCTCACTCCCACAAAGATTCTCATCACTAACGCCCCCGCAACTGGTGTAGGGAGTCCAATACACATATAAATATTAGCCTATCCATTAAGTACATGTATTTTTTACATGGATACCGAGATTCAAGTCAATCGGATGCATGGTTCAGTAGTTATAACGGAACATCCGTAAAAATCACTGTAGTTTTATAGTTATTAGTTTAGATTAGACTAAAGATCAGGTTATTTACACTTGTAGTTGGACACTTTGCATGCAGTAGCTGAAACGTTGAAGAGGTGTATCGAAGAAGAACTGTTAGCGGTGCTGAAGAAGGCTGCAGAAGCTGCCGAGCGCGGCGCCAAGGCCACGGCGAGTATGATCGCAAGGTATACTAGCAATCATATTGCTATGTTTACTGGTGGTAGGACCTCTTGTGAGTCCACGCGGGTAGGTACCACCACCCTGCCTATTTCTGCCGTGAAGCAGTAATGCGTTTCGGTTTGAAGGGAAGCCGTTGTAATTATACCGAGACCTTTGAACTTATATCTCAAGGTGAGTGGCGCATTTGCGTTGTAGATGTCTATGGGCTCCAGTAACCACTTAACACCAGGTGGACTGTGAGCTCGTCCACCCATCTAAGCAATAAAATATATATACTTATCGTTCTTCTGTTTCACTTCTGTTGTGCATTACTACTAACCACTATGAACTGTTTATAAGTAATTTTATTACATTATTACTTATTGCTACTATAAAACTTTTGGCAATTTAAATATACAAGATACTTGTTTGAAAAAAGACAAGCATCTAGCTCATAGCAAGAGTCCGTTTTGCAAGATATTCTCATGACTATTATTAAGTATTTTGAAATCGGTGACAGGGCTTACTTTAACAATCCATAAGCGTTAAGTTGGAATAAATAATAAATAATAAGTTGGAATAAATGTTGCTGAAATTTGTTCTTTATATTAATACCATTTGATTTACTACTACTCTATATCCTTCCACCTTCCACTGCGTGTGGTGGGCGCCTAAGAAACCAAGAAACTGAATTCAAACTTAGCTCATGGGTGTCTTAGAAGGCAACTAAGAGCTAAAGCCTGACCAAAGCCAATACAGCCTAGGCCCAAGGTCAACAAAAGCATTTCCAAGGAGTGTTGACGTCAGGCAGATGGCTGGTCATAAAAAATTCGTCAAGACCTTAGAGCAACATGAGAATGAAGACTTTTTAATTAATCTCGCAATTAATTAACACATTTGCTGCCGACGAAGTGATATAAAATTATTAGCCAGAAACCAATTATTTTTATAGCGTATATTGATTAAGTATATATGTATGTTTAAAAATATGGATGAAAGTATGTTGATAATATTATTATTTTAATAAAAAAACACCTTTTTCGGATCCGAGTGGTCGGCACATAGATTTTCTTTCTCAGATGTCAATAATGGTCTAATCAATAGTCTCTGACACCAAGTTACGAATTATAAATTGACAGATGAGGGTAATTCGAGTTGTTTGTTTTAGAGCTGGTCGAGCATCGTACGTGGCTAGCGGTTATACGCAGCAAGAAGACGCTGGGGCGAGAGCAGCAGCTCTTTGGCTACAAGCTATACTGTGTTCTATCGCTAGTAAAATATGATTCAATATTGAATGACTTTTATTTACAAAAAAATTCTATTTTTTTTTCCAAAAAATTTTTTATTTACAAAAAACATTCATACAATCACAGCTCAAATGCCTTGCGTTGTCGACGTCGCCCAAAGCACGTCATTACGGATCCTCCCGATCTATTAACGGTGCTTTTAGGTACCACAACCACCGGTCACCGTCCTCGTCGAATTAACCTAAATTAACCCACAGACACAGCCCACTGAGTTTCTCGCCGGATCTTCTCAGTGGGTCGCATTTCAGATCCGGTGGTAGATTCTGCGAAGCACTGCTCTTACTAGGGCCAATGTTAGTAACGACGTCAGGTTTGAGCCCCGTGAGCTCACCTACACGTTAGGGTGAAGCTGAAATAACCTCTTAAGGCTATCAGCATAGGTAATAAAAAAAAGCTTTGCGTTGGAATATAGATTTTTAAGCATAAATTGGAGTCTTTTTAACGGTACGAATGGTAAGAAATTTCCAAATATTTAGACTGCTAGACACAATTTGAGGAACTATTTGGAAATTTGAATATTGATCTAAGTAAGGCCTCATTTAACGTGTGCGTGCGCCAATCTTCAGTTCGCGAATCATGGAGAATAGCTGTCAAGCTATAATAAACAAGGATTAGCCACGATTGCTCTGTCAAGAGTAACTGACCATGATGATGATCTTGACAACTGTTTTATGATAGCTACTGCCACAGTCCATAATATTGAAAATTATTTTAGATTTGGTTTATTGAAAAAAGTGTTTAATAGTACAACGAAGGTTTTTTTTAAATAAAACTACCGATACAGTTACTTAAATATAATTATTTAAATAATTTTAGTGTTTAAAGCAAAGCAAAAATGACAGATGTAGATAAGAGAGAAGAATAATTTTAACTTGTAAATATTGTATACTCTTTCTATAAATCTTCATTAATGACCTAATTCTTAAACTAAGTTTTGAAACACATTACATAATTAAAATAGCCTGTTTCACTTTTGTATTTAATGTTTTTCTTTGTCAATTTGCTGAATGTGTACGTACATCATTGATGTGTCATTCAATGATCGGCTGGCAGGTACCGTCGAAGGCTCTGTCGTAGCCAGCAGGACAGCCGTCGCCAACAAACAGCGAGACGCCATCAAACAAATTATTATTTGCACTGTCCACGACTTCTGTTTCCTTTCTCTGTTGTGCTTTTGTCGGGTGTTCTAAATCCTGTTGGTCAGGTATCAGAAGTGTTGATGCGGTACTCGGAATTGTTTTTAATTTGCTTTCGTCACGTTTGTGGATGTCGACGCCACGCGGCGGCGAAGCTTTTTCATTTTTTAATATCCTCCATCCTGTGGCTTGTAGGTCTCTGTTTAAGTCGTTTATGTCTTTTATGGACCTTCTGTATACACTGACTGCTGCGACATCTTGAATGGAAATGCTCACGATTAGCAGAACAGCGAAGCCAACCGTCGCAGCTCGCTTCATTTTGATGAAATGATATATGCGACATTGAAATTTAAAATTTAGTATCGCATTTTGATAAGAACTGGTCTTAAGGGGACCGGGGTTATCGAGTCGTAGGTTTTTCGTAAGTCGACAGTTGTTGTTCGGAAGTTCTATATAATTATAATGCAAGCTTGTATTAAAAATTATCGAGAAACTTGTTGTTCAGGGTAGGATCAACGGTACAAGACCCCATGCGCTGGATTGATCATGTGACAAACTTTACCAAATCCCAACTTGCCCAACTTGCGCAACTGCCCAGCCTTTACTGGTGGTAGGACCTCTTGTAATTCCGCACGGGTAGGTACCACCACCCTGCCTATTTCTGCCGTGAAGCAGTAATGCGTTTCGGTTTGAAGGGTGGGGCAGCCATTGTAACTACGTTGAGACCTTAGGACTTATGTCTCAAGGTGGGTGGTGCATTTACATTGTAGATGTCTATGAGCTCCGGTAACCACTTAACAACAGGTGGGCTGTGATCTAGTCCATCCATCTAAGCAATAAAAATAAATAACAAAAATGAGTCACCCGTTATGATGATGATCTTGAAAATTGTTTTTAATTTGGTTTATTGGAAAAAGTATGTTATTACAACGGAGTTTTATTATTATAAAAAAAATAACGATACAGTAATTAGGACTATTGTATATTACAATAGGTAATTATATTATATATTTTAGTGGTTAAAACAAAGCAAGAATGACCGACGTAGATAAGAGAGAAGAATAATTTCAAATTATAAATATTGTATACTTCAGTCTATAGATTAATGACCTAATTCTGTCAATTTGCTGAATGTGTACGTACATAATTGACGTGTCATTCAATGATCAGCTAGCAGGTATCATCGTAGGCTCTGTCGTAACCGACAGGACAACCGTCGCCAACAAACAGTGAGACGATATCAAACAAACTATTATTTGCACCGTCCACGACTTCTGTTTCCTTTCTCTCTTGTGCTTTTGTCGGATGTTCTAAACCCTGTTGGTCAAGTATCCGACGTGTTGGTGCCGTACTTCGAATTATTTTTGATTGATTCTCGTCACGTTTATGGATGTCGGTCTCACGCGACGGCGAAGCTTTTTCGTTTTCTAATATATTATCTTCCTTTCTGTGACTTGTAGGTCTCTGTTCAAGTCGTTCGTGTCTTTTACGGACCTTCTGTATCTTATCTTATACCTTTAAACGAGCAATTCTTGTATATATATAATCTGAATCTCGGAATCGGTTCCAACGATTTTCATAAAATTTAGTATACAGGGGATTTCGGGGGCGATAAATCGATCTAGCTACGATTTATTTTCAGAAAATGTTGTTTTAATCATGTTTTCAATAATCAACTCTTCCCGACATCTATTGGCGAATAATAATTTTAAGATTAAGATTTTATATGGAAGAATAAGCAGACTCTTTTTATTATCATAAATTATATTTTAATCACACGACACAATCTTATTAAGAAGAGAATGTAACCATGGTAACGAGTCAACATTAATAGTGCGGCGACACTCAGCTAGTACCATACCTCAAAACTCCTCCTAAATGATAACATGGTTTACAGTTATTATTTAATACACAACTATATCTAAATTAACTAAACAAACAGTAAACTAACTAATTAATAAATTAGGACAAGAACTTATCAATGCATTTATAAAACTTGTCTGTGCTCAAACTTTTAGTCATAACATCCGCTAAATTTTCATTGGTACAAATATGTTCAATGCAGATCACCTTATTGACAACCAAGTCCTTTATATAATGAAACCGTATGTCAATGTGTTTTGTACGCTTAGAATTCTCGTAATTTTTGGCCATTGATATCGCACTTTTGTTATCAACAAATAGCACGGCTTTTACATCACAACCTAGGTGCTTACATGTGCCTTTTAAATTAACAATTTCCTGTGCTAATGATGAGGCAGCTACGTACTCGCTTTCGGCAGACGATAAAGTTACGCATTGTTGCTTCTTTGAAAACCAAGCAATGGGGTTTTGCCCTTGTAGGATAATACCACCGCTAACACTTTTTCTGTCGCTTTTATCTCCAGCCCAATCGGCATCAGAAAATCCGTATAAATTATTGTCATTTGTCTTTTTAAATAATAATCCTTTTTCTTTTGTTTCTTTCAAATAACGTACTACTCTTTTTCCAGCTTTCCATAATTCTTCGTTCGGTTTATCTAAAAATCTGCTCAGATATGACACTGCAAATGTTAAATCCGGTCTTGTTGTTACAGTAAGATAAATTAGACTTCCTATTAGTTCTCGATACGGTACGTCCAAAACTTCTGTATTGTCATTTATTTCTATATTGTAATTTCTTTCCATGGGAGTTTTAATTCCGTTACATTCATCCATTTTGAATTTAGTCAATATCTTTTCAATCATTTTAGTTTGTTTCAGTTCTAATGTATCTTTATTTCTTTTAACTTCCATTCCGAGAAAGTTCTTCATTTCGCCCATATATTTTGCGTTAAACTCCTCCTTAAGTGCTTTAATAATATCTTCCCCGTTTCCAATAATTAGGATATCGTCCACGTAAATCAGCATCCAGCAATCTTCTTTGTAATACAAACAGTAATCATATTCTGATCTTTGGAATCCGTTAGCTTTCGCAAATTCGTCAAGTGTTTCATTCCAACATTTTGGTGATTCAATCAATCCATACAATGCTCTCTTTAGTTTTAATGCTGTATTATTATTTTTTATTTCTAATCCTTGGGGTATTTTGATAAATACATTAGACTTTAATTTTCCATTTAGGAAGGCAGTGGGAATGTCTAGCTGAATAATCTTTAAATTATCTTGTACAGCTTTTGATAAGATCATTCTTATGGTTGAATGTCTAGCAACGGGTGCATAAACGCTGTCAAAAATATCTTTTTTCCTTTGTTGGAAGCCTCTAGCTACCAGTCTTGCCTTTTTTGTTCCATCTTCTTTTTGTTTAAATATTAATTTTGTATCTATGAGCTTTCTTCCATCGGTTATTTCTTGTTCTTCCCACGTTTGTTGTCTTTGGAGTGCATCTAGTTCTTTATTGATTGCGTTTTTTTCATTCTGGTTCTTTTATAGCTTCTTAGAAAGTTTCTGGTGCATTTGCACTGAGACATATAACAATGTTAGTTTCATTTATGTTTTCTATATTCGTCTGGTAATCTTTAAGGTAAGCAGGAGGTTTTATCGTTCTTTTGGGTCTGATTGATGCTTCTTCAGTTTGATCAGTGTTCATTTCTGCATCTTTAAATTCATCTTCCTTTTCTAAAATATCTTCTTTTTCTGTATTGATTTCTTCTTCTTTAACTTGAATATACCTTACTTGTTACACTTCTTCCTTATTTTTGAATTTAATGTCGCTTTCATCAAATCTTACATCTCTGGAAATAACTATCTTATCTTCTTCTGGATCCCACTATCTGTAACCAACAGTACCATAACCTACCATTATTGTTTCTTTTGCTCTCTTGGCTAACTTGTCCGGTTTGGGTACTTTAGTAGCCCAAGCTTTGGAACCAAATACTCTCAATCTCGATAGGTCGTTTTTACCAAAAAATATTTCGCTGGGTGTCTTGAAGCTTATGGTCCATGATGGCAATCTGTTTAATTGGTAAACTGCACATTGTATCGCTTCGCACCACAGATGTTTTGGCAAATTGGTTTCCGATAATAGAGTCCTCGTTTTGTCGCATAATGTGCGGTTCATTCGTTCTGATATGCCATTAAGTTGTGGCGTGTACGGTAATGTGTATTCTAAACTAATACCTCTATTTATGCAAAAAAGTTTCAAACTGTTAGCAGTGTACTTTCCACCATTATCGCATCTAATTCTTTTTACTTTATTCCCCGTTTCGTTTTCAATTCTTAATACATACTTCATTAGTCGTTCTGTTGCTTCAGATTTGCTCTTCAGGGGATACACTACGCAAAAATGAGAGAAATCGTCAATAATTGTCATAAAATATTTTTCATCCTTAGGTCCTTGATGTCTGATCGGTCCTGCTATGTCTGTGTTAAGCATCTCGGCTGTCATTTTCGTTCTAGGCTTTGGGATAGGCGTGAATGGGCTTCGGGAGGCTTTGCCCTCCATACAAGGACTGCAAATTCTATTAGATACAGGTAAGTTTAGTATATTAAGGCTTTTCCTATTTAAGTGACCTAAACGTTTGTGCCATAGATCTGTCGCATCAGTAACATTACAAACTTCGGACTTACATAATTCGGCTTGTAGCTTATACAACTTTCCTTGCACGGTGCCGCATAAAAATGTCTTTTTATTAAATATTTTAACATTGTATTTATTAAAGTTTATGTTAAAACCTGCCTCGACAATCTTTTTCACTGATAATAAATTGTATGAAACATCTTTCACAATTAAAGCATCAATATTAATCGTAGTATTTTGATATTTTACTTTAAGTTTACCTCTTTTACTAGTTGTAATACATTGGCCGTTAGCTACGAATATTTTGACATGTTTATCTAAGTACGTAATATCCGTCATATAATTTTCATATTTTTCAATTATTAAATGCTCCGTACATCCTGAGTCTATAATTAGTTCTATGTTACCACATTCACCCACATTAGCAATAATATCGCTAGCAATGAAACCTATTTCTTTGTCGTCTCTGCCTGTTGCTGAAGTATGTTGATACGTTGTATGTTGTGAACTTGAATTTCCTCTAAATGAGCGTCCACGCGATCTTGGATAGCTCCGTCCTCGTGTCAATGATTGTCCTCTACTCGGCCCTTATCGTCGTCCTGATCTTCGGCATTCGAATGATTTGTGTCCACGTTTTCCGCAGGAGTGGCACGTGATGAAGGCATTATTCTCATAACTTTCACTATTTCTGTCCATTTTTAACTTTGTCTCCATATCGAGTAGTCTTGCTTTAACAAATTCTATGTTCAGTTGTTTCTCGGAAGCCATAGTCTCAATTGATGTAATTACTTGATCGTATATCTTTGGTAAAGAAGACAGCAGATAGCAAATTTGGTCTTCTACTTCGACGTTTACGTTGATTGCCGCTAATTCGCTAAGAATTCCTTCAAATTTTAGGAAATATTGCTGTAAGTTGCTTTCATTTTCATAGCGCATTGTTATGAGTTTCCGTTTTAAATAAAATTTGTTACAGACTGTTTTTCGTTCAAATATGGCCTCCAATGACGTTAACATTTCTTTGGTCGTATTCGCATTTTTTACAATGTCAATATATTTGTCGCTCAGACATTGTACCAAAATTGATTTTGCTCGTGAGTCATCTTTATCCGTCGGTTTATCTATTAAGAATACATTGCTTAATTGCTTTTCTTCCAGCAGTAATTTCAGTCTAAATTTCCAATGACTAAAATTTGAATTTTCAGTCAAAATCGGCAGAAGAGACCCCGCAGTTGTCATCTTTCTTTTTTATAATTTTCGCCGATATTATTTCTAGTGGATCGCAACCCAATATATTTTTATTTACTTACTGTACACGCGGTCTGCTACCATGTTAAGATTTTATATGGAAGAATAAGCACTCTTTTTATTATCACAAATTATATTTTAACCACACGACACAATCTTATTAAGAAGAGAATGTAACCATGGTAACGAGTCAACATTAATAGTGCGGCGACACGCAGCTAGTACTATACCTCAACAAATAATAATACTATTTTTCTTAATTGAGGGCAACTAACCGCTTTAAAGACAGAACAAGATGGCGTTATAAAAAAAAAACCGATCATCATCTAGTACCCTTGATGCGGCATCTTGAATGCTCACGATTAGCACTACAACGAAGCCAACCGTCGCAGCTCGCTTCATTTTGATGAAATGATATATGCGACATTGAAATTATAAAATTTAGTATCGCATTTTGATAAGGACCGGTGTCTGGAGTGGACCGGGGTTATCGGGTCGTAGATTTGTCGCAACGTCGGCATTGTTTTCGCTTACAATGTGCGCACGTACGTAAATGGCTAGCGTCGACATCTCTTGGGATCTAATAAACGACAAGTTTTAAAATAAAACGTCGAATAATGTTTACACATTTTTTATTGTTAATAAGCCACAGATACGCCAGTGAGTCTGTACGAAAATATTAAAGTTAAACTTCTGTTTGCGACGCATTTTTATGTGTTAAAAAAATTTGTTAAAAAAGTTTTTGTCTCCCTACCTATTCGCTGGTAGCCTAGGAGGCTATTCCGGTTACGTTCGGACGGGTAGGTGAGCTCACGGGCTCAACTTGAGAGAATTTGCTAACACTTATGAGAAGGCTCAAGATCACCCAAAGAGCGATCGAGAGCGCTATGCTCGGAGTTTCCCTGCGAGATCAAATCAGAAATGAGGAGATTCGCAAGAAAACCATGGTAACCGACATAGCCCAAAGGATTGCGACATTGAAGTTGCAGTGGGCAGGACATATTGCTCGTAGAACGGATGGCCATTGGGGCCAGAGTATTCTTGAGTGACGACCGGAAGACGTAGCGTGGGTAGGCCTCCCACAAGATGGACCGACGATCTATTGAGGTTCGCGGGGATCCGCTGGATGCAGGCAGCACAGGACCGATCTTTGTGGCGAGGCTTGGGGGAAGCCTATGTCCAGCAGTGGACGTCTGGATAAGAAGAAGCCTTAGTAATAGTAGTGGTTCGCAGAATCTACCACCGGATCGGAATCGCGACCCACTGAGAAGATCCGGCGAGAAACTCAGTGAGCTGTGGCTTTGGGTTAGTTCACTCGTCGTATAGTATATTTTGCGTCTGTCGCCTTCTCTGTAGGTTTAGTTCGTTTTCTTGGATTATACTACGTTCACATCTTCCGGCTTTGGAACACCACGAAATTCATCTCGTAGGTAAATAGTACGACCTCCTGCACTGTAGCTTGGAGCGCTATCTAATACCGTGTTCTGACCGTGAATATTACGATTTGCTGCACTGTAGCTTGGAGCGCTATCTAATACAGTGTTCTGACCGTGAATATTACGATTTGCTACGTTCTCATCTTCCGGCTTTGGAACACCACGAAATTCATCTCGTAGGTAAATACCACGATTTGCTGCACTGTAGCTTGGAGCGCTATCTAATACCGTGTTGTGATCCTGAATATTACGATTTGCTGCACTGTAGCTTGGAGCGCTATCTAATACCGTGTTGTGATCGTGAATATTACGATTTGCTGCACTGTAGCTTGGAGCGCTATCTAATACCGTGTTCTGACCGTGAATATTACGATTTGCTACGCTCTCGTCTTCCGGTTTTGGAACACCACGAAAAAGATCATGTCGGTTTTTATAATGACTTATTGCACCGTAGCTTGGAGCGCTATCTAATACCGTGCCAGCTAGGTCACGTTTGGAAACGTCCTTTCCACCACGTTTGATGAAGCGTGTACGCAGCGACGAGTCCTTGTCGCTCTCAGAAGCCTTCTCAACGACTCCTAATCCTTTGCCCACATCCTGCTTGCCCTTTTTCTCGCTGAGTTTGATGATGTAGACTTTTTGACGCAGCTGCGAGCCGTCATCTTCGTTTTTTTCAACTTGCCTGTCAACCGCTCCCAAGCCTTTGCTCAAACCTTCCGTATCTTTCAAGGACCTTCTGTGTAAGCTGACGGATCTGGCATCTTGAACGCCAATGCTTACAATCAGCAGGATAATGCCGAACGCAACCGTTGTGACTTGCTTCATTTTCTATGACTGATGTTGTTACTATGTTCTAACGTCTTTATATATATATTTTAGCATTAGATTAGATATTACTTATATAACAGTTATGATAACACGAGTGGATCGGGGTGAACAGGTCCCAAGAGCTAATTTAATATCGGTCAAAATACCCAGGCGAAAACGATTAGTCAGTTAAAAATATTATTCTGGTCTTAACGTTAGGTTTTAGGTATTATCAGGGGAAACGCTTAGATTGTTCCACATTTGGACTGCTTTCAAGTTAACTTAAACTAATTTCCTACAGTATTATACAGTAAGCGAAGAAATGGTAGGTATAATAGAAGAGTATGGAAGGAGAAAACATGTTGCGCCGACCCAAGGTGACTGGTAGAAGGGCAGGAGAATGATGATGAGTATTTTAAATAGAAGCGTCTTTTACATGTTTTACAAAATAGTCACTAAATAACAAATCGTTTTCTATTCCATCTAAGTGAGCCCGCAGCTCCCCAGCTTGACTCTATGAACTTTTAATCATAAATATGTGTTGGATGATAAATATAACGCGACATTTGTTTAAATGGTAGTTTAAAAATTATTATTTTTTAAACAAAATTTAATGGAATTGTCAGGTGTATATCACGAGGCATTGGTGACGTCAGCCGTAGTAATTAGTAGATCGACTAGGCTGCTGCATTGTAAGTGGATCGATTCTGATTTTTTTTTCTATATATATGCCTAAAAATTACACCAGCTAATTTTAGCTGATTTTATATCCACAAAGTCTCTAGTAGATCTTTGAATTAAGCTGCAAAATATTATGATTAAATCTGTTCACGCTTTATCGTTTTTATCCTGGGCGAGAACAAAGACTGCTTCAAAATTTAATTGCAGCAGAATTGTTGAATGCGACGAAATGTCGTGTTTAGTGTTTTTCAAAGATATTGGATTTCAATTACATCATTAATAATTTAAATTCATCTCGATAAATTAGGTATGCTTTTTTGTAATATTTTTATTGCCCTCGTAGACATACCAGCATGCGGTCCTCCTGATAGTGAGTAGTTACCGTTGCTCATGGGCGTCAGGAATGAAGGGACACAGCCAATCTGCTGTCTCTCATATCGCCTTTTCGCATTAAAAGTGTACAATTTCCAAAATATTCAAAATGAGTTAATATGCGTAAACATTTGGTATCACCTGTATTTTTCTCATAAATACTGTCAAAATAGCGTAGTTTGGTTTTAGTTTTTTTAGTTTACTTATGTTTTTACTATTATTAACAAAATTAATACATAATTTGTATCTTACTTTAAAAGACAGACAATGTAACTGGTAAAAAATTAAAAATAAATGTTGCAAATGATGATTAATATTAAAAATATTAGTTTAAACCTATAAAGAACTCTCCTGTAAAATTAATTACTTTTGAGCTTATACAGTTTTAATGCGAGAAGACGATATTATACCAACTAATTGTATTTCGGATTCAATATATCGTCCTTCAGACAGAGACGCACGGATACCTCGTAATGAACGTAACATAATGAACCCAGAATAAAACACATATTTGCTTAATTACTGTTCGTGGATATTGATACGAATCAAGCAGAATTTAAAAAGTCAGGGCCACAAAATGTCCAAATATTTTGTGGTAGCATTAAACATATTTTTAACACGCTCTTTGCTCTTTTTGCACGGGGTAGCTGAACGCCTCACTACCCCGTACAGGAGACGAGGCCTGGACAGACCGGGCCAGCACTGGTGTGGGACTGCGGAAGAATTTCGATTCCCGCGGCCCCACGCGTACGTGTAGGGTGACACCGGGGTGGTTTTAGCCGGTAGGAGTCCGGCACGCCCCTACGCCTTTCCCCAGGCGGAGGTAGTACACGAGGATTTACCCCCGAAAAAAAAAAGTCGTTGTAACTATACTGAGACCTTAGAACTTATATCTCAAGGTGGGTGGCGCATTTACGTTGTAGATGTCTATGGGCTCCAGGAACCACTACCGCTTTTTAGTTAATATATTTGTTTACATAGGTTTTATTTATTTAGTACTTTTTCCTGTTTCTTTCCGTTATGTTTTGTAAGAAACGTGATGATGATTCGCAAATTTTAATTGTAGTTAAAGTTATCGGTGTAGGAAACTTAAGACGAACGTAAACAATCTGTTTGTTATTTCGATTTTGGCCCCGAAATCTGACCTGTCGATTAGATAATGACAACTAATTAGTAAGCTGTTTATTAAGCAAAAAGTACCTACCTAATTTAAAAATTTTGTATTTTTACAATTTGGCTTAGTATGGTAATTTAAGTCGTCGTGGCCTAAAGAATAAGATGTCCGGTGCATTCGTATCTAGCGATGCACCCGTTTTCGAATCCCGCAGGCGGGTACCAATTTTTCTGATGGAATACGTACTTAACAAATGTTCACGATTGACTTCCGCGGTGAAGGAGTAGCATCGTGTAATAAAAATCCAACCCGAAAAATTTTAATTTGCGTAATTACTGGTACTAAGACGTCGTGTGAGTCCGTACGGGTAGGTACCACAATTTCGCCTATTTCTGCCGTCAAGCAGTAATGCGTTTCGGTTTGAAGGTTGGGGCAGCCGTTTTATTGTAAAAATTGTGACTTAGAACTCATGTCTCAAGTTAGGTGGCAGTATTTACGTTGTAGATGTCTATGGGCTATGATAACAAATTAACATCAGGTGGGCTGTGAGCTCGATCACCCAATTAAGCAATTAAAAAAATATTTAATACTAGCAGACCCGGCCACAAGTTGCCGTGGCTAAGGTTTTTATTTCTAAATAACACGTGGCCGGCTATGCTAATACCAAAAATAGGAACAATTTGATTTCTGTGTATTGCGTTTACTACGAAATAAATTTCACTTATATTTTAGCCTCAGCAACACGTGGTGTTTAAGCCATTAAACTGTAAGCTTAGGAGAAACGTTGGTATTTTTAACACAGCGCCATCTATGAGACATTAATGTCAGATAGTAACTATTGTCTATAAAAACTGATTTAAGGCACCATCTGTTTTAGACTTATAAAACTTACAATTAATAACAATTATAAGCATAAGAAATAATTTTATTGTACATTAATCGAAATAAAAACCATTCTATGGCCTAATTTGGAACAAAATACATATTTAAAAAAAAAGTTAAAATTGGTTCAGTAGTCCATCGCGGACTAACAGCGTGACACGTAATTTATATACACTCGGGTGCAATGAAATCGCACATCTGTACATTTTTGGAAAAATATTATTTACTTCTTTTTATTTAAAAAAATACATGTATTTTTTTAAGTCTGCTAGGAATAGGTGTAATCAAATGATACGCAATGCCAAGCGCCGCCACATTCTGGATAATATCGCTTCTTCTTCTCCTGCCGATGTTTGGAAATTTCTCGGAACTTTGGGTATCGGCAGATCGCGACGTTTGGACATTCCAAATATTATTCAATTAGATGATCTCAACCGACACTTCTCCACATCCTCCGTGATAGATNCAGTTGCAAGCCAACGCTTAACCTGATAAGACCTCTAGTGACTCCAATTGCATTTGTCTGAAAAAGATGGATACTACTCCGGAAAAAGCCGCTCAAGTCGTCGCTCTAATTGAAGCGGGCCAGAACCAGAGTGCTGTAGCTCGACAACTGAATATCAGCCGATATTCAGTTCGTCGTGTGTACCAGCGCTATCGGGAGATTGGTGGCTTTGAAAGGCGACGAGGATCTGGTCGAGCAAGAGCTACAACACAGCGCGACAACAGATTTCTTGTAACGACAGCGTTGCGAAATCGTCGTTTGACTGCCGTTGAACATGCACAGCAGCTTCAACAGGTGCGTGAAGTGGTAGTCAGCAGGTGGACAGTCAGAAGGAGACTTGCCGAAGGTGGTTTGACTGCGCATAGGCCAGCAAATGGCCCTAAATTGACGCCAGCTCACCGCCGGGCTCGTTTTCGATTTGCACAAGAACACGTCAACTGGACAGCCGACCAGTGGAAGTCCTGTTCTCAGACGAGTCCAGAATGTGTCTTCATGATAATGATGGACGTGGAAGGGTCTACAGAAGGCGCTCAGAGCGATTTTCCCAATGTTGCATCACAGAACGTGTAGCATACGGCGGTGGTTCGTGTATGTTCTGGGGAGGTATCTCACTCGAACGAAAAACAGAACTTGTCTTCATCGTTGGGGCCAATATTAGGCGACAAACAAGAGGTCTAACATCTCAAAGGTACATAGAGGAAGTTCTACAAGAACATGTCGTACCATTTGGCCGTTTAATTGGAAGTAACTTCCTTTTTATGCATGACAATGCAAGATCTCATACCGCTGCGATAGTGAGACAATACTTATAAGAAGTAAATGTACCCGTGATGGAGTGAGTGGCCAGCTCGGAGCCCGGACCTTAATCCGATTGAACACTTGTGGGACGAATTAAAAAGAAAAATTAGAGGTCGAAATAGTGCTCCAGCTAATCTCCAGGAGCTACAAAATGCGCTCAAAGAGGAATGGGACGCCATGCCACAAGACTTTATCAGAAACTTAATAGAGTCGATGGGGAATCGGTGTGAAGCTGTAATTCGGGCAAGAGGGGGCAATACTTGTTACTAATAAATGATTTTTCAGTATTTTCTGTTTTTTTTTTTTATTAATCCCCAAATTTTAAACGGTTTAGTTGAGTAATCATTTTGTAATAAAGATTAAATTGTTGTTGTATTTTATTTTCCTCAAGAAAGTAACCTTATCTCCACTTATATGGTATCATTGAATAGGTATTGAACTAACCTTTAACCCTATGTTAAAAATATACGTATTTTTTTAAATTAAAAGAAGTAAATAATATTTTTTTTTAAATTTACAGATGTGCGATTTCATTGCGCCCGAGTGTATATTAAAATTAGCTTGACAGTCATTTGGAAATTCTGTGGCACATAAAGTTGATTATATAATCTGATTTTTTTATAAAGCTTAGATGCGTGAACGAGCTCACGGCCAACCTGGCATGAAGTGGTGGCCAAACATCTAGAAATTAATAACGTAAATACCGCCACCCACCTTAAGACATGACTTCTAAGTCTTAGCTTTAAAGAAGTACTGCATTCTTGCCTAACCTGAACCTAAAACGCATTACTGCTTCACGGCAGATACAGGTTATTGGTACATACCCGCACGGTTTACAAAATGCCCTACCGCCCAAACTATATGTTACGGTAAATACACTCTTGGGAAATGTATACTTTTACCGGCAAATGTGCACATTTGCCAAAAAGTTATGTCTATGTGAACTGAATATAATGTATATGTATATAATGTATTTATTTATTTAAATCAAAATACAGTTTAGCTTTGTAAAACTATAGCAATTGAGTTGCTCTTATAAAGAGAAACAACATTTAAAGCTATTGCTTCACCATTATTTTTATATCTTTTTATATTTTAATATTGCAAAAATGCTCTTTATATGTCTAATATTCTAATGTTTTAATAATCGAAATTCTATTTATGTCATCTATAGAAGAATGATATAAATAACATATTAACCTCTTTAAGGATTAATCGTATAGAGGTTACATGTACATTTCCCGGCAAATGACAATGTGTACTCTTGTCTTCACGTTTTGGTAAATTTATACTCTTACCTTCATGTTTTAAGAAAAGTTACTGTAAATACAAATAAATTAATAATGTTGTTGCAGTAAAAAATATTTATTTAAATAAACATAATAACGAAAATTATTTTACTTAAAAAATGTAAAGGACAAACAAAACATACTTTTCTTTGCATATTATATAATATGTCGTAGGTTAGGTTAGGTTGTAATTACGATGCTCGGCAGCGACGAGTCCTGGCAGGCGAAGCTCGCAGAAGGAGGCGGCGGAACGGGAGAGGGAGAGCTCTTCTTCCCTCTCGGCGCCGTGCCGCCGTCGCCGAGCCGGGGGTCGGATGAGGGCGTTTGTCCAGCTCCGGCCCCTATGAGGAGGCAGTCTCCTCCTGGTGATGGTCACAGGGCGACCTAAGGGGGTTGAGGCTACGTCGCACGCTACCGTCACTCTAGCGCGCTGGCACCAGGAGGACGGGACGACGCGACGGCGGCTGCGGCCTGCGATGCGGTCCGCGTCGTCGCTGTCGTCACCGAACATACTGTGGTAGAGCCACCCGGTCGGCGGTGTATCGCGATCCGACCCGGCAGGCTGGTTCTGGCCCAGCGGGGTATCCCCAAACACCAGCGGCATCGCCTGGGCAGCCTGGTAGAGCCGCCGTACCGCGGAGACCGACGTCGTTGGTCGTCGACTATCGCCTCGACGACCCGTTGGTCGGGCGTCCTCGGGGTGGCGCCGCGTGTCTGGTTGTAGTGTTGACCGCGGGAACCCCCCTACTCTGACCAGGTTCTGACCCCGGACGGAGATCGGACGTCGGGTGTAAGAGTGCAGGGGAGTCGTTTAGTGGGTGGGCCCTAAAATCCTTGGGCCCGCGATCTGCTCTCAATACCTGCAGATCGTTGAGTCTCACATACCCCGCGCGGCTCCTAGGCGCGGGAACCTCGTAGGAGGTTCGGCCCCCGGCCCGAAAAAAAAAAGGTTAGGTTGTAGCGGTGCGCATTACTAGCACTTGCGATTTCGTATTTTGTATGCCATGTTCACATTTACCAAAACGACATGGTCATTGTGCACATTCAATGTACATTACCCTTCTTTGAAATTGTAAATGTTAGTTGAATGCACATTAGCCAAACGAGGAGGCTAATGTGTAAACGGAAAATATGTACATTTGCCACAATGTCTACTTTTACCGTAACATAAATATCTTATATGAGAAATTTGTTTATTTGATCTAGCAATCCCAGCATCTTCATACTACCAACGTACTTCTGTATTGTTCGTCTATGGCAGTAGTAACTTTGTAGCGGTTGGCCATCGCAGTACACAAGATATTTGACAGACGCCTGAATCTCGCTAATAAGATTTCGTGTTTCCTTCTTCAGATCCTTCCGATCCACTGTGCTTTAGGGATTCCAAGCACCTGTCACCGTTTTCGTCGAATGAGACGAAAGGTTTCATACTTTTCGTTAGGGACAAAGCTTGTATAGCACAATCCTACATATTTCTGTCCTCAACCAGTCAGTTTCGGTTTGAAGGGTGGAACGGTGGTTTTGAGGCTTAGACTTCATGTCTCAAGGGGGCGGCGGAGTTGTTCAACGACCACGGGGAACCACTCAACACCAGCTGTACAGCGAGCTTATTTACCCGTCCGTGACATAATAAAAAAATAAATTGCGATTTAATCATAAAAGTAGTTTTATTTAGGCAAATTGCGATTGAGTAATTAACACACTGTATATTTATATATGTATATATTATTTTCATAAATAATTTAATTCGTATCTAAATTAAAAATCCCATTCGGTCGATTTCTCGATAACCATCTCGGAGAGTTGTTCTTGGATCGAGAGGGCCGTCATGTAATCTGTAAAGTTACAACGGAAAATCTCACACAAAAAAATAGACACTGATGACTAGCGCTGAGAGATTTCTTCAGGCCTTTATCTTAAATAGGGTCTTCTTCTTTTCCTTCACCTTATCCCACTACAGTAGAATTATTTTGTCCGTGCAGTTTGGGTCATAAAACATAGCCCGGCTAGGGAGGGCGGAGAGCATGTTGCGCGAGCGCAACGCCATTATCGATAAAAACAAATGACTCATCGAAGGCAGGTACGCGGCGGCGGAGTGGTATACGAAGGGTGGTGAGACATTGTTATGTTATGAGTCATTTGTACTTACCTGCAAATTATAGTTCATTATGTCGAAGAGAAATGTGTTTTTATGCATTCGTTCTCTGAATTTTTTTAGTGACACAATGGCTACTCCTTTGTTTTGTATCAAAACGGCAGAATTTATTCAAAATAATAATTGCACGTGTTGTTATCAACAATGTGTTAAAATTTTTCACTGAAAAAAGAATAGATTCCGAAAAGTTACAGTGTTAATTTCTGCCGTTCTCGTTAACTTGCTGCGGCGATATGTGGTGTAAGTGTTCGATTAGTGATTTTTTCTTTAATTTTTATCACTAACCCACAAAATGACAAAACTAAATACACTATCGATAACGCTTATCGACAATAATAATGCGCATCACTATGCCCGTCCATAAGGCTCGTGAGTGGAAGAGAGAGCGAAATACTCGCTGCACCGCTCCGATTTTTTATGACCCAAACTGCACGGACAAAATAACTCTACTATAGGTAGGGTCGGCACAGCTAATTTTTTTCTTCCATTCTCTTTTATCAGTCATTAAAACACTCACTCCTCTCACCCTCATATCGTCATTCACACACTGCATGCATTATTTTTATTGCTTAGATGGGTGGACGAGCTCACAGGCCACCTGGTGTTAAGTGGTTACTGGAGCCCATAGACATCTACAACGTAAATGCGCCACCCACCTTGAGATATAAGTTCTAAGGTCTCAAGTATAGTTACAACGGCTGCCCCACTTTTCAAACCGAAGCGCATTACTGCTTCACGGCAGAAATAGGCAGAGTGGTGGTACCTACCCGTGCGGACTCACAAGAGGTCCTGCCACCAGTAATTACGCAAATTATAATTTTACGGGTTTGATTTTTATTACACGATGTTATTCCTTCACCGTGGAAGTCAATCGTGAACATTTGTTAAGTACGTATTTCATTAGAAAAATTGGTACCCGCCTGCGGGATTCGAACACCGGTGCATCGCTAAACACGAATGCACCGGACGTCTTATCCTTTAGGCCACGATGACACATGCATGTCTTCTTCGATCAACCTCTTCCCCCTCTACCTTGCACCATATTTCTTACCTGCATTACCTTTCTTGAAATAGGGTAAGGTTAACAAAAACAATTTATTTCTATCCCAAAGTCCACCGAGTCAAAAACTCACCGGGGTCAGGTTTGATGGGCTTGGCGCGTCCTATGAGTCCGGGCAGGAAGTCCGCTCTTCGGATCTGCTTGAAGAACGCGTGGTTTAGGAGTTGAGAGGCCGAATGTCTTTTTTCCGGGTCCCTGGGGGAGAAATGGGAAACAGTTACTGCTGGGAGACACGCGGGACTGGCGACGCGAAAAATCGCAGTCTAAGCATTTATTGCCCCTCCTCGTCAGTACTTTTCCCCCCTACCTATTCGCTGGCAGCTTAAGAGGCTATTTCAGCTACGTTCCTCTGAATGGAAATTCACCTAGAGGTATTGAGGAATTTTATTTACAAAAAATTGCTTGTTGTGAGCAGTCTCTGTTCGGAGGAGATGTCAGCAGCCGGTCCTGCGAACTACTAAGTGTCGTTAATACCGTCTCACCTCTGCAGCGTCACGTCGGTGAGCTGGTGGAAGGTCTCCGACAGCTTCCTCGTCGCGTACACCTGCCGCAGCCGGGACACCGCGTCCGCGCTGTCGCCGACTCCACTATCCGTGTTGTACATACCTGGAAAAAATTTCGAATTGCTTCAAAATGGAAAAGGAATCCGGGGACCAGCTGGACTAAATGTCCTCCGAGTCAACAGCCAACGAGAAGAAATGTAAAGCTTTAATGCTTAAATGGAGCCTTGTCGCCTTGTGCTCAGAGAGTTCTGTAGCTAAGACTGGACATGGGTAGGCTTTGGTGACGTTCAATGACCACACACCGCCTTACTTTTCAGCGGCTCTCCCGCCTTTAAGCTTGAACGCATTATTGGATCGTGGCAGATTTAGGACACGGTGGATCCGGTTCCGGTTGTCTTGTACGCTAGACGTTTGCTAAACACTCCCGATAAACAAGTGAAAATCAGTGAGAAATAATAAGCCCACCTTTAAATAGTGCAACACCAAATATTTATGGAACGTGTGTTCATCGTTATGAATCATAGTGAACTTAAAAACACATTTAAAAAGTGATAAATCCTGTACTCAAAATCTAGTTAACATTGTTCGNCAAAAAAGATGGGACGATGATATCAGGCAGGTTGCGGGCATAACATGGAGTAGAGTAGCCAGAGAGAGATCAGAATGGAGTAGGTTAGAGGAGGCCTTTGCCAACTGGCAAACGGACTTACAGAGAGTAAACAAGCACCAAATACACCAATTTTAATTTTCTAAAATACATATATATATATACATATATCAGTATAAGTGCAGTAATATAAGAAACTTAATTTTATATCTGTTTTCCGAATAAAGGGCTCTATTATTATTATTATTATTATGGTACCAGTTCATGCGGGCTTACTTCATGCATGAAAATAGAACAAGAGTCTTAGTATCCGTAGGTAAGGAGTTATGTGAAGGTACTGTAACGCCGGACAGAAGGTAGGGCTGTAATATGCCACGAGACAGGGATCTGAACTTTTGAGGTTTCAAGGGCAAGTTTATTTATCATGGATCCGATAAGAGACTTAATGAGAAGAAGACAATAGGGGACGCAAAGCAAATGTGATCAAGAGTAGGGGTTAACGGTATACTTAAATTACACGTGTGGTCCAATGGCGGCCTCACGAACAGTTCTCTGGAGAATTGCTCGAGAATACTTTGAAATTTATTGTTAAAGGCAGTTCCAGTCCTCAAAGCACAAGATTAATGTTGATTGTGTGAACAGAACTGATGCACATAGAGGGAGTGGAGGAGATCTACTGTGCCAAACCATAGTACCAAAGTTCCATTAATTTCGAGGAATTATATTTTAGACGATAAAAATATCTGCGTTCTGTCATTCATACTTAGAATCATTGAGCATCAGGCTTTAGAGCGAAGTCTCCTCTTCTTTCACTGCTTGTAAATATTAGTAAATATTACTTATTAAATATTTACTACTTAATAATTTATTATTAATATTAAAACATTATAAATAATTTATTATTATTACTTAATGATTTATTATTATTTAATAACTAGCTGACCAGACAGACTTCGTAGAGCCTCAATCGATAAATAAACTTAAAATAAACGAAAGAAATCCGTTCGATGGGGGGGACATCAAAGGAAAAACAAAATTGTTATTTTTATTTAATTCCGAGCATTTTCATATCTATCTAACCTTTTAGATCTTCTCTAGACTTCCACAAATAATTCAAGACCAAAGTTAGCCTAATCGGTCCAGCCGTTGTCGAGTTTTAGCGAGACTAACGAACAGCAATTCATTTTTATATATAGAGATTATTTATTATTTAATAAGTAAAACACATTATTACTTATTAAATATTTATTTACTATTTATTAAATATTAGTAAATATTACTCGATGTCATTTTTTCAATTACGTTTTAAGACCAAGTGGTAGGGACTGGGCTAGAACGGCGGAAAGCCGTACCACCAGCCATAAAATCCTGTAAATAGCAATTAAATAAACTCACTTTTCATCTCGTTATCCTCGAGGCAGGGTTCAGGGAAGGTGGAACAGTCGAGGAGCTGGGGGCGGCTGCCCTTCACCTTCTCCGTGAACATGAGGGTCGTGGGGACTTCGGCGAACGGGACCGCCCCGTTGGCCAGTTCGCAGCAGAGCACTCCGAACGAGTAAATGTCAGAGCGTTCGTCGTAGCCCTTGAGATTCTGTTCAAGACGAAATATCGATCGACTTGACTCTTTATTCGAGACTCTTTATTAAGAGATCGAGTTATCGGATTATTTAGGACAACATTTCGACGGAAAGACTATTTGGTTAGATGGGACGAGATCACAGCCCACTTGGTATTAAGTGTTTACTGGAGCCCAAAGACATCTACAACGTGAATGCCACCACCTACCTTGAGATATGAGTTCTAAGGTCTCAGTATAGATACAACGGCTGCTCCGCCCTTCAAACCGATACGCATTACTGCTTCACGGCAGAAATAGGCAGGGTGGCGGTGTCTACCCGTGCGAACTCACAAGAGGTCCTACCACCAGTAATTACGCAAATTATAATTTTTGCGGGTTTGATTTTTATTACACGATGTTATTCCTTCACCGTGGAAGTCAATCGTAAACATTCGTTAAGTAGGTATGTTCATTAGAAAAAATTGGTACCCGCCTGCGGGATTCGAACACCGGTGCATCGCTAGATACGAATGCACCGGACGTCTTATTCTTTAGGCCACGACGAATGTCGTGATCTACAACGTAAATGCCGCCACCTACAATTTCATTCAAGGATGATTGATCCTACCATAATTGCCTCGTTTTTTATTAAGGCTCCGTCGACGCTGAACGACGCTTTTTACTGGTGGTAGGACCTCTTGTGAGTCTACGCGGATAGGTACCGCCACCCTGCCTATATGCCCTGCCGTGAAGCAGTATTGCGTTTCGGTTTGAAGGGCGGGGCAGCCGTTGTAATTATACTTGAGACCTTAGAACTTATATCTCAAGGTAGCGCATTTAAGTCGTAGATGTCTATGGGCTCCAGTAACCTCTTCACACCAGGTGGGCTGTGAGCTCGTCCACTCATCTTGGCAATAAAAAAAATAAAAAACAAAACGCTTAAAAGTGATAATGAGATTTTGACCTGTTCCAAGACCTCGGGGCTCAGCCACATGAGGTTGGCGTTGTCGTGGTCGGGCGGCGGCAGGAGGTGGAGCTTCCGTTGTCTCTGGCCGCGCACCATCATGCTGGCCGCGGTCCGGAGCCCCGACAGTCGGGCCACGCCGTTCGCCCCTATGAGGACGTGACTCGCACGTACACTCCTGGAAGATGTAAGAAGATTACGAAATCTTTTGATATTCACACGAATTAGTTGCCGAAGAGGGATTTTATATTAAAAAAAAAATTTGGGAACGATTCAGGTACGGTCATCTGGGTACCTGAGATCAAGAAACATATTTATAACCCGCAAAATTATAATTTGCGTAATTACTGGTGGGTAGGACCCTTTGTGAGTTCGCGCGGGTGGGTGGGTACCACCATCCTGCCTATTTCTGCCGTGAAGCAGTAATACGTTTCGGTTTGAAGGGTGGGGCAGCCGTTGTAACTATACTTGAGACCTTAGAACTTATATCTCAAGGTGGGTGGCGCATTTACGTTGTGGATGTCTATGGGCTCCAGTAACCACTTAACACCAGGTGGACTGTGAGCTCGTCCACCCATTAGAGCAATAAAAAAAAAATAGTTCTAAATACATACATATAACATATATAGATAACTAGCTGTACCCGTCCGCTTCGCTGGGCATTTTAAAATTAACATTATTTCTCACCCCCACAAAGATTCTCATAATTAACGCCTCCACAACTGGTGTAGGGAGTCCAACACTCATATAAATATTACCCTATCCATTAAGTACATGTATTTTTTACATGGATACCAAGTTTCAAGTCAATCGAATGCATGGTTCAGTAGTTATAACGGAACATCCGTAAAAACGAATGTAGATTTATATATTAGTATAAATATAGATGAAACCCCAAATAAAGAGCAAACAAACCTATTCATCACACGAATGTTTGCCCGACATGGGAATCGAACCCATGACTTTTGTTTATTGCCCGAACAGGCAGATGAGCATACGGCCCACCTGATAGTGAGTGGTTACCGTCGCTCATGGTCGTCAGCAATGGCAGGGGCAGAGCCAAGCTGCTGCTTACCGCTTAATATTCTCCACAAGCCTCGTTTGAAGGACATGTCATAGCGCTCGTGAAACACCGTGGAGGGGAGCTCATTCCAAAGTCGAATGGTACGGTGGCAAAAATGATCTCTGGAAACGCACTGTGGATGAACGCAGCGGCTTCAGGTAATATGGATGAGCTCTACTCCGGTGGCGGGCGGTGCGATGGTAAATACATGGACTATAGCTGTCCACTGCTGAGGCCTCTCTCAATCGGTCTGCAGTGCAGCCGGTCCGTTGTCACCTGCATCCAACGTCACGCAACGACTTACAATAGCAGCACTCACCTATGTATGTACAATTGCTTGTGTAAATACTGCAACGCTTGCAGTACATCCCTCAGTACGATTGCGCAGGCCAGCTCCGAGATTCCTTCGGGAAAATATCGGTCCAGGATGTCCCGACACGAGCCGAAGCTCATGAGCGGAGAGACCACGTATAATTCGCGGCCGTGGACGAAAGACGCCAAATACGGGAGTATATTAGCATGATGCAGCTCTTTCCTTGTCAATACGTCTTGCTGAAACGATAGGAGGTTTAATTTTATTGGTGCTATTTTGAGCCTGCACGGATTGGTACCATATAATACCGCGAAGTATCTAGTTGACCTCGTGTCTTAAAGTAGATGACGTTGCTCATTGTGACGTCTCATCATCATAATCAACATCGTCATCATCACCATCATCACTATCACCATCATCATCATCATCACCACCATCGTCATCGTCATCATCATCATTATGTCTATGATTATGGTGGCTTACTTTAGTTTGATACAGTGTGGTCTCCCTAGGACCAAGATGTTATATATTTTATACCGGTGATCATGGTTAGACTGAAAGCTGCGGTTAGAACGTTAGGGACGGCAAATAGCAGTGCTTATAATGTAGATCCTTAGTTCTCAAAGTGGCCCAGGGGACCTCCAGCGGTACACTGGAGACTCGAGGGGTCTAGGTCGGGGTGACAAAACAATGGGGATCCACATTTCTAAGCGGGGGTGCGCGAAAAGTAACTTGCTTTCGATAGTAAATTATTTGCTGTCAATTCATCAAGTACGTCCCTGCCATTAAAATTATGACTATTTTCTGATTGTTATTGTAGAAGTAACTTTACATTATTATATGAGTGTTTAATTGTAATTATCTATACTAATATATAAATCTACAGTGGTTTTAACGGATGTTCCGTTATAACTACTGAACCATACATCCGATTGACTTGAACCTTGGTATCCATGTAGAAAATAAATGTACTTAATGGTTAGGCTAATATTTATATGAGTATTGGACTCCCTACACCGGTTGCGGGGGCGTTAAAGATGAGAATCTTTGTGGAGGTGAGAAATAATAATGTTAATTTTAAATGCCCAGCGATGCGGACGGGTACAGCTAGTAATACATACGACTGCTATCACATTAAAATATATTGTAACAATGTAATATGGTATATAATAATTATTGATAGTATAACAATTACATGTTTGATTAAATGACAAATTAAGTACATAATAAACGAATCAATTCTCCCTATTCTTTTATTTTACTTCGAAAACTGTTAATTCGTGGTTGAATCTCAGCCGCGATGTAAATTTCTATAGCTAGATCTATTCTTCTCGCTTTCTTTTCGAGTTTTGGGAATATCGTAGAAATGTAGCGGCATTGGGTCGCCCGGACCCAGCTATATTTTAAAGTCTGTCTATGAGCATAATAAGTCTGGGAAGCACTGATGTAAACGGTCGCGAAAGTAAAATGAGTGTTTTTTATAAACGCAATAAATATAAGACTAAGTAAAGTATTTCCAATTATTGTTCGTTCGTAGAGGCATTCGCTCCTGGCCTTTTCATTTTCATTTTTCATTATTATTATTGTTTTTAATTGTATTTTTTGACTTGTTTTTTCGTTTATTGTAAATCTTTTTACTTATTTAAAAAAAAAAATTGAGAAAAAACAAAAAAAAAACCGCTAAGTTTGTTTCGCCGGTTCTTCTCAGGACTGTGGCTCTTTTTGGAACCAATGGTAGAGTTAACATTTTTATTTATATTTTGACATTCAACAAGTGTGTTATGCTGACATCTATGTTGAAATAAATGATTTTGAATTTGAATTGTCAGTTCGACGAAAATAATGTTAAAACTTAATAATTCGTTTGTCATTGATATGCCTTCACTTTAACAAGGAAATAGCGTGAATGATATTATTTATTTATAGTGGTCGGTTGTCGTAATTGATTTGGTAAACTCTGCTTTGTATAAATTTTACGAATGACGCTTGTCTGTGACATCATAGTGCAATACTGGATGGATTTACTTTATTCGGTTTACTTTTTATGTTAGGCTTTTCGTGCCAAGGCCATCTTGAAATAGAAGAATGAATAAGACGTCCGGTGCATTCGTATCTAGCGATGCAACGGTGTTCGAATCCCGCAGACAGGTAGGTACCAATGTTTTCTAATTAAACACGTACTTAACAAACGTTCACGATTGACTTCCAGAGTGAAGGAATAACATCGTGTAATAAAAATGAAACAAGAGTGAAAAGGGCCCACCAAAAAATGTAATAACTCTCCCTTAATAAATCTCCTTATATCTGATGCGAGCAAAGTGTTGCTCCACATCCTTAACATAAGGCTTACCTCTCGAACCGAATTGCATCAGATGAAGCTAGATTCATGCAGGAAAGAGGCACGCGGGAGCAGATACTCATATTACGGTAGATCATAGCGAAATCAAGGGAGTTCAACACACCACTTTTTATTTATTTTGTTGACTTTCGAAAGTCATTCGATACGGTCATATGGGAGTGCCTATGGAAAGTACTGGTGGATATGGGAGTCCCGCAGCATCTTTTCTTTCTCTTGAGGAGGTTATACGAGGACGGCTCTGCTGCAGTGCGGGTGGATAACGTCCTTTCCGATGCCCTCAAGACCGAGTCCGGTGTTCAACAAGGGTTTTTTTTATAGCTTAGATGGGTGGACGAGCTCACAGGCCACCTGGTGTTAAGTGGTTACTGGAGCCCATAGACATCTACAACGTAAATGCGCCACCTACCTTGAGATGAGCTAGGTCTCAAGCAGGGCGGTGGTACCTACCCGCGCGAACTCACGAGAGATCCTACCACCAGTGTATATCGTCACTGTTGCTTTTTAACACTAATACCGAGTACATTATGAGAATCATTCTAGTAGGGTGGGATAAAGGTGTTTCGGTTGCAGGACGAGTGATTAACAATCTACGATACGCTGATAGTACTACGCTTCTGGCAAGAACAAGAGAAGATTTAGAAGAGCTACTGAGTCGACTTGAATCCACCAGTATCCGCTTCGGTCTTACTCTAAATAGAGATAAGACGAAGATCATGATACTAGACCGGGCTGAGCGCAACACGCAAGGAGTTCCGCGTATAGCAAACTGTGAAGTAGTTCAGAGCTATATTTACCTCGGCTCTACTATATCCAACCCTGGGTGGATGTGAAGACGAGATCAAGCGTCGATGCGCTATCACACGATCAGCAGTAGAGCGATTAGGGAAGATTTGGACAGACAGACAAATAACCAAGAATAAGAAAGGTTCGACTAATGAGATGTCTGGTATTTCCATTTTTTTGTATGGTGCTGAAAAATGGTCATTCAAATTACAAGATCGCCGGAAAATCAATGCCTTAAAGATGCGGTGTTGGAGACGACTGCTGAAAATTCCGTGGATAGGGTTTTGGGCCAATGTTTCTATCGTCAAAGAGCTTCGTATACAAAGCAAACTTTCGTCGACTGTTCAGCTACGAATTCTCAAGTTCTTTGGGCACATCTCCAGAAAGGAAGTTTCCATGGAGAGACTTGTCGTACAGGGCTGTGTAGAGGGCAGAAGACCTCGCGGTGGATTGACCTCATAACCTGCACTACGAAAGCCTGGCAACGCTAACAGCCGCCTCCAATGGAGGAACATCGCTCAACGTGCGGCTTTCTTGGAAGCGAGCGGTGTCGACGAGACGCAACCCTGTCCATCGATAGCCACGACTACTCTGCCAAGAGTATCCGCCTAGGAAAATATCGAGAGGTGAAAGCTATTTGGTTTAAGCGACTTATCGCTTAGTACGCGACATTTATTTTGGTAATTAAGGGTTTATTTTGTATTAGCATCAATCGATCGCAATCAATGAATCGATGTTTTTAATTGAACTTGAATTATGTTTACCGCATTCTATCTATCTATCGCATTCAAATAACGGATGAAGTTTTTTTGTCATATTTTTCCCAAATTTCAAACTTCATATGACTCTCCTGTAAAGTTGCAAAAATGTCTTAAGCGACCTTTCACGCCTCGATATTTTTTTTTTTATAAATCATACCTTGTTCACACATCTCACATTAGACAAACAAGAACGGCAAAATCTATATATATATATATATATATATATAAAAATGAATTGCTGTTCGTTAGTCTCGCTAAAACTCGAGAACCGCTGGTCCGATTTGGCTAATTTTGGTCTTGAATTTGTGCAAGTCCAGAGAAGGTTTAAAAGGTAGATAAATATGAAAATGCTCGGAATTAAATAAAAATAACAATTTTGTTTTTCCTTTGATGTGCCCCCCGTCGGACAAGAATTCCTTTTGTTTGTTCTAAGTTTATTTTATACAAAAGTTTAGGTCTTTTATTTATCGATTGAGGCACTACACAAAGTCTGCCGGGTCAGCTAGTCAGGAATAAAAACAACTATAACACTGATCACTATTTATATTCAAAACAATTATTAAAGAACAAACAAAAGATCTTTGTGAACCAATTCTTCAGGTTACCGCCCGGCAACCCCTGGAGCTCTAAAGTATTTAGAATCCTGCGGCCGTTGTTACTCAATTATCAGCTGACAGGTGTCATCGTGCGCTCGTTCATATCCAGTTGGGCAATTGTTCCCGGTGAACACTATTCGCGGTTCAATATCAGGTTTTACGTTCAAGTCGACCTCATTTTGATTACTCGTTAAAGCTGTGTCGTTGACAGTGACATTCAATATTACAACTTCGATTGGTCGAGTACTGTGATAAGTTAATGATGAGTTAATAAGTAACAGTAATGTGAAATACAACAGGTATGGTCGGCCCATTTTGGTTGACTGATGCATTAGCACTAGTGGGTGTGTTTTATGTATATAAGCTGTGAGTGGCTTAGGGACAATTGTACTGAGAAATGTTTTTATTCTGACAAAGTTAACAGTTGAATTATAATCAATAATCAATAGAGCCCCACAGCTTAATCTAATTTGAATTAGAAACTTTTTTTTATTTTATTGCTTTTATGGATGGACTAGATCATAGCCCACCTGGTGTTAAGTTGTTACTGGAGCCCACAGACATCTACAAAGTAAATGCGCCACCCATCTTGAGATATAAGTAAACGCATTACGGCTTCACGGTAGAAATAGGCGGGGTGGTGGTACCTACCCGTGCTGAGTCACAAGAGGTCCTACCACCAGTAAAAAAGCTAATTCTAATTTTGCAGGTTTGATTTTTATTTTTATATCTCATCTCAGGAGGCGCCGGAGTCCGACAAAACCCGGTCCGTTACCCCCCCTGACCGGGTATCCGTAAATGGATTCCCCAGCGTTAAAAAAAAAGTTTGATTTTTATTACACGATATTATTCCTTAACCGCGAAAGTCAATCGTGAACATTTGTTAAGTACGTATTTCATTAGAAAAATTGGTACCAGCCTGCGGGATTCGAACACAGTTGCATCGTTCGATACGAATGCACCGGACGTCTTATCCTTTAGGCCGCGTCGACTACAGCTCAATTATAATTCAATCTGATTGACATACATAGTATTTTTTCAGGATAAAAACTTGCTTGTGTTTGGCACTTTATTTAATACGAAGCAGCAAAAACACTCTTTATTTCCTACAGCAAGCACACCCGACTTATATACTACAATTAAATTTCATCATCATCATCATGCATGCATTTCAGCATCATGTTTCAATCTGGGTTATAAAGTATCTTTGTCCCAAATTTCATCTGTTCTGCTTTGCATGATTGTGTAAAGTAAGCAGAAGGTAATTGAGGAGAGAGAAGGCAGATTAAATTACGTATTATATTTTAGAGAACTCTGTTTAAAATGGTAAAATATGTCACTACAGAATAATTTAAATGTATCCAAACGTCCCAAATCTTCTCAATATTACATCACCTCAATTGTGTAAAATAAAACATCATGAATTTATTTGAAGGAAAAAACCATATTTTTTCCATTAAATAAATTCAATGAGGAAAAATTTACCTGGAACTAATACTGTACACACATGCGACACATTCATAACTAAAGTATCATCAAATCAAAGCAGAAAATTTTGTAATTTAAAAATACATTAAGAAACATTAATAATCTAAGAAAATACTAAAATTGTTTTTGAGGAAGGTACTACGGCCCATTATCAGCATAATTTCTTTTGTATAGTTGGATTGGGCTATTGTGGTTGGATGGTCTATAGTCAGTTATATACAAATACATATTATAGGTGATTTAAATATCACGATGGATGAAAGTGTTAGGCATTAGACGTTGTTGTGTTTTACAGGTTATGAGGTCTGGTGTACTTGCATTGAGCAAAACTTACTGTAGGTAGGTATAATTACTGGCAGCAGTATGTTTTAATGTGATGGTGTCATGATGATGATTAAAATGAACAAGAAATATTAGATTTTTTTTTGCTTTTATGATATTTTTGCTAGTAACAAAATGTTTCATCTCCTTAGAATAATTGATTCGATTGTTTTACTAAAAGTATCTAATCCGAGGATCATAGATCAACAAACAGATTTTCAACTATCAATTACTTATCGAAAAGTTTTAAATTCTAGAAGATCTTTATTGATGATGACTTTCTAAAAATAGTCCACTTACCTGGATCAAAGTTGCTTTTTCTTTTCCTCTGTCCACGAAATACCTTTTTATTGCTACCTTTGTGTTATTAGGTTTGTACAATGCCGAATAAACGACAGCTCCACCGTCAGAGCACTCCGTTATTATAGAAGTTAACTGATAGTCATTTATGTCAGGGCTGAGCATTTCAAGGATGAATCTTAACTTCGAACTATGAACGTAAATGAAATATGAACTTCAAAACAAACAAAAAATACACTTTAGAACATATTTTTGTGTTCGTCCAAAATGTATTCACATTTTATGTTTAAGTATTTAACAAATTAATTGTCTAATAAAAATGTTGTTTACAAATGACTTTGAGTTTTGTTTTTCTTTAGTTTGACAGTGGCAGTAACACTTTTCCAGTTCAAGAAAGACGAAGATATCATCCCATACAGACAAGTTTTAATTTGTTGCTAAAGAAAGTTAAATCCTGCTGAAAGTGAAACCATGAAAAATGAAACAGAGCGAAATGAAATAAAGCTTAATTAAACTTTTAGGCTCGAAAGCGAAAGTGCAAAGTTCTGTGAATTATTTTATTTTGATTAGTGTTTTTTCAGGTTGTGTAATAATGGTGGTTTATTAACAGTGAAATCTGTGCATATGTGAAAATAACTGTACATCTTTAAAGCTTCAGAAATGTAGAGAAATGTAAAGAGCCGCTGAATGTGGCTTCAAGGGTTTTTTTTACAAAGCCCTTTGAAGTTTCAGTAAATAGCCATCATTTTACTTAGACTTTAAAATAGGTATCCCATCTCATCTCGTTTCATACAATACAAATAATAAAAATCACCCCATTCGAATCGAATTGAATCGATCGAATATTATGTAGAACATATTGGTACTTTTTCTTTTTTTCAGTATGGCAATTCTTTTCTTGCGATGCTATTGTTGAATTTATATTTTTTTCCAATACTTGTACCTACATATTATGTGGTACAAAATAATTTAATATTTATTAATTTGTATAAATGTAGAATGGAGTGGAATGAAAGAACTTTTTGGCGGGAACGCGAGGAGTGAAGTTGTGTGATTTGTTTTATTTTGTCTATTTAGTGTTTCCCCAGGTTTAAATGTGTAATAACGATAGTTTAGTAACTGTTTAGTATCTGTGAAGGTGCACGAATCTGGGAAAATGAAACAAAGCCGCTGAACATAACTTCTTGGGATCCTCTAAAAAGTCCACTGAAAAAGTTTCAGTTTCGTTTCCATTTTTTTATTTTTTTTTATTGCCTTTCTAGGCAGACGGGCATACGGCCCACCTGATGGTGAGTGGTTACCGTCGCCGATGGACTTCAGCAATGCCAGGGGCAGAGCCAAGCCGCTGCCTACCGCTTAATACTCTCCACAAGCCTCGTTTGAAGAAGGACATGTCATAGCGCTCGGGAAACACCGTGGAGGGGAGCTCATTCCATAGCCGGATGGTACGTGGCAAAAAAGATCTCTGGAAACGCACTGTGGATGATCGCAGTGGCTCCAGGTAGTATGGATGAACTCNAAACGCACTGTGGATGATCGCAGTGGCTCCAGGTAGTATGGATGAACTCTACTCCGGTGGCGGGCGGTGCGATGGTAAAAACGAGATGCTGGTATCATCTCGAACAATTCCTCAGAGCACTCCCCATGGAACATACGGTACAAAATACAGAGGGAACCGAAGTCCCTCCGCAGACCCAGAGGCTCCAAACGATCCGAGATCCATTTCGTTTCATTTCAATTTATGTCATGTTTCATATTAATCAACTTAATTTCATTCATAATATCATTTTTCATAAAAAACAGCTTTCATTACAATTAAAATAAGACTTGACTTAAAGGTCTTAGTTACCATAAGGTAATATAATCCCTTAAAAAAAATGGGAATGAAATGAAGTTGATTTATTTGAATTTGTACTTTAATAGGATGAAATTTAATGGAATGGAATGAAAAGCGATGAGGTCAGATCAGATGAAATTAACTGAAATAACAGCCCAGTAAAATGGTGAAAATTTTATTGATGAATGGTTCAGATTTTAGTGGGTATTTTTGGAGGAACTCAAGAACCCATGTCCAGTGGCTTTGTTTCCTTATTCCGCATTTGTGCACTTCCAGTTTCCACGGATACAACGGTTAATAAGCTATGATCATTGTACGTTTAAACACGAAGAAATAATTTAGGCAATCCCGCCTTTAAATCCTTTTAGGGACTTAGCCGGATCCTTTGGGCCTATATCATGTCTTTTTCTGATGTTATCACGGGTTATATTATTTAGCAGAGTATTTTGAGTAGGTTTTTAAGAACGTGTGATACCTTCCTTTCCAATTATTTATTTTCCATTTTTTCTGCTCTAAGTGCTACTTTCTTAGATACGTGATTAAAAAAGTTTTAATGTATGATGTAATCGTTTGTTTTATTGTAACGTAAAGCGATTAATTACTATTATTTAATTTATTAATTAGTTCAATATTATAACAACGTTGTCAACGTAATTCATATTTCGATTTCTACAATTCAGTATGTTTCGTTTCTAATGTAGCGGGTGGTATTGGATTATAATAGAACTGTTGGTAAATTTCGTCCCATAATTTGGCGCGTTTTTCGAGTAGTGAACCTCTTAGCTCAATTACTTCTCCTATGGACATATGAGGAGACCAATCCTTCTCGACTGGTGGCCATTTTGGGAGTATTGAGTCTTCAGGCACCGGTTTACTGCAACAGAAAATTTATTTGACAAGATTATATACAGCATGTGCAATTTTCTTTGGCAAATACAATTTATTCTTGATTTTATTTAAACCATTGCAAATTGCAAATGAAGAAATTTTATACCAAGTATAAAGAAACTTGCCCTTGAATTAAAGCATCTAAACTACAAATACATACCCGGTAACTATGAAATTTGTCCACATTTCTCGCATTCTAGCTTTCATTCTTTTATAAGTTTTCGATGCCATGCTTTCGTCGTAATGTGTCGCGTTCAAGCCGTCTAATACAGCATTTGTCTGTGCAATATGATCGGCACCTTTAACATCTACGTACGGAATTGGCATTGTGTCTTCATCTACGAAACTGTACTCATATAAATATATTCGATCATGCCCAGCTTCTAAATGCATCTTGACAGATCTCAATACGGGAAAAGCAAACATAACATCAGTGAAGTAGTCAATGTAAGCCAAAATATTCGATTCAGTGATAGTTTTTTTGCCGAAATAAAATTCTTTGACCTTTTTCGCGATTTCTTCCTTTTGTTCTTGGCTTTCGAATTTCAAATTTGATGGCAAGTACTGTGAGAATTTCGAGTTGAATTTCTCCAACCACATTTCGAAATAGTTCACTCGAACTAAACCTTCCATGTTGCAGATGCCAAAGAGAATTGGTACCTTCTGGTATTTTCCTTTACTTATAATGTTTACTGGAGCTTCTGTTAGAAATGCTTCCTCACCTATGTCTCGTTCAATGCAAGGCTCAAAACTGATTGCCGTACCGGGGGCACCGGAAAATGTATTAGCGGTTAGTTTCTTGAAAGAAGCTTTCGTATAAAACTTTTCTAAAACCTCAATGTCATCTACATCTGTTACGTTCATCTTTTTGGCAAACTTCTTAGCATTAGCCAATGGATCTCGTTGTATCGTGAAAGATGCTAGAGCCGATCCGCTTTCGGGTATAGCTTTGTTAAATAACCCTCTAGTTAGGTCGGAGAGCATTAGAAGTTCAACTGCAGCAGCTCCCGAGCTATATCCAGCGATTGTGACTTCTTCAGGGTTTCCACCAAATTTTTCGATGTTTTTCTTCACCCACCTGAGGAGGGCAACTATATCTTTCATGCCTGCATTACCCGGAGCCTCTTTTGTGCCCAGACATAGAAAACCATGCGCACCTAAGCGGTAGTTAAAGGTTATTGCTATAATTTTTTCACCCCTAACTAATTTTTTTGGTGTTACGCTGTTACCGAAGCCGACTTGGTATCCACCACCGTGGACATATACAACGACAGGAAGATTTTTATTGTCGGCGTCTGGTACAAACACATTTGCGATGAGGCAATCTTCATTGTAGATGAATTTCTTTTTAAAGCCCATGTCGACAGGATGTTGGGGACACATGACTCCTTTGTCTACTGCTTCGAAAGGTTCCTTCCATGTTGGCGGAGGAAGAGGAGCCTGGAATAAAACAAATAAACTTGTTGAGAACTACTACTATACAATGTTTTAAATTCGGAATTAGCAATTAGTAATATATATGTTAATATGGAGTCTTTTTGGCCTAAAGGATAAAACTACCGGTGCATTTGTATCGAGTGACTGTGCCGGTGTTCAAATCCTGCAGGCAGGTACATTTTTTTCTAATAAAATCGTACTAAATTCATGTCCCCGAATGACTTCCACGATGAAGAAATAAAATCGTGTAATAAAAATCAACTCCGCAGAAATCGCAATTTGCGTACTTACTAAAGAATTGCGAAAAGACTGCATTCACGTTAGGTTTTTCTGTGGGTTCCGGTAGCCACATAAGAACCATGTGGGTCGAAGACGAGGTACCATACGCTTGTTTACCCATCTAAGTCCTACATAAATGCATCGGTCCTTCACGCCGAGGCTGTTATGATTAAGAACAGATCTTCTTATTTTCATGGCGTAGGCCACTTTTTACCGTTACTAATTCTAACTCTGTAGTGCACAATCTCTTTAGCATGAACTCGATACTTATAGCTTCCACAGTACCGATGAGCTTTAATTTTTGTTCCCTTACCTTGAACTTGTCAGGTCCCTTTGGTGCACNTAAATGCATCGGTCCTTCACGCCGAGGCTGTTATGATTAAGAACAGATCTTCTTATTTTCATGGCGTAGGCCACTTTTTACCGTTACTAATTCTAACTCTGTAGTGCACAATCTCTTTAGCATGAACTCGATACTTATAGCTTCCACAGTACCGATGAGCTTTAATTTTTGTTCCCTTACCTTGAACTTGTCAGGTCCCTTTGGTGCACTAGCATAAGGGATCCCATGAAACACGAACACGTCGACTTCAGGATCCTTGTAGCCTCGTACCGGGCCCTGGTCTAGGAGGACTTCCTTCCACTCGTCAATCGCGTCTTCGGTCTTCGTTTGACCAAGAATAAAAGCACCGAACAACAACGTACGCCACATGGTCAACGGACCGAATACAGTTTTAATTATTTTTACAAGTGATAATGTATGATATCGCCATGATAAGGTTGGTTGCGCGTGATACGTATATCGTTGTCAAGGGTTCTTGATATTTTGTTTTAAATAAATTTGGAGATTTCAGTCAGTAAGGCAACTCATAATTCTAATTACTGGTATTACCATTAAAACCTCTATTACGTTTTAATCTTATGCGTTTTGTTGTAATTATATTAAATCCGACGTTTCGTATACATTACAGTTTTCGTGATCATGTACGACTAAGATGTTATGAAAACGTGAAATATTTTTTGTAGCAAAATCAACGGTAGTGAGATAAATACTCAAATGTATTTTATTTTTTATTTTTTTTATTGCTTTGATGGGTGGACGAGCTCACAGCCCACCTGGTGTTAAGTGGTTACTGGAGCCCATAGACATCTACAACGTAAATGCGCCACCCACCCCGAGATATAAGTTCTAAGGTCTCAGTATAGTTAAAACGGCTACTCCACCCTTCGAACCGAAACGCATTACTGCTTCACGGCGGAAATAGGCGGGGTGGTGGCACCCACCCGTGCGGACTCCCAAGAGGTCCTACCACCAGTTATTATATGTATTATATGTATTATAACAAATAATTTAGTGATTGGTGGGAAAAAACTAAATCCTTAGATACTTTCACCACGGTGGTGCGCTGGTTCTAGATTCTAGAAGTTTCCTGTGGGGGGGCGAGGAGATAATTTTGATATGAGTAGTAGACGTACCTGCCAACCCAGTTTCTTGTAGACGGCAGTACCTAGGAAACGTGACTGGCGGACGACACGTAATGGCAGCGGTCGGTTTTACGGCTGGAGAGCTCTCCTCTAAATTAGCTGTGTTCACTAAAACAGGTATGACACTCCCGCAACGACGAGGATGATCGTCCGTAGGAGATCGTAAGGGAAAATTATCACAAGTCCAAAAATATTGAGATATAACAATCGTCGGGTGCTACAGCGCGCCAGTCTTTTCGAGTAATTGGTCACGCGATAGGTTCGATGACCGGTCGTGAGTTGACAAGTCTTAGAACTACCCTCATAAAAAAAGAACCAGTGATAATAAAGAAAAATGCAAAATCAAACCTTTGTGTTTTAATCACGTCTACGGCTCGCGAGAACTTAAGTAAATAATGTCTATATACATATATATGTATATACTATACCCTTATGCACATTTCTACCCCCTGCATTATATTTTCCTTCACAAATTCGTCCCAACCCTTTATTGCGGCAGCCACAGCTGTAAAAACTGTGAGACCTTAGCACTCATGTTTCAGGGTGGGTGGCAGCATTTACGTTGTAGATGCCTATGGGCTCCGGTAACCACTTAACGCCAAGTGAGCCGGTACGTATACACTAAACGTATTAAGCACAACGAACGCGTCAGCCATTTCTTAAAAAACATGAATTGATAACCCTAAAGTTTGATTAAGTTTATCTCAAACGATTTAAAAGTACAGTGGCAATGCAATAGTAATTTAACACGTAATCATAATTATCGACATTAGAAGCATAAAGTCAGATATATTATGTGTTTTTGCTATACTGATTTTAAAACTAATTCGTGCGTGGTTTTTTTGTATTTATTTTGTAACTGTTTTTTTTTTTAATATTGCGATTGCGTTTCTGAAGATCTTTTTGCCACTTCCCATTCGGCTTCAGAATGAGCTTGCCTCCGAGGTGTTTCCCATGCGATCAGAATTTTCATTTTTCAACAAGGTCTGGAGAGAGTCGTCAGCAGTGGGTAGTAATTTGGCTGTGCCTCCGGCATTGCTAACGTTCACGAATGATGGCGACCGCTTACAATTAGATGGGTCGTATGGTTTAGTTTTCCGTGGAAAAAAGGTTAAAATTAAATGAAAATCCTAGCAACAGTACTAAGGTATCTGAATTCGCAGTCGGGGGTCATTAAAAGTGAATCACCTGTTGGAGACATATTTATAGGTAGATATTTATAAGTATATGTCTTGTTACGATATTTGGCACAATGCATATTAAATCTTCCCCCATTGGTGAAGAATGAGAAAGTTTTGTATGAAATTATTTTTAAGGAATAAAATTATTGATTAAACAAAAAACTGGTATTGTACCAAATACGGACCACGGCAAATCGCATTTCAACGAATAGTCTCTATTTTTTACGTAAGCTATAAATTAATAAACAAGGCAATTGAGATCCAAAAATGCAGGTCCAGTGTATCTGAAAGATTAGTTATAATAAGATTCTTTTTTTGTGAAATGGCATGTTGGAGGCTCGCAAGACCAGGTAGGTATCACCGCCCCGCCTACTTCTGCAGTAATGTGTACTCTCACAGGTTAAATCCTATAGAAGCCGTCGCTTGCGACGAAGGGCTCGACGAGTAAATTAACCCTCAGACACAGCCCACTGAGTTTCTGGCCGGATCTTCTCAGTGGGTCGCGTTTCTGATCCGGTGATAGAATCTGCGAAGCACGGCTCTTGCTAGGGTTCGTGTTAGCAACGTCGTCAGGTTTGAGCCCCGTGACCTACTAAGTAGTTAAGCTTACGCTGAAATAACCTCTCAAGACTATCAGCTTAGGTAGGAAAAAAAAGCGCTTCGTTATGAAGGGCGGGATACCCGCCATTCTATACAGAGTTCTACTTTATGTGACCAGGTGGGCGGTGACATTCACTCCGCAATGGGTCGTAGGCACATTTGCCGATTAACGCGAATAATAAAACATTGTACAATAAATGCGACTAGCAAATAGCGTTGAAATTCAGTTACGTTTTGATATCAGTCGCAATAATATCCGAAATACTATTCTTGTATATTTGTATGATTTCACAAAACTCCCAATGCTTCTTATCTAACTAGCTCCCATCAATTATCAATATAGGTACTTTACAGGAGAAAGTTAAAGAGAAATTGCCTGTATTTATGTGTTCTTGTTAGGACATTAGTTACTGACTGTGTGCAAACTATGCGACATGTGGGTGATATTCGGCGTACATTGCCAAATATCGTATCACAAGTCCGAAAATATCATCGGAACACCACCGAACGGACGGTATGCAAAAATTTACAATCCACTCAATAAAAAGCCGTAATTTCTATATATACGCATACAGGGACGACCGCATCTCGACTACGCTTTATACGTGATGTACTCACTTCTATATAAAACCGGGGAGAGAGCCAAGTTCTAAATATAATGTACGAACGCTGCCGAAGTCGACCGAAGTTGCCCGCCCGCCTCAGTCCATCGCTAACTGCCGCTCCGAGATTTCAAAGCGGCGTTGAACGCGCGGCAACCAAACATTCACTCGTTCGCGTCGTGTAGGGCTATAGACCGAACTAGTTTCCGGCTCGACCGGNACTCACTTCTATATAAAACCGGGGAGAGAGCCAAGTTCTAAATATAATGTACGAACGCTGCCGAAGTCGACCGAAGTTGCCCGCCCGCCTCAGTCCATCGCTAACTGCCGCTCCGAGATTTCAAAGCGGCGTTGAACGCGCGGCAACCAAACATTCACTCGTTCGCGTCGTGTAGGGCTATAGACCGAACTAGTTTCCGGCTCGACCGGACCGCGACCGTAACACCTCCGCACCGAACCAGTGGATTTAGGATATCGAATCGGTGAATGAACAGTGTCTAGTGTTGTGCTGCGTTTCAACGTTACCGGTAATGTAAGTTTTTTTTTTTTTTTGTTAAATTTAAATTTTTAACGAGTCATTTGACGTTCCGTGATGTGGCTCTGGAATGAAAGTATTAAGTTTCAACATGTCCGCCGGAACGTTCCGAAATTGCTTTGACCGTCACATAGCGGTGCAGAGTTTTGCTTTTCCCGTGCCAGTCCGCCAGACAGCGCTTTTAACCTAGTTCCCGCATGCTTACATTAACGGATTCTGTTTATTTTCTTATAATATTTTTTCGCCTACGAACTAGAGCAAGCTGTTAGAATTTTGCCTTCTCCGAGAAATTATATCGGCACGCAAGTAAAAAGCGAAATTTATTCTTTTTATTAAATTTATTAACGTTCGTCATTTCTTTGACGTATGAACGAAAAAATAAATTAAGCCGATATTGGCAGACATCTTTATTCGGACACTGAAATTTCAGTTGCCAAGAAAATTGTTTATCAAACGTTGTATGAGTTTTTTTGTTCTAAAAAAAAGTTTTAATTAATTATTGATATTGTATACCCACAATTCGGCTTTTAGTATACCCTGTGACGTCATTGTCGTCCGAAACTATCGGCTATCCTGCATTGCGGTTTGCACGGGTTTCACTTTAGTCTAGACAGGAACGTAAATATGGAATGTTCCTTTTTGATTTAAAGTTTCTCCATTAATTGTTTTAAGTAGGTATTGAAATTTATTTCGTTTTTAAGAAGGTCCGAGCTTATTTGTGCCAAAATTGACGGGTTATGAAGTTTGAAATCTGTTCTAAGCGGTTAGCACAGATGTGTCCACGCCATTGTTGATGATCATAAGCTCGATGACTATAGTATACCAAACACTTTTATACTGGCAACACGAGAGAACGGTAATTTTAAATTTGAGAAAAGTTTTTCAAAGTTGACAATATAAACTAATAATGGCTGCTCCTTTTGTTTATGTTTTTTTTTTTGTAAATAAAGAGATTCATATTTTTTTCAATTTTAAAAGAATTCTTGAAATATAGAATTGAAAATCATATTTTTTACGTATCCTGTAAGTTTTAAATACCTAACACTAATGTCTCATTGTATTAAAAACAAAGAACTTACTATTTAGTAAAAATAATGTCTTTTTTTGTTGTTTAATATTATTTTGCGACCGCCATCTTGAATATATTATTATGAGATCTTATTTAGTGTTTCCCTTCATTTAATTATTGGCTTTCAGCACTTTGACAGCATGGTAGTATTTTTTAGTCATTACAGTTATAAATTATCTAATAATATAAACCTGAATTTAATGAGAGATAATAGATAAGCTTAAATTTCAAATATATTTCAAAGATGCATGAGAGCTACGCCAAGCTACACACGGGTTCTCAAGCCTCTATTGCCTACATCGGAACATGCAAGTATCTAAGCTGTTACAGTTTCGATCGTGATTTACAAAAGTAGGTTACAAACAAACAGTATAATAATATAACAAAAAAAAAACACATTTTAGTCTCTAGTTCAATTGCTTTTAGATATTTTTTGAAAGATATTGTTTAAATTACATTTGACGGCTCATGATCAGTGGATATAGAAGTAATATTTCGATGCCGTAACGCGGGCTGACCTAGTTTTCGAATTTATATACAGAAATATCTTTTTAATGTTTTATTTCATTTTAGATATTCATAGAATGCGTTCTGTTCGCCTGACAAGTAATATTTTGTTAGCTGATTTATTGAATAATTAGTGTATAAGTTTTTTTATTTTATTGCTTAGATGGGTGGACGAGCTCACAGCCCACCTGGTGTTAAGTGGTTACTGCAGCCCATAGACATCTACGACGTAAATGCGCTACCCACCTTGAGATATAAGTTCTAAGGTCTCAAGTATAGTTACAACGGCTGCCCCACCCTTCAAATCGAAACGCATTGCTGCTTCACGGCAGAAATAGGCAGGGTGGTGGTACCTACCCGTGCGGACTCACAAAAGGTCTTACCACCAGGAATACCAGTAATTTGTAATTAACGTAACGTAATTCCTAATGGAAAGTTCATTTAATGAGAAGCAAAACAGAAAATTGGGCTAAATTAATAACTGAGTACTTAGTAACCCTCGACAGGGGAAATTATTAAAAGGACGACCGTTCCAAAGGTGGGTAGGCGACATAAATGCCGTTGCAGGCTCTACGTAGAAGAAGAAACGCCACGACCGGGACGGGACTTATGGCAGAATTTGGGGGAGGCCTATGCGAAAGCAAAACAATCTTTGCCGATGTCAAATGCTTAGAAAAAAATTAAATTAATAGTATGTCGCTTTCTTCATTACTGAATGTCGTGTCCCTGAAACTTGACCGTGGCCTGTCTCGTGAGCTGTTTCCACCTGGTCCAGTCCTCAGCTTCTCGAATGGCGGTTACGACTGCCAGCCCAGTTAGGGTGGTTATTTGATCACACCAACGGCTAGGTGATCGGCCTTAATTCATATTTAGTATGTACCTAAACATGAATTAAGGTTGTTAATAAAGGCTTCTTTATCTTTAATTCCTAAGAGAAAATTGATAATTTTAATACGGGATTTGAAGATTGGCATAGTCCTATCGCTTGATATGTGGCTGTCAGCCATTTTGTCTTTTACGTCATTCTGAAAAGGTCTTTGGCGGTAAAAAGGTCTCGTGTCACAGACTATATTCTGTTTTTCACATCTCGTGCGTTCCGGCTTACGCATCATAAAAAGGTGAGTACTTAAACGCCACAGGTCTTTACTGTCAAAACTTTCTGGTTAAATTATGAAAGTATTTTTCTTCATTAAATACATATGTTTAATGGATTTTAGTCTATTTTGATAGATCTCTCTGAAAGTTGTTAATAATAACACTGCAACATACAACAATGTATTAGTTTGCAAATTTTAATTGAAACTTTTTTGCTTTTACTTAAAATACTTACGTATCACTTAGTACTGTAATATATAGGGTCCTCGCGACGCAGCATTCAATTTTAAAAGATAACTGAAGGCTATATATAGGGAATCCGTCTCCAATCCGTGTCCTGATTCTGTAACAATTCCGCTGAAGGTCGCTGCTTTTTCGACGATGACGACATAAGCATTTTCGTTCTAATCTTCAGTAATAAAAATATAATCAAACCACCGCTCGACATATGAGATAAGATTCGATGTTAATTGAACATAATCGATATTAGATGTCACGAATACTGAGTTAGATATCGATCGTATGGAAAACCGTATTTTTTTGTAAGCTGTTATTTGAAAGTGCCTTTTTTTATTGCTTAGACAGATGGACGAGCTCACAGCCCACCTGGTGTTAAGTGGTTACTGGAGCCCATAGGCATCTAAGACGTAAATGCGCCACCCACCTTGAGATATCAGTTCTAAGGTCTCAGTATAGTTACAACGGCTGCCCCACCCTTCAAACCGAAACGCATTACTGCTTCACGGCAGAAATAGGCAGGGTGGTGATACCTACCGGCTCGGACTCACAAGAGGTCCTACTAGATTCTCAAAGCGCGTCTACTTTCCTGAGGTGCGTTCTGCTAGATTTCAGTCTGGGATTTATTTGGTGGAGTGGTTCGTATCACTCAGAGAAAAACTTCTTACTGATGGTAGAACCTCTTGTGACTCGCACGGGTAGGTACCACCACCCTGCCTATTTCTGCCGTGAAGCAGTAATGCGTTTCGGTTTGAAGGGCGGGGCAGCCGTTGTAACAAAGCTGAGACCTTAGAACTTATATCCCAAGGTGGGTGGCGCATTTACGTTGTAAATGTCTTTGGGCTCCAGTAATCACTTAATACCTAGCACCAGGTTGGTTGTAAGCTCGTCCACCCATCTAAGTAATAAAAAAAATTTACCCTTATCTGCATTTATATATAATTATAAAACTAAACTTTCTGACCTACAATTATGTCTAATTTGACTACTCGAAGCTATATTAGGGTTTTTGTTCCATCAAAACTAACTCCTATATCAATAGACGTCATTAAAATCACCTGCAGAGATCCTGTGTGGTGCTGATCTTCTCAGTGGGTTGCGATTCCCATCCGGTGGTAAATTCAGCAAAACACTGCTCTTTCTAAGGCTGGTGTTAACAATTCTCTCAGGTTGAGCCCGTGAGATATGTGCTTTATAAAGTGCAAGTCTCTGCCCAGGCGTGAAATACCGCTTCGCTCTGTTGAGGACTCCCAAAATTGTAGAGGCAAATTTTTATTTTTTTTATTGCCCTTGTAGGTAAACGACGATCCACTTAATGGTAAGCGGTTACCGTCACCCATGGACTTCAGCAATGCCAGGAGCAGAGCCAAGCCGCTGCCTACCGTTACGTACTCTTGGTACTTAACTCTTGGTTAAGTACTAGTTTGGCTTTACCTTCCAAATGACTCCGATACCGAACACCTTTAGAAATATCGACCTCCAGAATCCCTATGCTCGCGGAAAGCTGCAGGGATACTCCTTGAAATTGCAGCGCTATGACAAAAGGGGCTATGAAGAAATAGAGGGGGAAAGTAATAAGACATTCTAACCTAGTATTGCAATCGTTAGAATTTCCGAATCGCATCCCAAACAATGCCAATTTAAACTTATCGTAAACGTGTGCTCACTCAAATTTCTTGGTAACACAATTCAATTCGTATATGATCTAATAGCCTTCAAGTAGATGCGTTAACGAAACGCAATTAGTATAATTATCTAATGAGTCCGCGTATTAGTGCAAGTTTCTCTAAAACACTGCCAAGTTCGGTGGGCTGACGTCATGGATGCATCGCTGTTTTAATTTCGTTTTTGGATGCTGACTTTGACTTTGAATTCGTGTCTAAGACGGCCCTCCAAAACTTTACCCACGAAAACTTTATTTATTTTTATTTATTATGAGCATACAACCGACCTGATGGTGAGTGATTACCGTCGCCCATGGACTTCAGCAATGACAGGGGCAGAGCCAAGCCGCTGCCTACCGCTATCATCAATAGTTTTCGCAGGGCACGCGATGTAAAGAATATTAAAATTTTAGGTAATTTTCTTA